CACATTTAAAGGCAAACTTACATAATTCACATGTTCTAAAACAATATGTGAATGCAGCCAGACACTGAAATCCGAACTTCTCAAAATTTCGCAGTAAAGGAAATCAAGTAATGTGCACCAAAACACGTACATCAGGATAAATTGTGTGTTTGAATGCATAAATTTGTGAAAATATCCTTCAAGAATGCACTCTATCAGGGGAATTTATTGGGTTCCCATAGGCATCTAGCTGGCCGCTGTGAGAACAGGATAAATGGACTAGATGTGCCACTGGCCTGATCCAGCAGGGTCTTCTTATGAAACTAGGGCCTCAGCAGGATCACCTGCTCTGGCCACTGGAAAATTCCTCAGATTAGTCAAGAAATTTATCAGATTCCATCAGTCTCCAGGGGTGGACCATCCTAACTGGTCCCCCACACTTGCAGGGGAGAATTGTCACAGTGAAACCCAGAGTCTGTGACTTGTGTCGCCACTTCCCCTCCAGGAAAGCCTGTTCTGTACTGTTGAATTAGAGCAAATGCTAGTTCTGCGGATGGATGTCTGCCATAATTCAGCGGCAGGGAAACCGCTCAAACCAGTGCTTTCTGGGCATGGAACAAGCAGAAGTGTGGACAAGCCCTGAGTCAGCCTGGCTAAGAGAAATGAGGGGGCCAGGAGACCAGGGCCTTGTGCCACAGCCCGCTGAGAAGATGAAGTTTGGAGTCTCTCATATATGAAATTTTATCTGAATCAAAAGAGCTGTTTGTAGATACACAACTAATTTCACCAACATTTTCTCTCTCCTCTGATGATTTTTGAATGCAGCTTTCCCCCCCCCCCAACAATTCTCAGTTGTCGCCGTCCCCTTATTACTTGTAGATTTGGCACAGCAGTAAACATTACTGAAGAGAGGTGCCGGGGGTCTGGAAGGGCTAAAAAATGGAGGCCTGGAGAGGAAACTTGAATGCAAATGGCAGGAGTCTGGGCCATGCAAGTATAGAATATGATTTGTTCCAGGTGGGTATAAGGAATAAAAATCAATCAAGTGCCTCTTTCCTCAGGCATAATCCCTGCAACCTTTAGTGCTGAGAGGTTTTCATGAGTGGAAGAGAAGCCTGAAGTGGGGAAGTTAATTATGAGAACACTGTTGGCCTGACCTCCAATGGTGTCTCACCTCAAGCCAAAGAGGAATCCTTTGTCTTCCAAATTGCAGCCAGTTCCACAGAAGTGACATTGCCTCTTAAAGGACAAATTACTGGCTGCTGCTCCAAGGCAAGGGCATCATATATGCACCAGAGGACAATTGACTGGCTGTCATGTCCTCCTTGAGCTCTGCTAGCTTTTGTTGTCAATTCCCATCAAGACAGGCGTCCATCAACAGCCCTTCTTTGCAGGGACTTCATTACCCACACATTATTAAGAATTGACCTTAGGTTTGTTTGAGGGTTTGGGGTGTGTGTGTGTATGCTTTTTTAAAAAAAGAAAAAGGGGGGGAAAGGAAGAGCACGGCAGCGAGAAATAATCTCAAAGATCAGGTAGGTCGAGTAAAGCCTTTCCCAGTTGCAAGATGACAGAATGTACTAGAAGATCTTAACATACCTGGGTGTCCTGATGCAAGAGATATTACTGAGATGATTAAATTGCCTCTGAATAAGTTGATAATGGAGGTTTGTAGTGGTTTGGAACAACAGGCATTACTTATATATAGTGTCTGGGGGTAAAGATTAATATATTTCAACACGTAATATATGTACTGCATGGTGTTTCATTATATATTCTCCAAGTGTGTGTGTACACACACACACTTAAGAGAATGCCAGTATCTGAAAGGTGCTTTTAATTTTCCAGATACTAGCCTATATTGTAAGTCGGATTTGTTAGCACATAAAAATGACTGCCAAGTGTATTCTTCCTTCGGTATCCCAGCTTGGTTAATTTTAGAGGTGGTTTATTTAACACCTCTCTTTGGATGGCTAGTGATGGGGTCTAACAATAATAAAAAGGAAGGACCTAGACTACCTTCAATTTTAGCAATGAGAGAGACAGTGCAGCTTGACATGTCAGCTACAATTGGACACATATGCTCATGTTAAATTAGCCTCATGGGGTAATCCAGTTCTGGAGACAGAGAGGCAATCCTTTTTGTAGAAGAAATGGGTGGAATGTAAGATATATATGTTAAGGGAAATGCAAGTTGAGTGATTAATGTGCATAATAACTGGCTATTGTGCACAATCACCAAGCCTCATGGTGAATGAACACATGAATTGGGAACTGTTCATGTCAATATATTCCCCAAGAGGTCTTGGGGAATGTGCATAGAGTGACTGAATGAATTTTGTACATTATGGCCATTATGTATAAACTTCAGCAGGCTTTGGGTGGTGCACATCCCTCATCTTTGTTTTGTACATTCTCTGTGTAATATGCACATTCTCTGGTCAGTATGCATAGTCATCAAGAAACATGCTCTTTAATTTCTTAAGGGTTCTAGAGTTAGGAGTGACCCGTTTTGCTGATGAAACTAAATTATCCAGGGTCATTCAAACAAAAAAGAGAATGTGAAGAATTCCAAAAGGACCTCTCCAAACTGAGTGAATGGGCAGTGACATGGCAAATGCATTTCAATGTAAACAAGCATAAAGTCATGAATGTTGGGGAGATATCTTAATTTCACATCATTAATTTCACTCATGAGGTTTGAACTGGTAGTGACTGACGAAGAACAAGACCTTGTGGTTTTACTGGGTAGTTCAATGAAGATGTTGCCCCAGGAATAACAGATTTGGATATTCCACAAAAGAGGAAGGGTATCTTTTTATATGCGACGACGGCAGCAAGAGTTTTGATCGCAGCAAAATGGAAGAGTAATGAAATCCCCTCTATACAAGATTGGATCCAAAAGCTGACAGAATATGCCGAATTAGATGGTTTATCAGAAAAAATAAAGAATAAATCAAAACAGGAATTTGTTTCTAAATGGGAGGTTGTTAAAGAATATCTGAAAAATAAATATAGTAGTTTAAATTCTGTTGCAGCATTCGAGGAACTTCAGTAATAGTTGCAAGGTAGATATAAGAAATTAGATTTAATGAGAATAAGTTTAATTATGAAAAAAATGTGTATTGGCAATAAGTAATATGAATTTGAAGTATGGAATGGACAGGAGGTTGGGTCTTTAGTGTTAAGACCAATAGATGTTTTATTGTTTGCTAAGAAAATTATGTGTCTATGGTTATTTTTGTAATTTGTGTGTAATTTGGTATTTGTGTTTTTTGTTTGTTTGTTTTTCTTGTTGTATAAATAAAAAACTTTTTTAAAAAAAGAAGATGTTGCCCCAGCGTGGGGCAGCTGTGAAAAAGGCAAATTCCATGATAGAGATTGTTAGGAAAGGAAGTGAGATTAAAACTGTCTAGATCAGGGGTCTGCAACCTTTAAGACAAAAAGAGCCACTTGGACCCGTTTCCGAAGGGAAAAAAACTGGGAGCCGCAAAACCGGGAAGGTGACGTCGGGACGGTGCGTGACTAACGCACGCACCGCCCCCATGCGACGTCACAGCCAGTACAGCGCCCGCCACAGTGGGGAGTGTCGGGGCGCACAATGCGCCTCCTCCCCTCGCTAGTATCCGCCACAGAGCCGCGGCAAAGGTGTAAAAGAGCCACATGCGGCTCCGGAGCCGCGGGTTGCAGACCCCTGGTCTAGATTATCCTTGGGGGTCCCTTCCGACTCTGTGTTTCTATGGTTTTATGTGTATAAAATTATGCATAGCATAGAGAAAGATTTTCTCCCTCTTTCAGAGCACTGGAACTCATGGACAACCAAGAAAGCTGAATGTTGGAAGAGTCAGGACAGAGCAAAGAAAGTACTTCTTCTCGCAGTGGATAGTTAGTCTATGGAACTCACTGCCACAGGAGGTAGCGAGAGCCACCAACTGGGGTGGCTTTAAAAGATGATTTGACAAATTCATGGAGGATATGACTATCAGTGGTTACTAGCCAGAATGGCTATGCTCTGCCTCAACAGTCTTCTGAATACCAGTTGATGGAAAGCACAGGAGGGGAGAGGGCTCTTGTGCTTGGGGCATCTCATTGGTCAGTGTCAGAACAAGATGCTGGACCAGATGAGCAAGTGTCTTCATCCAGCAGGCCTTTCTTCTGCTTTCTTGTTCTTTCCTTTTGAATGGTGTCCTTTAGGACAGAGACTGTTTTGCTATTGTTCATGGTGAGCTTTGTCAGGAGCCTTTTTTGACTGAAGCTCAGGGTGATGAAAGACTGTCATAAATAAATCTGATCAAGGTGAGTCTGTCCAGGTCAGCCTCCCGCTTCCCACAATAGCCATAGGTCAGCTTGCTTTTGCCTTTCAAGCCCTCCAAGGTCATGACCAGGGCTCCATCTTCTGACAGTGAATTCCATAACTTGATGCCACCCTGCAGGAACAATAACTGGCCAAGAAAAGAACTGCTGCTTTCTTCCTGCACTACAGGGTTTAAGCTGAAGACCAAAGCAATATTTATTAGAATAGCTTCCTCCATTTTCTCCTTCCTTCCTTCCTTCCTTCTTCTTTTTTGCATCTCCACCACCTAACTGTAACACTTTGGTGACCTGGGCAGTCTTCGCCATCACAACATTTTGCCTGACAGCTGTGAGCTACACTGGAGCTTTAGACGCGGGTGGCTTTTGCAATGGGCTGGGGACTCTGGCTGCAAATTAGCTCTGCTAATGAAATGTCAGGATGAGTTTGTGAGCCCTTGTTTCACAAAGGGGTCAGGGTTGGCGGTGCTTGAGAGAGGCTCATCAGTCCCTCTATGCAGAATCTTGCTGAATTATAAAACTGGAAGAGGAAGAGGAAAGGAGAGGTGATTTATAGGATATCCTGCCTTGCAACCTCTTGTGCCCAGACTTTTCAGAAGATCTAGGGATGGATGAATCTGTCAATTTCAGTTTCTCTCAGGTCACAGCCACGCTATACATTTAAAACACTTCTTCTTTTTTTACCACTTTAACATTCATGGGTCGGGGAAGGACCGTAGCTCAGTGGCAAAAAGTCTGCTTGTATGCAGAAGACTCCAGGTTCAATCCCTGGCATCTCCAGGTGAGCTTCTCACCCACTTGATTGTCATTGCATGTTTGGTCTGATCTAGCAGTAAGGATATTACGTTCTTAACAGGGCCTATGGAGACAATACATGGCAAGTCACAAGTTGTACTGGGAGCCTCTAGCTTAGATGGCTTCAAAAGAGCATTAGACAGATCCATGGGGGAAGGACAGGCCTATCCATGGGTATTAGGTGAATGGGACATGGATGGCACTGTGGTCTAAACCACTAAGCCCCTTGGGCTTACCAGTCAGAAGGCTGGTGATTCAAATCTCCACAATGGAGGGAGCTCCCATTGCTCTGTCCCAGCTCCCACCAAACTAGCAGTTCAAAAGTATGTCAGTGCAAGAAGATAAACAGGCACCGCTGTGGCAGGAAGGTTAACAGCTTTTCTATGCGCTCTGGCTTACGTCACGGTGTTCTCTTACGCCAGAAGCAGTTTAGTCATGCTGGCCACATGACCCAGAAAGCTGTCTGTGGACAAACACCAGTTCCCTCGGCCTGAAAGCAAAATGAGCACCACAACCCCATAGTCGCCTTTGACTGGACTTAACCCTCCAGGGGTACTTTACCATTTGTTTGTTTTTGTTTGTTTACCTAGATATGTAGAATGTTGATAAGTGTTTTAATTTGCTTTAATTTATTGCAGATTCTGGGCTTAACCTTTATTAGGTGAATGGAGCATCCCTGTCCAGAGGCAGTTTACCACTGAATACCAAGTGTTGGGAGCAAAGAACAGAGAAATGCATCACCATCGTAGCCTAACTGTTAGCCTCTCGGGGCTTCTAGTTGGTCACTTGCTGGAAAGAGAATGCTAAACTAGATGGTCTGTGCCAGTAGGAACCATCTTAGTTTGAATGGCATTTCACAGAGCAAGCACAGGGAATGTGCATAAATGAAGATAACCTTTGCATATAAAAGAAGTCTTTAATCCTCAGATAAAAAGGAGGTCTGGATTTATTAGCACTAAGACATCCCTGTTGGAAATGATCAGGAGTTGCCAGCCTGTTTTCCCCTTCAAGTACCACCCTCTTAAATCTAAAGCGCCCCCCCAGCCCCACAACCCCAGTTGCCCTCTCCCCAATCGCTCTCTATCTGCACAAACCAATTAAGTTCCTAAGGCATCAGACGATCAGCTGGCGGCCCACAAGTCATTGTGTTTAATCATGTACTAATGGTGGTTTCTTGGCAATAATTACAAGATAACAGTGTTTGCAGGCTGTAATCAGAATGATTTCCATAATTAAGACAGCCTTTTCGCAGTGCATTCTGTATCAGTCTCCCCCCCCCCCCCGCCCCACTTTTATCACATTGATGGCAGCAAGCATCAGAGGGCCCTCTTCAAAGAGGGAACAAGCAAGCTCTTAAAAGCTCCCTCTACTAGGACAGGGGGTCACTTCCCTGTGGTTGACGTGGCTAATTAAAGCACGATGAAGGTGACACTTGGAAGATGTGCCAGAGGTTGCTGGGGGGCCCTGTGAGTGAAAAGGATTTCAGCTTTTGCCTGCAAAGACTGGGGTTGTTGATGAAAGGCCATAGCTTAGAGGTGGAGCATTTGCTTTGTACCACATTCAATCTCTGGCATCTCTAGGTAGGGCTCAGAATCTCTTCTGCCTGAAACCTGGAGAGCCGCTGGGCCAGTCAGTGTAGGCAGTACAGAGCTAGATGGACCATTGGTCTTGTTGGGGAAATATTGGGGTTGGTCCACAAAACTGCAGGCAAGGTGACATATTCTGGTGCCAACCCTCAACTACTTGTTGGCTGAGGTTGTGTCACACTGGCCTTGCTGTCTGACCGACCATTGGAGTTTGGATCTTATTGGCCATCCAGCCTGGACCCACAGGGTACTGAACATTGAATCCCAATATTTCCCTAACCATCTGACAGTCTCCTGTGTTCTTAGGATCCTATGTGTGGAATCAGGGCCAGCTTTGTCCTTAGGCAAGCTGAGGGGGCTGCCTCAGGTGGCATAACCCCCAAGGCAGCAGCCGGGCAAGTGCTCCACCTTCCCTTCCACAACTGCCACAGAAGTGACGCCAGTATCAGCTGAAATCACATCCGAAATCTCACAAGATCTTGAAAACGGGCAAGATCTCACCCGAAATCTCTGCCAAGGCACTGCCACTTCTTCGCCAGTGGTGGAGGTGTTAGGGCGGGTAAAGAAATGGCACCAGCAGTCACAGGTATGGTGGTAGGAACAGCAGAGCAAGGAATGGCAGCACTTCCCATTTTGCCTCAACTGGCAAAGCAGAACGTGCCACCCTTGTGTGGATTACCTACACACTCCAGGGAGGATAAAGTAGAGATGAACAATTCTTTTCCTTGGAGTGGATCTTGGAATATGCTCAGTTAACTGAATGGTTTTCTTGAAAGCTCAGAAGAAGACCTGTTTTTCTAAAACCCTTTTAAAAATCAATTTCTATTTTCTGAAATTGAATTTAAAGAATGGGTTTCGAGTCCCTAGTAAACCCTCAAATACTGACCCTGCCCAACCTTGCCCTGTCTTCTGACCCCTTCCAAGTTCCTCAGCACTGGAGGTTGCAATTACACCTGTCCTGTAGGGATGGGGAGCTGGGGAGAGAAATTGGCTCAGGTCATATTTTAATGAGACTGTATCTGGAACTTTTGCTTCCAGAAACAATATGCAAATCAAAATGCAGCTGAGATTCACACTTCTCACAGTTTTGCAGTGCAGTTCTCCAACCAGATTGCATGCATGAAAATGCATATTTTAGTGAAAATAACATGCAGAAATGCATTATATTAGGGGGAAATGCAGACAAACATTTGAACAATAGGAGAGATTCATAGTAAAATGCTAGTAATTTTTTATGAGTGTTCTTCAAAAATGACAAACTGATGTGGAAATGTAGAGAACTGAATTTATGATTGGAAAAATGAGAAATGGAGAGAAACCAAAACTGGCAGATTCCCCCCACCCCATGGTCCCTGGTGCATGTTTTAGGGAGGGGAATAAAATCTCCCAGCCTTCTGCTGCAGCCACCACCAGGACAGGTGAGTGGGAAGGCCAGCGATGGAGGGTGCAACTGGGTGGGGGCTGAAATATGAAGCTTCTGCTTCAGATTGGGGGGAAGAGGTCCCAGAAAAGGGCCATGGAAATCCAGAACTGCAGATTACTTGGAAAATAACTTTACATGTGGTGAAGGGATGAGTATGGTAAGGGATTACTGGGACATGGACTTTGCAGAAATCTCTGCTACTACAGGGCAAGTGATGCCCCCTTGACCTGCCTTTCTATGATCAAGTGGTCAGAGGATACTAAATTCAGGCACTGGTGCTTCTCTTGGTCACAGGTGTGTGCCTGAAGCTCGCCAGTCATTAGATGACACCCTCGTTTTCTGAGAAATGCTGACTGGGTGGGAATTGGGAAATTGCACTCTCAGAGCACTTGAGGTATCATAATAAATTTCTAAGGGGTTTTGCCAAAAAGAAAAGGATAAACCTGGAGAAGGACACGTTCAAGACAATTTCAATGCCTTTCTTGGCTTGTGTGAAATGGAATAAATGGTTATTACAACCCTGAGTGTCTCAAGCAAAACTGCACAGAGGTTTCATACAAAACAAGACCCTCTAATGTTCATAAAAGGATAAATAACAACTCATAATTGGACTTGCATTCTTTGCTCTGTTTCAATTATCTGTTGTCAAGCATGTACTCTGTGCATTACGTGTATTGCTCTGTAGTAGAGTTTCGAAAAATAATTATTATTGTACATATTATTTTAAAATCCCACACCTCTCTCGTTTCCTTGAAACTCATTCTCATATTATAAGCTAGAGAGTAGAGCTCTAACACTGAACATACGCTTGGGGGCTAAGCCACAGCTGATAGACTCAGGCTCAAATCAGGCCATCGCTGCCTCACGTCAGGATGTTCTAATGCCCTCCAGGGATGCTGAGCATATCACTTTCCAGGTGCATGGATCAAATCTGATTACATCCTTGGCTATGAACCGATATTCAATCTGTCTCTTGGAGAACATGAATTAATTCAAACAATCACAAACTCAAGGGCAAAAAGGTGAACAGTTAAGGTCCAGTTAAGAAAGACATGGGGCCCTGCATCGTTAAGCCTATAAAGTCAAGAAAGATACAAGTCAGTGATATCAAGTATCAACAACCACTACCCAAGTCACGTTGGCGGAGGACAAGGGCAAACAGCTGGAGACGGTGAATGGCTGCAAGGATACTGGGCAACTTAGTTCCTGTCTCCCATTTATATCCTCTCCTTTCTCTTCCTCCAAGGAGAGCAAGCTGGCATTTATGGGGAGTCATTCCATTTCATCCCCACAATGGCCTGTGAGGTTAGTTTGACTGAGAAAATGACTCTAATTGCTACACCAGGATTGTGAAACCTGTGGCTCTCCAGATGTTTCTTTACTTCCGAGGGAGGGAGGGAGGGAGGGAGGGAGGGAGGGAATCAAACTAAGTTGTTGGAAGGTTTTTTGTTTCTTTTCCCTATACAGCCTTGTGCGAATTAATTGAAACAAACAATGAATTCAGTAGTTTATTGTACAAAATTCAAATGTACATGTACAAAACTCACATATACACACATTAGTAATGGATATGACCACTGCTATTTTTAAGCAGCATTTGAACACGGTTTGGCTTGGCGTCTACTAGTTTCAAACATTCACTGTTGATTTTTGGATCCCTGTACCACATGTTGGTTTCTATTTCCTCACTGAGCAGCAAATGCTTGTCACAAGACAAATGTTTACATTCCACAGTCCGAGTTACTGTTGGGTTCCCACGGGAATGGGAGACTGGATGTGACGTACACTGGTTTCCTGTTTTTCAGTGTTCTCTCGGTTTCTTTGTGTCGAGAGTGAGTTGCTTCTCTGCTCTCACAGAGGCAGGATGGATGTTTGTATGCTCTCAGCATAGAGTGTAAATAAACTTTAGCATGTAGCACATTTACCTGCTTATCCTTTCGTTGCGGACTACGAGATTACACTCTGCTTGTATCAGCTCCAGATGGGCCGGAGCTGATCAAAACCACACTTGAATCAGTGCCTGAATGAGCTTCTCCAAAGCTGTACAGTCTACAGCATGGAGGCGACTTTTGCATATAGCCCCCAAATTCTTTTCTCCACTGGTCTTTCATCCATTCCTTGTACTTTCTTGCCCATGTATACCACTTTTCTTTCATTTTTTTGGTTAAAAGCTGTTTATTGACAGGTCTTCTGGCTTTTTGTCCGACTGCAATAAGGCACCTGCGAACTGTAGAGGAACTGATTTGGATTCCTTTCTCCTTCCAATCCATATTCAGTATGTCACTCATCTTGCGGGGATCCTTTTGCTTTGTCGAAGCAAGAAAGCATCATCTCTAGGAGTTGTTTTCTTCTTACGACCACACTTTCCTTTATGTTTAGGAGAAACCGATCCGAAACTTGATGACACGGCTGACAGTTGCTAAACACACACCAAGCGCTGAAGCAATCTCTCGATACGTTTTAGCTGTGTGTTCGTGCAGAGGTACGATCTTCGTATGTTTCCTAGGTGTCACATCCATCTTGAACGGCAGTCGAATCAAAAGCTGATGAAATACTGTAGCTGCTGATGTAATGATTGCATCATACACTATGGCGGTTGGACAGGATGCTACAATCTGATGCACTACAGGAGCTGCTGACATAATGATTGCATCATTAAAATGTAAAAAAAAAAAGATCAAACTGACTTCGTCTTTGCTTTGAGTACAGGATTACGAGTAAGATAGAAAACATGCTTTGTTTCAATTAATTCGCACAAGGGTGTAGGTACCTGACTGTTTTCTAAGATTAGTTTAAACTACAACTTCTTAGTAATCAATGTATCTGAAGCAGGTTTGCCACTCTGTTCTGGAAAGCTGACCCTATTCCCAGAATCCTTTATGGAAAATTCTATACTCTTCTGATCCACAAAGGGACTAAAAGGTAGAACTTTAAATAAGTCATCTGTATTGATATAGACCACTAGCACCATCTAGAGTGTTTGGGACTCTGGACCTCTGCTGGGAACAAATATCCTTGGTTTTATCTCCAATCCACTTTCCCAGTTTAGTCCATCTTTTTCTCCCTCCCCCCCCCCTTTGCAGTAGCCCAGCTATCTTTTTTGTAAAGGAAGTTTGAAACTATTAAGAAGGTGGAATGATCCTCTAAGTAAATTTCTGATTGGTTACTGTGATTCCACTTACATGGAACTTGGTTTGGCATTGGTCCAGCCCCTTTCCATCTGAGGTGGGAGGCCAGCTTTCATTGGCTTCAAATTCCCATAAATGTGTGGAGTATTGCTCCAGTGCTTGGTTCTCTATGGGGAGCCACATGCTCTGAGACAATTTTTCAACCAGGAAAGGACACATTCAGCTGGGATTATGTTTTTTCCAATCCTGTTGGCTGGATCAGCTATTGCAACTCTCAGTTGGAGCAGAAGAATTGCTGGAGCCTACTTCTGCCACAAACTGGACCACTATATTTGTAACCCTTCTTCTTTTTCATCGTGGAAAAGCGAGCGAGGGATACCAACTCACCAGACACCTCCTTGCACTAACAATGAGTAAGGTGACAGGATGCAGACTTTTGTTGGCACATCTAGACCTTGGGTGGAAAGAACTTTGGGATATCCTTTTCTATGCTACATTTTTTTGCTGCTGGCATTGTCAATTTGAATAAATGTGATAGTTTAACCATCACTCAGGTGTGTATGGTGGGTGCGGGGAGAGACAGCTACCTTGTCATTCAAGTTGGGCTTCTGGTGGAGGCTCAAATAAGAACCAAATATAACAGAAATAAAATATAGACATGGGCCCCCCCAACGTCGTTTTAGTCTACAATTTTATTATCTCTGTACACTACTTGGAAAATTTCATACATGAAGTAGTATACAGTGGTACCTCGGGTTGCATACGCTTCAGGTTACAGACACTTCAGGTTACAGACTCCGCTAACCCAGAAATAGTACTCGGGTTAAGAACTTTGCTTCAGGATGAGAACAGAAATCGCGCGGCAGCAGCGGGAGGCCCCATTAGCTAAAGTGGTGCTTCAGGTTAAGAACAGTTTCAGGTTAAGAACGGACCTCCAGAACAAATATTAAGTACTTAATCCGAGGTACCACTGTATAAGTGTTGTCAATGTAAATAAAAAAAACTTTTTCCTTTTTCTTTTTTAAAAAAGGGGGGACAGGGACAGATCTGGGACCCAATACAAAAGTCTCACTGTTTATCAGTGTCCCAGATTCCACTCCTGAACTCTAGGAAACCCTGGGTTGAAAGGTACCTATGCTGCACATTTGATGAGAATAAATGCAACCCAGCCAGGAAGGCAAAACATTTAAAAATGCATTTCCAATTTAAGAAGCTGAGGCGTGACGGTCTCATTTCTCTCCCAGCTTCTCATTACAGAAATGGAGAAGAAGAAGAAAAGACAACCCACTCCTAAATTGAATGTAACAGGCAATATGATGTGAAGGCAGTCCACACGGTCAGCAACAAATTCAGCTAACAGTCATTTAAATTTTAAAGTGTGTGTGTGTGTGTGTGTGTGTGTGTGTGTGTGTGTTCGAGCTCAGTAAAAGACTGTTATGGAGAGAATTGACTGGAATATTGTTTTTATTTGTTTTGTTTTGTTTTTGAGGGGGGTGGATGCAGCTTTCCCTGTGTTAAAAGTTGAGCTGAACACCCCATCTTTATATAATGGAGTGCAACAACTTTGTATGGACCTACACAAGCCCTTCATTGGCCACACAAAGCCTTTGTTGGATGCCCTGGCAAGTGCGGCCTTCTTTAACCTGGTTGCATCTAGCAGTTCCCAGCAGCCCGTCAGTATGGGTGGCAGGCCGGGAACTGTAGCTCCCAAAATCTGGTTGGTGAAGGTTTGTCTAGCAGTTAGAGCAACACAACTGTCAGTGGATTCAGTTGCTATTTGTGGGCCTCTTTGCAGTTTGCTTTCATTTCTCTCCCCCAGGACCCCTTCACAGCAGAAAGAAAATGCTAAAGCTTTTCCCAAGCTCCCTGCAGTCCCCCAGAGTGTGGAAAACAACAACAGGCTTCTCCTCCCGACTACATGCGTGTTTATTAGAATGTGTTCAGATTTTCTAATGAATGTGTATAGGGTGGGAGCACAGCCAGACCCTCACTCCCCCCTCCCATATACACAGGCTCTGGAATATAATATTTAAGGCTGCAGATGGGGTGCATATTTGAAAACTCCACAATTAAAATTAAAGGACTGGCACGTCAGGAGGAAAGGTGGGCTGGTCCTATCTCCCGCACTTGATGATTTTCATTCTGCAGGGAATTTTTCAGTGAGATAGGATTCCATAAATAGACATGCATCCCTCCCCCACCCACAGCCTAAGGACGAATATGGTTGATATAGAATGACTTTGGGCATTTGAATATTCCAATTACTTTCCCTTGGTGTAATAGGGCTGTTGTTTTGTCTAACCATTATGTCTGTGGTATATACAGTTTTAGTTGCTACCTTCCACGCATTCACTTACCTGTAGCTTATTTGCTTTCATGCCTGTATTTGTTCAACAGTGATTTATCATTGTATATGGACTGTGTATACTGTCATCAGATCCTGTTTGATAACACTGTGTTTTGCAGAATTTTGTACAATTTTGGGGGGGGAAATTTATAACAACAACATCTAGCTCAGGCCCTGAGACATGGATACAATGATGTCCTGATAAGTCTTTGAGCATTGGTACGCATTACAATGGCAACCACCGCCCCCCCCTTCTTCTTTTCCTTCTGGTTGTTCCAAGAAAAGAAACGAAACAGGGCTCTTTTTGTATTTCTGTGTGGGAAGCAGGAAGCAATTATTTTGCCTGGTGCCCCAGAAGGAAGACCATTGCATCCACAGCCCCTTCAGTCAAAACATGTCTGAACATGAAGTGGATGGAGTGTGGGGCTTCTGCCAATGCAAACCGCAGCCTGCCACCCGCCCTGGAACATCCCCTGCTGGTAAATGCTCACAACTGGGTGCCTTTAATTACAGAACACTTCAGCATCCCCAGTTCCTATGGCTTTCAAGAGAGAGTACAGAAATAATTAATAATCATGAGCACACACACGCAAACACAGAAGAAGAAGAAGAAGAAGAAGAAGAAGAAGAAGAAGAAGAAGAAGAAGAAGAAAGGAATTGGAAGAAAACTGTAAACCAGGGCAGGAAGATCACTCCCAATAGATTGTTAATCCATTGGGTTCTGTACTGGAGGTGATGGGGCCACATGTTCTTTGGGGGCCTAGATCTGCTAGGCCTCCCAGCTGTCACCAGTCTGCTGCCTGAGGCAACTGCCTCACCAAGGCAAATGTGTGGGGCTGGTCCTGCCTCCTTTCTTTGGTTAAATGTTCCTCGCTCTTTTCCAGACAAAATAAATAAAAAATTTTCCAGGAGCTCAGCACAAACTTAGCTGGTCTCTAAGGTGCTACTGGACCATTTTTATTTATTTAGACTCTGTCAGACCAACACAGCTACCTACCTGAATCTTTTCCAGACAGATTGTGGAACTCTGGAAGAAGAGAGACTCCCAATGCTTTATATGCAAGTTTACTCAGAGGAAAGTCCCACACACTGTGTACAACCTTCAGGTAATTAATGTTCCTTCTAACGTGAGCCTGTGTGAGAGGGTCGATGTCATTCCAGAGCTTGAAAGCTCTGAATGCTCCACAACATGCCTTTCTCGTGGCCCATTTCAGCTCTGTGCTGAATGAGTCTGATGCCTGAGTTCAGTCAGCAGCTGCAAATCCAAGAACACAAAGGGAAACCTCACAGATGAGGGCAGTAGAAGATATCAGCTGGGTCCTTTTGCATCCTAGGATATCCCTGCAATATCAAGGTTTGGCGAGTCCCATTTGGTCTGCACCAGTGAAGTGACTCAAGCCAAGCTAAGACATGCACTGGCAAAGGGAAAGGAAGAAAGACATCGAGACCTGGGCAGCTACTTTAATTAAAACATAATCTTTCTTAATCTGCTCAGGCACTGTCCTTCCAAATCACTCCCTTGTAAAAGTTGTGGGGAAAGCTCTTTAATCATATCAGCTTGGTAGCCTTCCATGAGCTGGGGCCTCTGAAGATTGGGCCAGGCGTCCAAAGGGTAAGCTTTGCATTTTCATTAATCATAAGCTTGTGGAAGGGTTTTCTCCTACTCCTTCTTCCTCTGCCATGCATTTTGTTAAGCCTGGGAGGGTCTATGAACACAAATATCCTCCCAGGCATCTGAAGTGGATTCCTTAAGTTAATTCTGCATTGCATGAAGGAGGACATGCTTTGGTCTCTCTTGAAGCTGCAGGCAGTCAGTTTCATCAAGTGATCTCTCCCATCCTCCATACCAGTTATGGTACCAAAGGTCCAGAAAAGGAAAACCAAAATCATCAACAGGCTGGGGTGACTCCCCCACAGACAAAGGTTGCAGCAAGTGGCGCTTTTTAAGAGGTGACACAATGTAAGTTTATAAAATTATGAATGGCATGGAGAAAGTATATAGGCTAAAGCTCCCCCCCTCCCAATATAACACTAGAACTCATGGACATCCAATGACAGATAAAAGAAAGGACTTCTTCATGCAACACCTTGGTTAAACTATGGAATACTCTGCCACAAGATGTAGTGATGGCCACCAACTTGAATGGCCTGGATGAATTCATGGAGGATAAAAATATCAATAGCTGCTCGGCACGATGGCTGTGCTTAGGAATACGAGTTCCTGGAAGCCACGAGAAAGCTCTTGTGCTTGCGTTCTGCTCGCGAATATTCTGCAGGCATCTGGTTGGCCACTGTAGAACAGGATGCTGGACTAGATGTTCTAATTATTATTATTATTATTATTATTATTATTATTATTATTATTTATTATTTATACCCCGCCCATCTGGCTGGGCTTCCCCAGCCACTCTGGGCGGCTTCCAAAAAAATATTAAAATACTATAATACATCAAATATTAAAAGCTTCCCTAAACAGGGCTGCCTTCAGATGTCTTCTGAAAGTCTGGTAGTTGTTGCTCTCTTTGACATCTGGTGGGAGGACGTTCCACAGGGAAGGCACCACTACTGAGAAGTGGGAGGGGGGAGGGAGAGAAGAAATCTCTCCAATTCCTCTGGCTCATGTGCAATTTTATAAATGTCAGTCAGGTTCCCCCTTAATCCTTTTCCTGCCTTTTTCTTAAGCAAAATGCTCCAAAGCATTTTGCCTTTCCTCATAAGGATCCAGTGCCTTGATCTGTTTTATTTCAGCTTTACTGAGGACACTTGGGAGAAAGAGTCATGTCTTATAGCAGAGGTTGCCAAAAGACCCGATGCTGCTGGACTGCAACTCACATCACCCCTCATGGTGGCTGAGGCTGATGGGAGTTGGAGTCCAACAACACCTGAAGAGCTATAGGTTAACCACCCATTGGACAATTTATTCATTTATAAATGGTAGCTTATGATAGGCTGATGAAGAGAAGGTGGAATAGTCAAATACATAAGCTAAATAATCAAAAATATTTCTAATCTCATTTCTGTATAGCTCATTCCAATAATCCTCCAAACAGTTCCATCTCTCTGCAGCTATTGAAATCCATTTCATGCCTTCTCTTTCCTGAATTGCATCTGTTAGTTTATCCATCATTGCCAGTTCAACACGTTTCATTAGCCATTCCCAAACGGGTGGTAAATTCCGGTCCTTCCATTTCCTTGCCTGCATGATTTTTGCAGCCATTAATAAGATAAAACTAAAAATCTTACAGTCTTCTCCACCTCATTTCTTTCCAATGACATTGAACAGGACCAGCAAAAAAAAGTAGCTCCTATTGTAATGTCCACGATGTCTGGCATACATTGAAAAATTGTTCTCCAGTAACATATAGCAGTCGGACAGCCGCACCACATATGACGAAAGTGAGCACAATCAGCTTGGCACTCTCAGCATTTAAAATAATTAGCCCTGTAGAGTCTATTTAATCTTTCGAGTGCTATGTGTTAGGTACCATCTGAAGAGCAATTTATATTGTTCCTCTTTTATGGATACACTATATGACAGCTTGTCAAACTGGTTCCACACTTATCTCCAAAATGGCTCCGTTGCATCTCTGCCTAATTCTCTTCCTCATCTCATTCTACACACTATTTACTTTCACATTTTTGTTTATTTATGTTTATCCCGTTGCATATGTATATCCCACCTTTCTTCCACCCCAACACCCAAGGCAGTGTAAATGTGGCTCCCATACAGCCTCTCATCCAAGCACTGACCAGACCCAGACCTGCTCAGTCTCAGTAAAATGATATCATCTGCCTACAAAGCACATAACCTTCACTGCCTACTCTGGCTCTGTGAGGCCTCATCATCTGCCACCTGATCCTTTTGCTTGCTATGCCAAATACTGAACCAGGACCTTTTATACTGAAAGCACAGGCTCTACCTGTGGGTTACATCTCAGTAGGCTAAGTAGCTTCAGATCCATACAAGTGTTTGGAGTTGTCACAACACCTAGGGGGTGGCTACCACCCTCCTTAGGCCCTGCTTATGAACTCCCAACAACATCTAGCTGTCCACTGTTAGAAGCAGAAAGCTGGGCTAGACGTATCTGTAGCCTGAAACAGCAAAGACATTCTTATGTTCACTGGTTGGACTGTTTGTGTATGTCTTTCCCACTTTGATATACTGTGCTACTGCAAGCAGGTCTCCAATTTAAAGACCTGTCCATAACCCACGCGGTGTCGACATTTGAGAATCTTTGAGCAGCAATCTAATCTGAAAGTGGGAGAATTTCAGGGGCACTCATACACCTTGCTCCCTTCCCCCATTTTACTAGTGCTCTGTTTACTCAACCAGTCTGATCTTGGTCTTTTTATTTTTCATGCCACACAAACTCTTATGCTTTGCAGTGCATCTTTGGAAAGCAAACAGTGCCCCCTGGTGCAAGAAAGAACAAAAGAAAGAAAGAAAGAAAGAAAGAAAGAAAGAAAGAAAGAAAGAAAGAAAGGACTGCAAACATTAAAACTTGTCTGTTGGCGCTGGGCTGTAGTGCAGGAGCAGAACCTATTCTTTTCTTGCAGATGGTCTGAGATTCAAACCCTGACCCTCTGTTCAGGATGATATGGGAAAGAATCCTGCTGGAAACTCTGCAAATTGCTGCCTGTCATTGTAGAAAATATTGAACTAGATGGGCAAATGATTTGATTTGGTATAGGACAGCTTTCTGTGTTCTAGCTAGGAGTAGATCAGCAACTTCCTCTTCTAACAAGCTTCCACAGCAGCATAGAGACTGAGGCACCAGGCTCTGGCTGCCAGAGTCCCTAAGTTTGAATACCTTCTGCTGTGCTCGGGTCTTGCTTTTGGGCTTCTCATAGGCACCAAATTAGCCACTATGAGAAGAGAATATTGGGCTGGATGGGTCTCTGGCTTGATGCAACAGCCAAGCTCATCTTATGCGCCTACCAAGTGCATCACACATCAAAGCCTTATTCGTACACTCAGGTTGTAAGCGCAATCATCATGCAAGCGAGAGAGGGAAGGAAGGAACAGTGCCCCTCTGGCATGTACCCTTCCCGCTTTTCATCCTCAGTCTCCACAAATGAGGGCAAGCATGAGGCGGAGAGCCTCCTGCACCGCTTGGTAGTCCTGAACAGTAAGCGGTAGGTTAATATTTGAAACAAACAGACAAATGATGACAACTGCACATACGAACTGATAGCCCTAACAGGCTGAAAGTGCCAATTTAAAATCACCATTCTATAGCAGCAAAAGTGGGGAGACACTTTCTGAGGAAAGGTTGGCAGGATGTGGCAGCACAGGCCTCCCCTTTGCCCCTTCTTCTCTATGGGCTCCGTGAGATGACCTGTATACTTAGTGTTCATTCCAAGGTTAGATGATGCCTGGTATTTGTTGAATAGTCTTTCTTCTTCATTGCTGGGCCGTTATATGACAATGAGCATTCATCCTGATTTGGCTTTGGGGTGTTTATGTGTCTTCTTGTGAATCATCCATTTACCTCAGACTTCTCCATGCATTTTCCTGCTACTTCCCTAACTTCAAAAAGTCCCATTCTTTTTTTAGAGTGAATTGCACGAACTTAAATTGATGGTCTGTGATGAGTCCCTCACACAAAACACTGATGGTCTGCAGGCATCCTATACAGTGGTACCTCAGGTTAAGTACTTAATTCGTTCCAGAGGTCCGTTCTTAACCTGAAACTGTTCTTAACCTGAAGCACAACTTTAGCTAATGGGGCCTCCCGATGCCGCCACGCCGCCGGCGCACAATTTCTGTTCTCATCCTGAAGCAAAGTTCTTAACCCCAGGTACTATTTCTGGGTTAGCGGAGTCTGTAACCTGAAGTGTATGTAACCTGAAGAATATGTAACCCGGGGTACCACTGCAAATGTTTTTGCCACAATGGGAAACACAAAGTGGTGCTCCAAGCATTGTCTGGGCCTATTTCACCCCACAATGTCTCTGCAGAAAAGCAGTGACAATGCAGCATCCAGTCAGGTACATTTGGGGTTTTTTTGCAGCTGGGGGTCAGGGGCGGACCCGACTGCCCTCAGTAGAACCCTTGGCGGCAAAAAAAGTTGGGGGCGGAGAGCATGTCTATTAAAAAATTCAGCCTCCCGCCTCTGAAACGGCCAGCCCACCAAAGATTGTAGGTTTCTCCCCCCACAAAATTTTTATTGTTCCTCACCCAGGGAATGTGCCCAAAAGAAAAGAAATCAATTCAGAACTTTCAGCACAGCATTATCTTACACTGAGCTGCTATATAAATTATAATGTGCAATTTATTAAGCTAACTAGGGAACTCGTTTTTCTTTCCGAATCAGTAGACTTGTTAAGCAGGTGGTTGGGGCTGACTTGGGTTATATTCCCACGTCTTCTGTTTAGCTGCCTCTGGCCACATTAATTAATATTCATAGCACTTCATTCTAAGTGTCCAATACAATTAAAGCACCAGCAGGTCTTTGTTTAATTTTTTTTTAATAAAAAAAATTGGCTAACTCTCTTTTGATTTACCCTGAAGACTGAGATGACAAAGATGACAGGACTGTTTCTTATCCTCCTTGTGCCAATGATTTATTGTTATTTGGGCTGAAGTTTGGCCAGTCGCCTGGCCTTTTATTCCTGCAGAAACACTCTGATTTCAATCTCTCTCTCTCTCTCTCTCCCCCCGGCCCCCACTGCTTTCATGGCATCCAATCTTCTATTTATACAATGAATATTTATGAAGGCCCTTAATGAAAAAGATGGAGCATGCGAAGGGGAAGAGGAGGGAGGGGGAAGAGGGTTTTCGTTCATTTTTTCCATTTGTCAGATGCATTGTGGAGGCTTGTTAGTATGCAAGAGGCTTAATTTCTTGATTAAATTTCATCTTACAAATATAATATTGGAAATTAACTTCCACCTATTTTGCCCAACTTGAGGTGGGTGGCAGAGAATCAAGGAAGTGGTCCCCTGGGCATCACATGACAGGACTCACCAGTGATGGTACACGCCCATGTCGCTATACTGGCTGGTCTCGCAACAACTTCTTCCTTATTAGCCCCTCTCCAATCCCCACAGAAGCTAATGATACCTGGGCTTGTATTCTGTAAAAGGGCACAATGCAATAGCGATGAGAAATCTGTGATGGTTTTATTATGCATTCAGACTCTCCTACCAAACCCTATGACTGGTGAGACGTGCAAACTGGCATATTGCTTCCATATTGAAAGAAGGGCACTGCCTATTGTAGTCTGTGGTAGCGGTTTTGTCCTTCAAAACTGTACATCAGGAGTAGCGAAATCTTTAAAGCCAATGAGCACACTTGGAATTTTGATGACGTTCTATCAGCACCGGCCACAAAATGGCTGCCACAGGGTGTGGCATAACTGGAAATATTTGCCATGGCACCATTTCTTATTCTGGTTTTTGTTCTAAAATAAAGAAATGGAAGAATAAATTTCTTCCCCACAAATAAAAGTAATGTCACTACAAATGCTCCTGTAGAGGACAGCTGTGAACATTTATTATGGTCTTATACACAGAGCCTCAAGTTCAAGAAGTGCTTGGAATTCCTATTTTAAATAACCTGGACAGTTCTGCTGTTCAGGACCTTGGAGAGTTCAAGAACACTGCCATTCCCTACAACCACATCCTCCTGCTTTGGAAGTTGAATTGTAAGATTTCAAATTCGTAGATCTTACAGCTAAATTGGTTAGCAGATATATGAAGTGTTAGCCTCAATTAATTGTTTTGTAAAAGTGGATAAATTGTCAAATGAGAATGACACAGGACTTCAGAGTTTGGGTAGGGGAATTTCAAGTTTTGTTAAAAATTCAGTGACAAACTAGGGAGAAAACAGCCTTGTGTCGCCTTAACAACTAACAGATTTATTGTGACATAAGCTTTTGTGAACCAGCTTTCATCAGAGGCATGGAACACTACCCTTGGCCAAGTATTCTTAAAAGACTGGAATAACTTTCTAACATATTTGAGAGACCACTGTAAACAGTTGAAATCACTGGCAGGAATACAGTGACACTTGTAAAGTAACATGAATTTAGGACACTATGATTATATAATAGATTTAGAATTGGAACCCCATGGAAGGAGGTCTGAAGGTTCGAAAGAACCTTTTTTCTAATGTTGAAAATGTTGTGTTTGTTATGTATAACTTTTACCTAAAACCAATAAAAAAGCCCATGAAAGCTTTTGCCACCAAAAAATGGTTGGTCTTCACAGCATTTCATGACGCTCCATCGTCCAGTATGGCTATCCCCTAGAATAAATGATGTAGCTAAAGTCCTAGCATTAAAACCTGAGATTCATCCCTGCACACACACAACAAACACATTTCAGAACTGGAATTTGAATCAAATTTGGAAAGTTAGCTACATTTCAAGCCCTTCCACAAAATGTGGACAATACGGTATCTAAAGGATCACAGAGCCAGGTTGGTCCTCCAAAGTAATCCGTTTTATCCCCTGAACAAACCCAGAGAAGCAATTAAGTTAATTGGCATTCATTCTTCATTTTATTGTCTTGTTTGACTAGCTATTTTTTGTGGAGAGAAAAAAATAATGATTTTTAATTAGTACTTCTAAAATAACATTATTTTACAAAGATTTACAGCTTTGGAGAGATGATTCGGGGCGACTCTGATAAATAATCAACCAAAAATTGTATCTCATAAAAAGTACAATAATAATGCAAGTAAAAATGAGGACAAATTTGGAGACTTCAATCCTTCCATGCAAATGCAATATAATGTGACAAAAAGTTAACAAGTTAGAGATTTAGAAGGAAAGGGACTGAAAGAGTAAAGGGGGCCCAGTGAATCAATGAAATAATTAAAGAATTATCAAGGGATCAATTGATAAGCTTGTTCTTAAATTCTTCTGATAGCAAGCTTTGCTTTGCTATTTACACATAGTGAGGTGAAGAAAAACTCGGATGGGTAGGGAATGATCAAATACTACATTTTGAAAAATCAAATGCTACTTTTTAAGAAAATTCATTCATGCCGTAATTCCAATTTTCCCCCAATGTGGAACTATTCCACACAAACACTCACAGAGAGAAGTCACTGTGTGTACTCTGCAGAAGCTTTCTCCCAAAATGATGCCTTCAATTTTTGGACTACATCTTCCATATGCCCCAGCCAGGACAGCCATGATGTCTAGGGCTGATGGGAATTGTAGTCCAAACATCTGAGGAAACCGGATTAGGGGAAGCTGCTCTACAGAGTCAACAAATTATAATATGATTTGGGGTCAAGATAAAGGATAAAATCCCCTCCCCCTTGCTTTGGAACCATTGACAACATCTATCTAGACAAAACACACATTTATTTTCATGGCAGTGAGATGGGGTCAACAATTACCTCTACGTATTTAAAAGAGGAACAGTCATTCAGTGAGGTTTCATGTGCAATTTCGATCCAAGCTATTAAGACAAGTTTTGCATCTCTGCGAGTCTCCATGGGCGCCTTTTAATTCACCTCGATTCAGGCTACTCACAGTGGCCAAGTTTTGTCTTCTCAACAGCAATGGACTGTTGCCCAAGCAATAGACAGAGCCTCCTCACTCCGTAAGAGCTTTTGATTGGCTGTTCCCCGTCTCTTTGCTCTCAAGTCCTGGTGTGTTTGGTCCCTCAATGCCAGTGGTGGAGCTTTTGCCAGCTCAATGCAACAGAACTTTTCCCCGACCACATTTAGTACGAAGGTCCTTTGACAGCACCTGGTTCAGTCAGGCGGGCTGAAGCATAGGCAGAGGCTCCTAGGCAAGCGGCTGCCTCACAGAGCCCAGGAGAACCAGGAGGGCCAGGTAAACCAGGCCGCCCGGCTTCTCCTGGAACACCTGGGGTGCCTCGCTCTCCCTCTTTGCCATTCGTGGCTTGGCCAGGGTGTCCTGGAAGACCTAGAAGAATGAAAAGAGGCATGGGTAGTTCATGCTTGTGCATCTTTTGTGGGCAAAAAGTAGGTCAGGACCTACTGGTAGGTGTCTGGCTGATTTGCAATAGATCACCAAGTGTTTCTGGCACCCAACCACTTAATGATCACAACAACTTTTGTTTGCTGAAACAAAGACAGATTTTTGTGTGATAGAACTGTGATCTCAGTTCTACTACTGAGAACAATTTCCTGGAGTGAGATGCATCTGGGAGTGCCTTCATCCACTGCCACTGCCCCTTTCTATGACACTATTTTGCATTTGGCTCCAGTTGGTGGACCTCAAAGTTCTGGGAGAAAAGCAAAAGAGATTCCCATGTGGCCATGCTGGCTGGGGCTGATGGGAGCTCGAGTCCAACACCTGGTGGGACAGTTTCCCACACCTTACACACACACCCATCAGGCAGCCAAGTGCATTGTTTCAGGTGTGAAGCACACAATTAACATTTCTTTTCTCCTCTCCACTGCCATTCCATGCTTCACAGCTGATTCCACATTCTTGGTATGTTAAAGCAAACAGAAAAACCCAAACCAGGTTACCAATCGTAAAAGAAAAAGGAGGCAAAATAGTTCCATCATGACTGTAAGAATAAAATGGTGTTTGCTTTTCCTAGTCTGGTGCTAAACACCTTTACCATAAGCACCAGGGAAATGGATGATGCTCTTTAAAATAAAAATAATGAAAAGATCATCTGTAGCCATGGGCATGCCCAGTTGGCTGCCCCGACTATAAAAGGTTTCTAAAAGAAATAAGAACAAAAAGATGTCACAGCAACCGGGGTCAGCCCTGGCATACCCATGGCAGCCTAGATTCTGATGCTGGGCCTGTTTGCTGTGACCTCTTTATTCTCACGCTTTCTGGGTGGGCATTTTGGGGAGGGGACTGGGTTGCGGGATGCCAGCCTGTTGGCAAGACCCTTGACAATGCTGCTCAAAGAGACAGTGGACTGAAAGGTAGGTGCGATAAGTGATCTGGGATCATGCTGAGTGGAAGACCCATGGCCATGGAGCATGTGGTGGGGTAGATCTGTGGGGCCTAAATGGAGCAGGGGCAAGGCAGTGTGGTTGTACCAGTGTCCTGGCCCCAACCTCACTACTGCTTCATTCCCATCAGGGGCAAAGTGGGCACCAGAAGGCACCTCTGCCACACCACATGTACCACTACTGCCCCAGGCAACTTGTATTGATGTCATGTGGGAAGTCCCTGACAAGCCTTCCATTTGTGATTTGCCCTTGGTGCCTCTGCAGTCACCTTACCTGGTATTCCTGGTGGCCCTGGCATCCCTTGATGTCCACGGCCGGGCTCTCCCTGCTCCCCTTTCTCGCCCCTCTTTCCTGTAGAATTGGAAGGGGGGGAATAGTGAGAGACTTTTAACACTTCATGCACACACCCCTCCGGGACTGACAGCAGAGCAGCTGATCCTGCATTGCTCTTGCTGAAGAAAAGCTCTTATTTAACAAAATTTATATACCACTCGGTTGCAGTTAAAACCTCAAAGTGGTTTACAAAAATTAAAACATTGAACTTATCAGTAAAAGGCAGTTTAAAACAAGTTTTTTGAAGACATACAACGGTAATTAAAATCAGCAATAAGCTATCACAAAGGAAACCGACATGATTCAGCTTCCCCACCCCCATTGCCAGTTATGCTTAGTTATGCTGCGATTCCACAAAGAAAACCCATAGAATGTGCAAACGTGTGCAGAAGTCAGCTTCTTCAGAATCTCAGCTTTAAAATTTGAGCAAGTTTCTAGCCCTCATGGCTGAAATCAGCAGGTGGTTGGAATCTGATGGGGTTTAAGTGCCCACACATAGTTCCTTGCCACCCCTCCCCATGACTAGCAAAACTTGAAACTATGCAAGACAGAAAACACTGCAGAACATGTCAGAGAAAATAGTCATATTTGCAAAGTTTACCAAGGGGATTCTGATACTGGTTTGGGGGGCAAACACTAACCATATTTTGCTGGTTTGGATGTCAGAATGAACCATTGCTAAGCACTGAAGAAGAGGCAGCATGGGGAGGAGGAAGCATGCCACATGTCATTTGAATTGAGCCACAAAACTCAATGATGCTTTTCATGCAGAGATGGGCTCTTACCTTTAGGTCCAGTGTTGCCAATTTGTCCTACAGCTCCTAGGATTCCTGGGATGCCTCGAGGGCCAGGGTGTCCATGTGGCCCTTGCTGACCAGGTGACCCAGGTGGTCCTGGAGGTCCAGGTGGTCCCATCACACCTGCCCCACCTATGGCATCTCTTTTAGCACTCACAGCTAACTCAGCCAGTTGTTCTGTAATGCAGAGTGAGTGAGAGAGAATGAGAGAGAGGCATTGCATGTACCTGGGGATCCTCCATCCTTATTGGCTTCAGCAGATTCAGGGCAGACAAAAAGAATGTGCTTTTCGTATGTATTCATACAATACGCAATTAACACGTGGAATTCACTATGGCTTTAAACAAAATTAATTCAAGGAGGATGGATCTATGAATGGCTATTAACCTCCACAGACAGAAACTAAGAAATAGGGATGGGCCAATCGGTCAATTTTAGTTTCTCGCAGTTTCTCATTCTTCCAATCTTGAGTTCAATTCTCCACTTTTCCATATCAGTCCTCATGAAAATTCATCAGAATTTTCATGTGAATCCCTCCTAATACACACAATTTATGCAATTCCCCCTAATAGAATTTATTTTGTATATTATTTTCACTAATATATGCATATTTATACACATCCTGTGGCTAGGGAAATGCATTGCAAAATTCAGAGAAGTGGGCATTTCGAAGGATTGCTGAGTTCATGTTTTGGTTTAGAAAGTGCAAATTGGGTAGCTTCACATTTAAATGCTGGACCAAATTCCTGCCCCTCCACTACTAAGAAATGGACATTTTGTTACTCCAAGCCAAATTCCAGTGTGTCTTGGAGTGATAATATGTGCTAAATGTATCAGGAGAAAGACCGGGTTGTTTTTTCCTTGAAAATAATGAATGGGACACTTTTCACATTAGCATTATTTAGGACAAAAAAAACCCCACCCCAGTAGCCAAATACAATAGATTTTATTGCAGAATAAAACTGCAAAAGTGGCTGAATTTTGAGGACATTATTTACTAATGGGCAGCTGATGAAACTCTAGAAAGACTACACTGTATATCTTTCCTTCCTTCCTTCCTTTCTTCCTTTTTTGGACATACACCTCTTCAAGTTCTCACCATTATTTTCTGTTGTTTGTTTCTTGCAACCACATAAGCCCTGCTGTGAGTTTTAGATCATCAACCCATCACATAGGTGGTCATTCCCGTGGTCATTTGAAATTGTAGTGCCTCCATACTAACATTGCTAATTTCATCAGCCTGAACAGCCTCTTACCACATGTCCCGCGTATGTCCATTTTAATTTTGTGGCCTTTTCCACTACCATCCATAACTTTCAATATATGTCATATACAATTATTAGTTTTTCTATATAATAATAAATAATAATAATAAATTTTATTTATACCCCGCCCTCCCCAGCCGAAGCTGGACTCAGGGCGGCTAACAACAATCAAAATAGTCCAACATTCTAAAAACCTTTCATTATAAAAATTAATTAAAATCAAATTGATGGCAACCATTAAGCAAAATTCTGTGCAGATTGCCAGAGGAGGGGGTCAGGGTGCGCCCTGACCAAAGGCCTGGTGGAACAGCTCTGTCTTACAGGCCCTGCAGAAAGATGTCAGGTCCCGCAGGGCCCTAGTCTCTTGTGACAGAGCATTCCACCAGATTGGAGCCGCGGCCGAGAAAGCCCTGGCTCTAGTTGAGGCCAGCCTAACTTCTCTGTGGCCTGGGATCTTCAGGATGTTTTTATTTGCAGACCGTAAGTTCTTCTGTGGGACATACCAGGAGAGGCTGTCCCGTAGGTACGAGGGTCATAGGCCGTATAGGGCTTTAAAGGTTAAAACCAGCACCTTAAACCTAATCCTGTACTCCACCGGGAGCCAGTGCAGCTGGTATAGTACCGGATGAATGTGATCTCGCAGCGAAGACCCCATAAGGAGCCTCGCCGCGGCATTCTGCACCCGCTGGAGTTTCTGGGTCAGTCTCAAGGGCAGCCCCACGTAGAGCGAGTTACAATAATCCAGTCTGGAGGTGACCGTCGCGTGGATCACAGTGGCTAGGTCAGGGCGAGAGAGATAAGGAGCCAACTGCTTAGCTTGGCGGAGATGAAAATGCCGCCTTTGTTATAGCTGTAATCTGCGCCTCCATAGAGAGGGAGGTATCAAAGATTACACCCAAACTCTTAACGGACGATGCTGGCACTAATTGCACCCCCGCAAGAGATGGGAGTTGCCCCCTCATTCCCATATCACCCCATCCCAGCCAGAGGACCTCTGTCTTCGAAGGATTTAACTTCAACCGGCTCCCACGTAACCATCCAGCCACAGCTTCCAGACATCTGGTCAGTGTGTCTGGGGCCGAGTCAGGATGGCCATCCATCAACAGATAGAGTTGGGTGTCATCGGCATACTGATGGCAACCCAGCCCAAAACTCCGGACAAGCTGGGCAAGGGGGCGCATAAAGATGTTAAAAAGCATCGGGGAGAGAATTGCACCCTGAGGCACTCCACACACCAAGGAGTGGCGCGATGACAATTCCCCCCCAAGCGCCACCCTCTGTCCCCGACCAGAGAGAAACGAGCGCAGCCATTGAAGGACTGTGCCCTGGATCCCCACGTCGGCAAGGCGGTGGTCCAGGAGTTCGTGATCAACCATGTCGAAGGCTGCTGACAGGTCTAGAAGAATCAGCAGCCCCGACCCACCTCAATCAAATTGTTATTTAAATTTGGCTGTCCTTCAAGGGACGTTAAAGACCTAATTATACTAAATAATTGCGCCGGGCGAGCGCTAGTGGAGGCAATGGAGGCCGAGAAGTAGGACTTCTTAGCGGCCTTCACTGCCATCTCGTAGGTTTTCATTAAAACCCTGTAAGATGTTTTTGAGGCTCCGTCACGGGCACCCCGCCATACTCGCTCTAGCTGTCTGAGATCCCGCTTCATTTTCCGAAGCTCCTCGGTAAACCTGGGAGCCCGGTTTCTGTGGGGTCGTAGAGGGCGCCTAGGTGCGATCTCATCGATGGCTGCTAGGAGCTGGATATTCCAGTCCTCAACAAGCTCAGTCAATGAGTCGCCAGGGGGAGCAAGGTCCCGCAAGGCCTGACGGAATCTATCAGGGTCCATCAGCCTCTGCGGGCAAGCCCAAATTGGCTCTCCACCTAAGCAGGGTGGGGGTGGAAAATCAATCCTTGAAAAATCATGCCTTGAAGGACCTTAAGAAATTCTTTCAGGCAATAGATGCGATGTATTCCAGTGAAGTCCAGCAAAGTGTGACTCGACGAGAACTGATGGGGTGCAAGCAGGGGAGCCAGTCAGTTAGAGACTACTGGTCGCGCTTTGCAATGTTGATCCACCGGCTCGGGTGGGATCTGGACTCTGAACCTATTCAAATGTTGTTTGAGGAGGGGTTGTCCCCAACGGTGAAGGACAAGCTGTCCCGCGCACGCCGCCCACAGTCGATGGATCAGCTGACCAAGGCTGTGCTTGCGATTGGAGTGCGGCAGGAAGCGCGGGGTCAGGAGAAACGCAAAGTGAGAGGGGAACGTTGCCATGACTACTGCATTCCTGAAATACCAAGACATCTTTCCCAGGCGGCTGAGCCAATGGAAATAGATGGCGTGCGCGCACGCGAGGTTTCAAACTCCAGTGAAGGTCGCAAGAGGGAGGGGAAGGATTGGAAAACCACCAAGAAGTATTTCCTCTGCCAATGGCCAGGACATTTTGCAAGGGTCTGCCCTCAAAGAAAGGCCTGGCAAGGGATGGTGGGGGCTGCCGGCTGTGAGGAGAAGGGGGAGGAAGGGCAGGCGCAGGGAAACAACAACGCCTGGCTGCCAACCAGAGGGGCCAGCAGCCAGGCCAGCAACCAATAGAAGTGCCCCAGCCTGACCCCCCCAGGGAAGCGATAGCCATAGCAGTAGTGCTAGAACTCCCGAATGGGCACCCAGTCAAGGTTGAGGGGCTGCTGGATTCGGGCAGCTCCTGCAATTTCTTCAGCAGGGACTTCACCTTGGAGCACCAAATACACTTGCTACCCCTGGATTTTCCCTTGCAAGTGACCACCATCGATGGCAGGGAACTTCTGGGAGGGGAAGTGACACACCAGACCCTGCCAATGCGAATGAGGGTGTCCAGGCACACGGAGACCATTGCCTTTCATGTGGCCACACTGGCAAGACCCCCAATAATACTGGGGATGAGCTGGCTGGCACTGCATGATCCAGTAATGTCATGGCATCAGCGGTCAGTCACCTTTGGGTCAGCTTACTGTTTGGAACACTGTCTGGGGGGGGAACCCCAAGAATGACAGTGGCCAGGGTGGCTGGGCTGGCAGTGGAAACAAAGGGAGAGGTGCCACCACCATACGCTGACCTAAAGGAAGTCTTCAGCGAGAAGGAGGCGGATAGACTACCCCGCCATAGGCCCTTTGACTGCCAAATCAACTTAATTCCAGGAGCTCAGCTGCCGGTGGGTAAGCTGTATGCCATGTCGGACCGGGAGATGCAGGAGTTACGGCAGTTTATTGACAAGAACCTGAAGAGGGGGTTCATAAGGGAATCAAAGGTGGTGGGGGGCAGTCCGGTGTTCTTTGTGGACAAAAAAGGGACTAATCAGCCCAGATTGGTCGTGGATTACAGGGCCCTAAACCTGGTATCAGAACCCGTGACCTTCCCAATGCCCAGGATTGACGACATTTTAACACGGGTGAGGCAGGGGAAATTTTTTACCAAGCTGGACCTCAGGGGAGCGTACAATTTGATCAGGGTAAGGGAGGGGGACGAATGGAAAACCACCATGTTCACCCCCCTGGGGGCTTTTGGGTACTTAGTCATGCCATTTGGATTACAATCGGGCTCCGCCTGCTTTCAAGCATTCATGCACCACGTGTTGGGGCCCCTGCTGTACAAGAACTGCGTAGCCTTCTTGGACGACGTCTTAATCTATTCAGACAATGAGAAGCAACATGTCAGAGACGTCAGGGAAGTGCTAAAGAGGCTGCAGAAGCACCAGTTGTGGGTCAAGCTGGAAAAATGCCAATTTCACACTAGAGAGGTCGAGTTTCTGGGGTACAAGTTGTCAGACAAGGGACTAGCTATGGACCCAAGCAAGGTGCAGGCAGTGCTGGAATGGAAAGCCCCCAAAACCCGGAAGGATGTGCAGAGGTTCCTAGGGTTCAGCAACTTCTACAGGAAGTTCATCAAGAACTTCGCCCACTTGACGGCGCCCATCACAGATTGTCTCAGTAGCAAAAGGAAGTTCACCTGGACAGAAAGTGCCCAGCAATCCTTTGAAAGGCTGAAGAAGGCGTTCGCTTCGGAAGAGCAGCTCCTGCACGTTGATCTGGAGAAACCCATGAGACTAGAGACCGACGCGTCCGACAGAGCCATTGGGGCGGTACTTTTGCAGCCAGGGAGGGGCAAGCAGGAATGGAAGCCGTGTGCCTTTTTCTCGAGGAAGCTGAGCAAGTCGGAGCAAAACTATACGGTGTATGACCGCGAACTGCTGGCGATCTATGTGGCGTTTCGCCGATGGAGACATCTGTTAATAGGGGCGCAGCACAAGATCCAGGTTTGTACTGATCACAAGAACTTGGAATACTGGAGGACCGTGCGAGTACTCAACCAGAGACAGATTCGATGGGCACAGGAGTTCTCCAAGTTTTCCTTCGAGATCCGATACGTGCCGGGAGAGGAAAACGTAAGAGCAGATGCTCTCTCCTGGAAGCCGGAGTACATGGAAGGAGAGGGACCGCCGGAGATCCGACACGTGATCCCCGAGGACCGATGGGTGTGTGGGGGAGCCTTGGTTGGGAAACGAGAACTGGCCGGGCTTACTAGAAACGACGTGTTTGCTCAAACTAAAATCAGGGAACTCCGAGACAGAAGAGAAAACCATGGAGGGTTTGAGGAAAAGGAAGGGGTGCTGTACTATAAGGGGGTGCTGTATGTACCGGGGAAGACCCTGAGCGGGAAGGTACTCAAACAACTCCACGACAACCCCACAGCTGGGCACTTTGGACAGCACAAAACCATGCTGCTCGTCACCAGGCAGTTCTGGTGGCCAAGGATGAGGGAGGATGTACGGGAATATGTATGGGGGTGCGACCGCTGCCAAAGGGCAAAGGGAGAGAGGGCTGCCCCCGCAGGGTTACTGGAACCCTTACCCACGCCGGGAAGACCCTGGGAGGTGGTGTCCATTGATTTTATGACAGATTTGCCTAAGTCTAGGGGGAAGACAGCAGTCATGGTAGTAGTCGATCTACTGATGAAGATGTGCCATTTCATAGCTTGCTCACATGCGGTGACGGCAGAGGAGACAGCCAAGTTGTTTGTGGATCACATCTTCAGGTTGCATGGGGCGCCGTCGAGGGTCATCTCAGATCGCGGGAAACAATTTACTTCCCGGTTCTGGAGGAAGCTCATGAGCTTGCTGCAGGTAGAGGTGGGATTCTCGACGGCGCGACACCCGGAAACCAACGGGCAAGCAGAAAGAGCGAACAGTATACTCCAGCAATACCTACGCTGCTACGTCAGCGAGAGACAGAACGATTGGGTAGAGAAACTAGCGCTGGCTGAATTTGCGTACAATAACGCTGAACATGTGTCCACGGGCATGAGCCCATTCATGGCCAATTATGGGTTTCACCCCAGGGCCTTCCCGGGGAGGGGGGAGGAAGGGTGGAGTGTACCTGCGGCAGAGCAGTTTGTGGAAGAAATGGAGGCATTGCACCAGCAACTCAAGATGAACTTGGAGCGGGCCAAGGAAGTTTATAAGAGGCAGGCAGACAAGCACCGTCGGGAGGGGGATGCCATACGGGTGGGAGACCGAGTGTGGTTGTCAACCCAAGGGTTACCCCTAAAGGGAGGGTGCAAGAAGTTGCAGCCAAGGCGGCTGGGACCCTTTGAGGTAACACAGCAGGTGAACCCTGTGGCATTCAAGCTCAAGTTGCCTGACAGCATGAAGATACATCCAGTGTTCCATAGGTCCCTACTCTCACCGTACAGGGAGGGGCGGGAATTCCCGGGGCGGGAGGGAGGAGTCACCACCCACCCGTGGGTAGAGGAGAGGGAACTCCACAACCAAGCCACGGAAATACTTGATTCAAGGTGGCGAGGGCGCCAGGTGGAGTACTTAGTGGCTTGGGAAGGAGAACCCGGGTCAGAAAACACGTGGGTCCCCGCTGAGGCGGTCAATGAGGAGTATCTAGTGGAAGGATTCCACAGCCTGTTCCCAGACAAACCAAAACCACTAGCGAGATTCTGGGAGGAAGAATTTGGAACCATAGACGACGAAGAGGAATTTGTGGGTTTTCCTGCCTCCGAAGAGGAGGGAGGGGAGGTGTCAGAGGGAGAAGAATCAGACTGGGAGGCCCACCCCGCGGCAAGAGTTCGGAGCGGGTGGGAAGTGGGTTTTGAATCCTCAGAGGATGGCGACAGCTCCTTCAGGGGATTCCCCACATCATCGGCCAAGGAAAGGGACAAGGTTGGATCAGAAGGTCGGGCCGAGGGTGGGGGGGTCCTGGGGGGGGAGATGGATGTCAGGGAACTGCCATCGGAGCTAGAGGCGGAGGGAAGGCTCCAGCGGGATGGCGGAGAGGGTCTCAGTAGGGAGAGAGGCAGCCCGTCCGCTGGGGAAGGAAATCAGCGTAACACCAGTAGAGAAGGGGGGCAGATGGGGGAATCGGAGAGAAGGCTCCAAGACTCCTCACCAGAGACCAGCGGAGAGAGTACAGGTACTCCGCTGCCCACACCCTCCCTGCGCAGAAGACTTCCGCGCAGGGAGAGTAGGAGGAGACTTGGCGTCAAGGAACTTTTGTGCTGGAAGAAGTTTAAGAAACGCCCACTGACGGATTCTGCCAGCGACTGAGACAGTCACGATGCTGGAGGCTGTTCAGTCAGAAAGGGTTTAACCAGGTAACCTAGCCAGGAGTGGCGGCAACTTACGCACGAGCAACCCCTAAACCCATTACAATAGGGATGCTATATTCATTGCATTTTCCTATCAATATTTTCATAGTTAATTGATGATCTGCTGTGGAAGATCATTTTCTAAACCCTGCCAATTCACTAGGTTGATAGTCTTTGTATATCTACATCTGTGAAAATGCTGTGTGAATTCTGTGATGGATTTCAACCCTGGTTGTTGTTTTTTAGAAGGTATGGGACTACCAATTTCAGAGGCAATGTGCCCCAGAATGCCAGTTACTTGGGGGCAAACAATGGAAGGGTGAGGCTGTTTCATTCATGCTCCATTTGTGGGTTCATAGGACGCATCTGGCTGGACATTGTTGTAATCTAGACACTGGCCAAGGCAGACCCAACTTGTTCAGATCCAGCAGTCTCTTTTTATGTACTCACCTTGTAACATTTTTAAGGCCACATCAATAATGTGCTGATCTCCTGTGTCCCTGCCCTGGAAAGTGGAAAGAGAGGAGATCTTGTCACGCACCACAATTACAATCACAGTAGACCTAAGAAAAGGCCCTGGTAGATCAGATCAAAGGCCCGCCTAAACCAGTATCCTGTTCTCATACCAGCTAACCAAATAGCTATGAGGCACCCATAAACAGGACACTAGCACAGTATTCCTCTCCTGCTGTTGTTTCCCAGCAACAAGTATTCAAAGGCATAGGCTCTGATACCAGAGATTATACACAGCTATCATGACCAATGACAACACTCTGAGTCATTAGGGGGTACAAGAGGCACACAGACTGAGCGAAGACTTGGAAGAAAGCCCTACCAGGAATCCACCTCAGAATGGGTCATCCCAAGAAGAGAAGGGTGGGAAGCACTAACATGGTTGGGAAGTAGAGCAAGCAGAGTGGAACCCTCTAGTCTACCATATATTTTCAAAAGTTGTTTATCTCTTTGCTATGCATTTGACACCTCTTAAAATATCATAACTAAATTTTGCACAATGATTCCCAAAATCAAGGAGCAGGCTTTCATCTGTGTTTGGATAAAATTGGACACCATTATGAATCAAGACGGTAGACTGAACGTTTAGAAACTGCACCAATTTTGGGGGTTTCGTAGAATTCCTGAGCAACACCAGCTACAAGGCTCCTAGTCCTTCATGCATTTGTTCTATTCACTTTTAAAGCTGGTGGTCATCATTCCTCTTGCGGTCATGAATTCCATAGCCTAACAATTTCCCCCCGTTGAAGCCTGCACCAATTTTTTACCATCATAGTTAGCTCTGGACTCCTGAAACCTTACAGGCCTGCAAGGTGATTTGTTGGTTATCACAACCAGGACTCTACATGGAGGAAAATATCTGACTCATGTGCTATCAGACCTGCAACCTAAATAGATCTGTGCAGCTGTGCATCTACTTGCAATGAAGGACTGGGAGTGGGGGACAAAAAGCCGTGCAGAATGCTGACACCCCAATCACTAAACCTGGAAGGTCTACTCGCCCCTCTGTTTTATCAAGCAATGCCCAGTTCCAGAGTGCCTTTTCCAGTTTTACTCTCTGCTTGTGGTACTGCTGAGATTCTGCGTGCAAATCAGTGGAAGAGGAAGCAATGGGCAAATATCAGTGCGTGATAGCATCTCCTTGGAGAGGCAGTGTCTACACAACCTGCAGTTCAGCTCTGCTGGGCTGACAAGTGAATCTGCACGCTTGCAGAACAGCAACAGCCAACCAGGGTTTCTACTTCACGTGCAAATGATTAAATTTCTGATTTGGTAAAGATTATTTTTGCACTACTTAGTGATGGCCATGAGAGGGTGCTGTGCCCTAATTCAGAGCATCCAAAGTATCAACAGCAGGGCATGCATCCTGACATGAAGGAGGAATAATCATTCATGCAGAGGTGTAATAGGCCAGTCTCCTCAGTGATCCAATTGCACCTGACGCAGGGAGACACAGACAAGAATTGTTCACCTCTAGAGGAGGGTAACGGGAAGAAGGCAAGACCAGCACAGAGGGGCATGAAGACACACAGTGAACTGCTTCTTCTGTGAGTTGCCCCTTTGCTTTGCATCCAGGAGAACCCAGTTCCAGTTCCTAGTACCTCTTATTTTAAAAACCTGCTAACAGATTGTGAGAACAGGATCTCTTGGACAGAGCCTGAAGAGCCACTGCCAGAATACACAGGAATCGGTCTTATACTATGAGTCGGACCATTGTGCTGTGTGGCTGTTTTCTGTAGTAGCATGAAGCATTATCAGGTTTAACTCACCGGAGCACCTTGAGTCCCAGGCATTCCAGGTACACCGCGCTCCCCAGGTAGCCCTCGGGGCCCCGGAGGTCCTAGGAAGCCTCTGATACCTGGTGCGCCTGCATCCCCAGTAGGTCCAGGAAAACCAGGCTCCCCACGGACACCTTGCTGTGAAAGATCAGATGCTAGTTAAGAAGAGGCCCAAGACTCAAAAAAAGCCCCTTTTAAAACTGGAGAGCTAACGCACCGTGATAAGAATGCCTGGTGGACAGGGGCATAAGGAGGCAGAAATTTATGTCCCATCCTGTGTTCATTGCAGTCAGCACTGTTTCCGTTCCACTACAGTTTGGTTTCTACTAAAACCTAGGTTATGCATCTCACTATTAACAATGGCGGAAACTAACATTCAGTAATTATGCAATCAATTCCAATGAATTTCAGCGGAAGGAAAATATTAAAAACATGTGGAAAGTAAAATAATTATTTACATAACATTTTTATTATTTAGCATGCAAATAATAGTGAATACTGCTTGTATCTGCTTGCATGGTTTCTGTTCTGTCCTTGGAGAAACATAAGCACTGCAACAATTTCCGCCCCAGTATCTGTTTTGTACAGTATTCTCTGGAATCCCTAATGGTGGGTAAGACCAGCTTACCGTTCCATGTTTCAGTGTCTTGCCAGATGCCTCTTACAGTTAACAAGCTAGGCATGAGGGTAATATCCACCACCACCCCATTGTGAATCCCCAAGTAGCCATAGAGGATTCTATTTTTGATTAAAATGTCTAATTGCCCAATAGCTTCCATAAACTCATCTAAACCATTTCTTCAAAAGAAAAACAGTTATGAAAATGGCCATTAGGGCATCCTCTGGCAGTAAATTCCAGGGTTAATTATGCACTGCTTGAAAGAGGAATTCCTTATGATTGCCTTAAACTTGCTGGCCATCAGTTTCCATAGCGCTTGCTTTCTAAGCGTGAGAAATTATTGGTTCTATTCCTTGCATTTTCTTCATACCAAATTCTATCCCCATAACTTTTTAAGTCACTAGCATGTTTCCCCTTCATTGTTTTTTCTTACCTAAAAAAACTTCAGTTAGTCACACACTTTGCCCCATAAGTAATGCAATCCACCCTCCCCGATCATCAGAAGAATAAAACGTTCTTATTTTTTGTATTTAAAGGTGTAAACCGACCTAATTCACAATGCTAAAGGAAATGCATATTTGTTTGCAAATAATCACCTGTCCCTTTGGTCCTGGCTCACCCGATTCACCCTATGGATGAAAAGCAGAGACCAAAAATAAAGATCATCCACTGTTTTTTCTTAACAGCTTGCTTGGGCAATCTCTAAACATCAGTTGAGGAAAAACTCCCTATGTATATTTAATTCACACCATAATCAACAGTCTGCCTAAACTGGCAGTGGGCAGCACTGCTCTGCAGTGCTTCAAATCCTACTTGGACGGACTTGCCTAAGATTTCTCCATGTTGTCTGACTTACTTTGAGTTTTATCAAGTTTTCCTATTTTACACACAGAAGTTCAATCAAAACCTGCCAATGGATTGGTAATTTGACAGTGTTCTTTTACATAAACTCTGCATATGTCCCATTCTCTGATAGATTTTTCATCTGCAATGCCTCTTAACCTTGCTGATAATCTCACAGGTTCAGCATATTCCCTTAATTTGTTTTGCCAATCTGATTTAGTTGGCATATCCTTTCCTTTCCAATCTTTTGCAATTAAGATTCTGGCTGCTACAGTGGCATACATAAAGATTCTCCTGAACTTTTTTGGAATTTCATGACCCATAATTTCTAGCAGAAAGACTTCAAGTTTTTTAGGGAAAGAGCATTTGAACATTTTCTTAAGCTCGTTGTAAATCATTTCCCAAAACTGTCTAATCTTTTTACAGTTCCACCACATGCCTATTTAAAGAACTTATTCAGGGAACGCAATGGGAGGATCGGAGGTCAAGTTAAATTGAATTACAAAACGATGTACAAAGCAAGTATCAATTAAGGAATGAAAGATTGTATACTCTTATTTTTATTTTGTTTTCAACATTAACCGATAGTTTTTGTTATGTTATGCAATTTTCAACCCAACCAATAAAGCATTTATTTGTTTATTTAAAAAAAGAATCCTACTTCGACGGTCGCTGTCAGAGGGTGGTGTTTGGGGAGTGTTGATCAGTCCCATGGAGCTTTCAGTGTGGAGTTTTGCAGCGTTTGCTTTTATCCCCCACGTTGTTTAACATCTACATGAAACAGCTGAGTGGGGTCATCCAGAGTTTTGGAATACATTGTCAGCAATATGCTGATGACACACAGCTCTACTTCTCCTTTACATCTGCAGGTGTGGCAGTGGATGCGCTGGACCGATGGTCTTTCCTTGGCAATGGACTGAATGAGAGCCAACAAACTGAAGCTCAATCCAGATAAGACTGAGACACTGCTAGTGAGCAGTTCCCTAAACCCGGTGGATGGGAGGTTGCCTGCACTTGAGGGGGTTACACTTTCTCTGAAGGAGTAGGTGTGCAGCTTGAGGGTACTTCTCAGGTGGTCTCAGTGGCACTGAGTACCTTCCATCAGCTTCGGCTGGTGGCCCAGCTCAGCTGCTCCCCTATCTGGAGAGAGATAACCTAACTTCTGTTGTCTATGCTCTGGTAACCTCTAGGTTAGATTATTGCAATGCATTATACATGGGGCTGCTTTTGAAGAGAGTACAGAATGCCAGCTGGTGCCTAATTCAGCAGCCAGGCTGCTCAACAGGGCAAGACCTTGGTCATGTGCTTCAACAGGTGTGCTTAGTAGGGCTGCTTTTATTTAGAGTAGGGCAATAGCTTTGGGCTTCAAGCCCGTTTTCTGCCAGAAGCACTCCCTAGCTGGCTACTGTTTGCTGCTGAAGATGATGTTTGCAGTAAATAGCACTGACAAAAAGGAGTCAGTAGGGAACATTTCAGAAAGGACACAAGGATGCTATAAGGTGTCTAACTGGTGGCCCTCCAGATGTTTCCAGCTCCCAGCTCCCATCACCCCTGACCATTGGTCATGCTGGCTGGGGCTGATTGGAGCTGGAACCCAACGACATCTGGGAGTATCACAGGTTCCTCATCCCTGCCATAAGACCATAACTGAGCCAGCTCCAAAAAGTGCTCTACAACATTCTACCCACCAGACAATGTTGGCTTTTGCAAGTCAAGAAGCACAGTTTTGGAAACCATCTTACCTTTTCCCCCTTCTCCCCTGGAAGGCCTTCAACGCCAGGATCTCCCTATAAGGAAGGAACAATAGCTTTATTTTCTGGCCAGATCATCCCAAAACTAACACTTCCTGTTCCCTCTCAGTGCTCCACTCCCTCATGTCTTGAATGCCCCTTTGTCTCTGAATTGCTACAAAGTCCAGTCTTTTACCAGCTTAGGCTGAGCACCAACTGAAGCCACTAGTGCACAAGAGATATCTTGGCCGTGGTAATCTATGCTCTGGCAATCTGGCATTTGGAAAAATGCAATGCATTGTATATGGGGCACCCTTTGAAGACAATCCAGAAACTGCAGTTCAGAATATACGGCAGACGTGGCCCTTCAAAGAGGTGAGGTGAAGCCATTTGCCTCAGGCGGCAGATCCAACCTCCTCCCCACCCCCATCCTGCCATTGTGCTGCTACCAGCCCTGCCAGGGCTTTGCCCATGCAGCTGCCACAGCGCTGTTGCCCTCCCTGCTGCCACTGTGCCCTCACTGTGCTCTTGCAGCCACAGACGAGGGTGCAGTTGTGGTGGCGGGGCAGTGGCATCACAGGCACGATGGTGGAGGCAGGGAGGGGGAAGTGCAGGGGCCTGGATCTGTGGCAGCAGCGGCAGGGCATTTTGCCTACAGTGGCAAAGCATCTCAGACCAGCACTGGTCACACAGGGCCAGGTGGCTGGTTCATGCCTTGGTCTATTTCCAAGCTCAGTTCAAAGTGGTGTCTGTTATCTTTAAACCCCTCCCTAGTTGAAAAGCGAGATACTTGTTGGGCTGCCTTCCTAACACCAATGCCCTTAGCTACTGAGGTCGTCATCTGAGGCTCTTCTCTAGATTCCTCTGACCAGAGAGAGGGTCTTTTCAACTGTATGTCTTGCCTTTTGAAGACCCTCCTCAGGGAGACTCACCTGGTACTTACACTGCTTCCTTTTAGGCCATGGGGATATGTCCCCCCCCCCCACAACCTTTATCTTCCAGGCCTTCTAGATATTTTAGCTTTTCTAGATTTGTTGGGATCTTCCAGACAACCTAAGCTGGTAGGTTTTTTGCCCGCCTTATTTACTTATTGACTGACTAGGTTTTATCTCCTACTGTTTGTCATGTTATTGACTTTTATGGATTAATTGCATAAGGCTTTTTAATATGGTTTGTTAGCTAGCCTCTGGGAGCATTTTATACTCAAGGTGCAAGATGAAAAATATAATTAATAAAATATGGCAAAAGTAGAAGGCAGTAAATTTCCAGCTGCTCACACCAATGTAACCCTATAAACAGAGCAGTAAAAAAACAGACAAAAATCAATCATAAAGACTTACAATGTCACCTTTGGGCCCAATTTTTCCTGGAAAGCCCTAGAGCAGACAAGAGGGAAATGCTGAGATTCAAGAGATGCTGAATTCTATATAAATTTCCAGTAATAGACCACCCACTCCAGCTTTTCACTGGAGATAGAAAAGACAAATGACTCATCAGCCTCTCAAAAACCTTCCACAAACCAGACCACAGTGTGTGCAGGCCCAGTTTCAACAGAAAAGGGGCTTGCAGAGTAAACACCAGTGAATCAAGCAAGATGCTCTAGCCCTTATGGCTAAGAAGATATGCCTGAAAATATGCTGATGATGGTGAAGACACCAGATACACCTCCATGAAGAGGGCATTTTGCAACTTAGGGGCTGTCACAGAGAATCCCCTTTCCCAGGTCACACACACCATGGACCTCTGAGGGAGGTGGAACTACCAAGAGGTCCCTTCTCCCTGCTGATCTGTACATTTGGAGGGGTCTGTACAAGAAGAAGAAGAATTTGGATTTGATATTCCGCTTTATCACTACCCTAAGGAGTCTCAAAGCGGCTAACATTCTCCTTTTCCTTCCTTCCCCACAACAAACACTCTGTGAGGTGAGTGGGGCTGAGAGACTTCAAAGAAGTGTGACTAGCCCAAGGTCACCTAGCAGCTGCATGTGGAGGAGCAGAGACGTGAACCCAGTTCCCCAGATTACAATTCTACCGCTCTTAACCACTACACCATACTGGCTCTCTTTAGAGAAGGAGGGGTCTGTTAGATATTTGGGGCCTAAGTTGTTTAGGATTTTAAACACTAAGTTGGACCTGGAACTGAAGTGGAGTTAGAATCCCTGGTGTAGATCTGTACTTATGGATGCAGGCCGTCACATTGTATGGATCACCGTGTGGGAACTAGAGCTTTGGTTCATCTCAGTGGAACCCAAGCCTGGCATAAGAAGCCTGGTGCATTCTGGGAGATATTCCTCTTTGCCTCCTCCCACCCATCCCCCATGTCCACATCTATTCAAAGTATGTGTGTTTATGCAAATCTGCTCCGTTTGCAGGATCTGCTCCAAAAGCGGCTTTGGAAGTTTCAAAACCTGCTGTCACATTTCCAGAGTTGCAGAAAAGCCAAGTGTGACTCCATCCTCAACACCACTCTGCTCAAAGAGTTCAAGACAATGGTACCTTGCCACCTTTAACTCCTGGGAGACCTTGTGGGCCTGGAATTCCTGGGGGGCCCTGCTCTCCTTTGGGACCCTGGAAATAAAGAAAAGGAGAAAACACATTAGGAGGAAAGTAAGTCACAGTGAAGAGGCTGATATCCTAGTCTGGCAGGGGTATCTCCCAGCCCTGCTTGGAAATGATGCCGGGGACTGAAAGTGGACATTCTGAATGCAAAGCAGGTGTTCCAGTCCTTCCACAATCATGGACCATGGGCTGCCTGCCACAAACAGAGATTGTCCAAGCATTTATTTATTTGGGAGTTATTTATACCCTGCCTACTAACCAAAGTTCTTAAGGCAGCTTACAATATATTTTAAAAAACAATAAAATAGTCACTGATACAACAGACACTACAGCAGGGTCAAAGTACAGTGGTATCTCGATTTTTGAACACAATCCGTTCCGGAAGACCGTTCGAGTTCTGAAACATTTGAAAACCGAGGTACAGTTTCCCATAGAAAGTAATGCAAAATGGATTAATCCCTTCCAGACTTTTAAAATCAACCCCTAAAACAGCAATTTAACATGAATTTTACCATCTAACGATACCATAGGTCAGGGATGTCCAACCAGTAGATCGCGATCTACTGGTAGATCCCTGGCTGATCCTGGGATCCTTATCGTGTACAAAAAGTTATGGGGGAAAGCTGAAAAACTCTGTGCAATCTTCCCCCCCCCCAAAAGCTCAACAGCTCTGGGCAATCCACTCACCCCACACTCGCTCCTCCTCCCTCCAATGACAATGGGTAGATCACTGCCAGTTTTTTTTTATACTGAGAGTAGATCACAGTCTCTTGGGAGTTGGACATGCCTGCCATAGATCCACACAGTCACAAAAACAAATTGGTTGGAGTGCTCCTGAGATGTGATGAGCACAAATATATTGCACCCAGTCACCAAAAAAGCCCCAATAACATCTCCATGTTGCGTGGGTGCTTAGGACTCAACAGCCGACAGCTAGGCCTCCAGATTTCACACTCAGCGGAAGCTGCGTGGCATGTCCGACTTCTGAGGCGTGTTCAAAAACCAAAGCATTTAGTTCTGGGTTTATGGTGTTCATAAAACGAAATGTTAGTCAACGGAGACGTTCAAAAACTGAGGCACAACTGTATATAAAAGTTGGTCTAGGACCTGGGAGACTTGAGTTCAGATCCCCACTCAGGTATGATGCTCCCTGGTTGACCTTGGGCCAATCACCGCCTCACAGCCTACGGTACCTGACAGGGTTGATGTGAGGATTAGATGAGGAGAGGGAGGACCATGTATGTCACCTTGAGCTCCTTGGAGAAAACAGTAGGATGAAAGTTTGATTCTTATGGTCTCTTCTGAGGTGAAACAGAGAGAGAAGTGCCCGGAGGGGAGACCACCATCCAACGGAGCTCTTGGAAAAGAGCTCTGGTTCTTTTTTCAGAAGAAATGCATTTGAATTCAAGGACTGAATTTATTCATACACACCACTTTCCCCTGCACTCCTGGAGGACCCACTGGGCCTCTCTCACCCCGATCTCCCTGTGAAATAGAAGGGGAGAGGTCAAGATGTTCAATTCTGCCATAACTGTGAGCTAAATGTGTCCACAGGGAGCAAGACATCCTTCGCCCTGCTAGACAAGGCCTACACCAGCCTCCCCCAATCTAGAGGCTATTGGACTCTAACTCCCACCAGCCCCAGCCAGCATGGCCAACAGTCAGCCATGATGGGAGTTGCAGTTGAGCAACATCATGCCGGCTGAGGAAGGCTGGTCTGCATAAACCTCAGATTCTGAATGGAAAAATATCACACCTCCTGAAGCAAATACTCAACTTCAAGGAATCATCTGTCTCAACCACAAAAGGCCCTAAGGATGCACTGATATTAGTTGAGCAATTCGGTGTACAAACTAAGTCTGCTGCCCCCACTCCCATAATGCCTCTACATTATCCGTACCTTAGAGGAATTAATTTTAAAAGACTTACTTTCACACCAGCGATCCCTTGCGGCCCTGCTTCTCCTTGAGGTCCTGGCTCACCCTGAATGGGGATGGCAGAACACACCAAATGAAGATCTGGTTTTAAGGAATGAACAGCCCCTTTTTGTGCATTGGTGACAATTTGTGCTCAGGGCAGCAATATGCAATCCCACTTTCAATAATGTTTGTGACTGCAAAGGTTCTGGGGTGGACATACTGCTTCATTTCCATTCAGTGCATGTCCTGCAACTTTTTATACCGCTAACGCTCCAGTTATTCTTTCTGTACCACTTTTATTGTGCAATAGCACAAAAGTTCTCCTCCAGACAGCATGAATATGGTAACAGCAGATAAGCATTGCAGAACAACTCACAAAGTGGAATACCATGAGGAGGGTCCAGTATAAATCCACCACTAGTTCACTGTTATTGTGTCAATGACAGGTCAAAGAATATATCTGCAAAACACACCAGTACCAGACGTAAGTCTGGTGAGGCCTGAAGTCTGCTTTGTTGCAGAGCTGGGGGGGGGGGGCGGGTAGAGAAAGATTACTCGGCCATGGAAGGAAGCTAAAAAAAAAATTACTGCACAGAATTACGGCAATTCAATATTATATTTACACTTCTTTAAAAGCAGCACAGCCTTTGCTTGCTTTTAAGAATTTGATAGGCTCGTGCTGCCCCCTGCTGTCCAAGGCAGGAAAGTGCAAGCACCCAAAGCAACGCCTGCTTTGCCTTGGCACCTTTTTGCCATTCAAATGCAAGAATCTGATGTGCGCAGGTGAAGCCATATTGGACCTTCTCCCCCTGCAGTTGGGAGTAACAGGAGCCCAACTTCATTTATAAATGTTGAATATTACCATGGGATATAACCAAGGCAACTAACAGAAACCAACCAACATAGAGCTGTCATTTACATATACATTATTAACAGCAGAAGCATCATTAATGTAACAGAAAGTGTTTGTGAGTCCAAGTAGACTGCAATTTCTCTCACTGCCCAAAAACCCCCACAGCCTGCAGAAGAGAAAAAGAGGTTCTACAAACAGCAGAAGTGAAGGAAGTGTGTGTGAGAGAGAGGGGGGGGGGGAATAAATAAAATGAATTAACAAGAAATTATGAGAAAGGGGGCAGGAAGCAAACGCCTACTGGATAAGCAAGGAAACCTCAGAGACTGGGATGTATTGCAGAGCTCTTAGTGTCTATGTTTTAAAGTTAAGGGACAAAATATAATGGGGGGCGGAGATCCCTTTTTACTTACAAGTTTCCCAGGTGCCCCCGATGAGCCTGCCAGGCCACGACCCCCTGGTTCACCCTGTTTAAAACATCAAAAGACATAATTCAAAGCATTTGATGGTTACCTGATCCATCAATGTGCCTATGGTGGCCATCTGTATATGGTTTATAACAGCCTTCCTGAAACTGTTGCCCTCCAGAGGTTTTGGACTACATCTCCCATCAGCCCCAACCAGGGGAAGGCTGGTTTAAAAGGAAAGAGGAGCAGGTGATATTATTAAGTCAAGGCACTCACCTTCTGTCCTGGGCCACCTTTGGTTCCAGGTGTGCCTGGCAAGCCCTGCGATGAACAAAAACAACAACAACCCCAAATTATCTATTGTGTGATAATTTAGTATTTATTATACCAGAATTTCTTGTCTTGTTTGGCTTGGCGAGGGGTGGGTTTCTCGGTCCAGATCCAAAGAGAAATTCCTTCTGAGACAAATTAGATAATGCATTAACACAGATGGTTAGTGGATGTGGCACTCAGCTAGATAAGCCACGTGGATCATTTTTATAAGCAGAGTTCTGCCAACATGTGGCAGCCTGGATAGAGTGGTTAGAGTGTGGTGCTGATAATGCCAAGGTTGCAAGTTCGATCCCTGTGTAGGACTGTTGCATAATCCTGCATTGCAGGGGGTTGGACTACTTCAGGCATAGGCAAACTAGGCCCGCCAGATGTTTTGAGACTACAGTTCCCATCATCCCTGACCACTGGTCCTGTTAGCTAGGGATGATGGGAGTTGTAGTCCCAAAACATCTGGAGGGCCGAGTTTGCCCATGCCTGGACTAGTTGATCCTCAGGGTCCATTCCACTTCTACAATTCTACGAATCTATGGTATGCTTATGGTTTGCTTTTTTTTAATGTTAAAATCATATGTTATTGGACATAAAGGTAAAGGTAAAGGGACCCCTGACCATTAGGTCCAGTCGTGACCGACTCTGGGGTTGCGGCGCTCATCTCGCTTTATTAGCCGAGGGAGCCGGCATACAGCTTCCGGGTCATGTGGCCAGCATGACTAAGCCGCTTCTGGCGAACCAGAGCAGTGCACGGAAACGCCGTTTACCTTCCCACCGGAGCAGTACCTATTTATCTACTTGCACTTTGAGGTGCTTTTGAACTGCTAGGTTGGCAGGAGCAGGGACCGAGCAATGGGAGCTCACCCCGTCGCGGGGATTTGAACCGCTGACCTTCTGATCGGCATGTCCTAGGCTCTGTGTTTTAACCCCTAATTGAGGACCTTTACAGCTATTGCTCAAATATCTAACAAAGGTGTTGGGAACCTCTGGGAACCCATTTGTTGCTGAACTACAAGTTCCATCATCCCTGGCCATTGGCCATGCTTGTTGGGGCTGATGGGAGTTGTAGTTCAGCAACAGCTGGAGAGTCAAGGTTTCCCCACTCCTGACCTCAATTAGGAGCCTATCTCTGCAGCAGTTCCTGAGACTTCCCAGTTCCCATCTACAGCCACATTATCCAGTTAACCTGTCCATTTCAGCTAAAGATTTCCCAAACTACCAATTTTCTAGTTCGAATCACAATCTTCACTGTCTCCAGCACATATTCAATAAGAGCTTTACAATTACACAGACGAGAAGATTTTGTTTGTTTGTTTTAAATGAAATACAGCAGTGGCAGTTTTTCACCAATGGATAAATTGACTGGGCTGATTCTAAACTAGGAAGGTTGCCAAACTACCTTCAGGTGATATAATAAAATGATTTGAAATAATACTTACAGCTAAGCCTCGGTGGCCTGGAGGCCCCGGAAGACCTGGTTGCCCTGCACTTCCCTACAAGACAGAAGAATAGCCATTAATGGAAGGCAGGAAAGAATGAAGCAAATATTGAGAAACAGCAAGACAGGACACGGTTGCAGCACTTACAATGTTGTCTTTTAAAAAAATAAAACTTCAATAGCTGTAGGAACGCAACTCCAGGCTCACAGAAGGGAACACCATCTTATTGCTTATACAAAAAGGAGACTCGTGGGATCTCACAGGGACCTAACATCAAGCAAAGGTCACACCAAGATCTCTTTGCAATCTGAAGACTGAGAAAAAATATTAAGAGGCTTCCAGTTTGAATTTTCCTCCTGCCTGAACTTGCTAAGCCCAGCAATTCTCCGCCTCAGTCCCCCAGTCTAGAATGTGGTGATATATTCTATAACTAGCATATAATAGTAACAGTAATACAAGTGATAGTAGTAATAATATAATAGTAATACTTGCAGGGTTGTTGTAAGGACTATAGCTAGATAATGCACTTTGAACATCTGAAAGCACTACATAAATGTTTATCATTTATCATTATATAATTCATACATAATATTGTGTTTTAATTATGGATAATTCCAGTGATTTATGATATTTTAAAATGTTATAAGGTTAGTGTTAGCAAAATGAACTGTTCATTTAGATTATTAAGCAGGGTGCTTCCAATGTCAGTCCTACCCAGAAATGGCCTATTGAAATTAATGGATGCAAGTAACTTAGGCCCATTAAGTTCAGTGGGCCTACTCTTGAGTAGAACTTAGTTGGATACAACCCATTACATATGAACCGAATGAGGATTAGACTCTTGGTTGAACTAATATGAATGGTTGCTGTTGTTGTATTGTTGTTCTGGTGTCATGAACCACTTAGGGCACAATTACGGGGGAAATAAAATAATAATACTGTTACAGCATCCCCAGCCCCTCTGTGGCCTAGTACACAAAAATTACCTGCGGGGGTTGTAATTCTGGGAATTGCTAAGCAAACACAAGCGATGTCTGGGCACCTGCGAGGCCTAACAACTAAAAGGACAACATGGGCTCTGTGTTGCTTAGCAACTGCTACAAATGGGAAAGGGAAGAAGGAGAACAGGCCCATTCAGACATGACATGGTTTCCAAGCAGGAATGAGACTGGGAGTAGGCCTTGTGTAGTGGAGGCACCATAAAAAATATGGAGGGTAGGTGTCACATGTGCTCGGTGGTTGTGAAGGGAGGACTTTGGTCCATACATTAGCTTTCTGAAAGAATATATAAATATATATACATACATACAGAGAGAGAGAGAGAGAGACTTGATAGGTATAACTGCTTTGCTGCCCCTCCCATCAAAAACCCTCACCCAGGCTGGATTTAGGTTTGATGAGGCCCTAAGCTACTGAATGTAATGGGGCCCTTTATATGTCCAGCTGTCCTTTGTCAACAACAAATTGTCACTGCTTTTTTGTGTTGAATAAATGCTATATGGTAATTCGTGGACCTAATAGTTATCTAAAGCCATTTGCACTTAACAAAATATGTGATATTTTAGGGAGCAGGCTAGCAGGTGGGGCCCATTACTAACAACATAGGAGCCTACACAACACAAAACAAAATACTGTTGCTGTATGTAGACAAACAAGTTACAATCGCGACAGAACAATAAACAACACGAAAGAAAATGCATACAGAACAAAGAGTCAAATACATCGTTTAAGGGCATCATCTTACCTTCACCCCAGGAATACCTGGGGTGCCATCTTTGCCATCAATCCCAGGAAGACCCTACAGCAAAGGGGGAAGAAGAAAAATGTAATACTGTTTCTGGATGTTTACATGTTTTCAGTCAATTTGGAAGCTGATTTACCCCAAGCAGAAAATCAAGGAATCTTACTTTCATCTTTCTCCCCCAAACACCATTGGACTCCAAGATGGAGGTCAGAAAAAAGGAGATACTTACCTGTCCCCCTTTTGGCCCCATTCCTCCTTGAGGGCCCCTGAAACCACGAGCACCCTAAAAAAAGTAACCCCCCAGAAAGACCCATTGTTAATATACCAACCACAAAAATCTGAATGAGCTTCTGGCTGTGGTTTCTGCGCTGCTTATAGCTGCCACCAACTGACCCGCCAAACTTTAACAAGACATTGAATGTGCAGAAAATCAATGGCTGGCTTTTGACTGCAAGAAGGAAGGGAGTTCCTGTAGCATTAAATTCCTCTGGGCTTTTGATCGTCAAGTAACTGCACATTGTACCGGAAATCAAAAGCATAGCTGTGAACTGATGCTACCAATTAGCTAAGTGGAAATAAAAGCCAACCAATTTTTTATTTTTTCTAAAGAACCTATCATAATAGTGCCTTAAATGCATGGTGCTGATGGGGCTGAAGGTTCAACTGGCCATAGCCAGCCCAAGATGTTTTGGCACCTGAGGCAAACCACACAGTGGCACCCCTCCCACTGCCTGGGAAGAAGGGACAACAGGAGGAATCAAATCACCATTACCCAACGATTGAAGTGGGAATCAAAGGCTGTTGGGGGCGGACACCAATCTGAAACCCACTGGCTGGGTGCAGAGCCCATGTGTCTGCAGAGGGCTGCTCCCGCCATTACACTAGGGGTGGAAAGAGACCAGCATTGCCACTTATTCACTGAGGGGCTGATGCAGAGGTGGCGGGGGGATTGCTGTGGAGAAGGCAGATACAGCCTTCAAAGAGTGTGCCGCAGCTTTCATCACCACCATGGCAGCGGTGGTGGCAGCAGACAGTGCTTTCCTGGGAGGCCAGATCTGCTGCTCCTGCGGATCCTGCTGCCTGAGGCAGTTGCTTCACCTTGCCTCATGGATGGGCCGGCCCCAAACTGCCAGTCCCATCAGCTTTAGAATCTGGAGCAGGAGGAGGGTGCCATTTTGTTTTTCACCTCAGGCAGCAAAATGTCTTAGGCTGGCCCCAGGGAGTGTGTGCGTGAGAGAGAGGAGGAAAGTAGTTGGATAAATTTCAAAAGCAAGATTCATGATACAAGTTTAGACTCCAACTCCCCCCACTTCAGCTACAGCAGGGAGGCTGGAATCCCACTAATCCCATTTGTACTGAAGGCAAGTCAACATGCATCTTGATGATGGCTGAGTTAATGAGCCAGTGGAACCTGGAAGGAGCTGAGGTTTTTGTTGCCCCGGTGAAATAAAGAGGGAAGGAACGGTATTGTTCAAACATCACAGCTGGGGGGAGGGAAGCATGGGTCAGAAAGCTCTTCCCTTCAGGTTCTTGGGAGAGTTTCAAAAAGCAGTTTCAGATGTAGATGGGGAGCAGATTAAAGAACTAATTCTAATTGGACATGCTCTGCCGTCTCTAAGATGCCCAGTTCCAAGTGAATTTCCAGTGCTGTTGGGAACATGGGAAGTCAGACCCTTGGTCCATCCAGCTCAGCGCTGTCTCCCATGATTGGCAGCAGGCACCTTTCCCAGTCCTACCTAGAGATGCCACTGGGGATAGAGCCTGGGACCTCCTGTATGCAAAGAGATGCCCTGCCACCGAGTGACAGCCCTTGCCCCGGTTTTCACATCTAGAAGAGCCAAATTCAAATTCCCTTTCAGCTGTAAAACTGGCATGGATCCACTGGCCTAGCCTACCTCACAGGGTTCTTGCAAGAATAAAAGGGGTAGGGGAAGAAATATATGCTCTGCTGCCCTAAGAGCCTTGGAGGAAGGATGGGATATATAACTGAAATATCTAAAATCAGTGAAATAAATTAATGAAGTGAGAGTTGTCACATGCTCTTGAGCCCCTGGGATAGGGTGGTGTGGTGTGAATTTATCAAGAAATAAAAAAAAGGTCAAAGGAGCACCCTTATCATGAAACTGCTTATCTCCTGATGATTCAACTGAATACTGCAGTGAAATGTTTTACTCACAAGGTCTCCCTTCTCGCCAGCCTGTCCTGGTGGTCCCCTGGGTCCTTCTTCACCCTACAACAAATGTTTTATGGTTAAAATAGAAAATGAAAAAGAAAGTGAATATTTTCAAGCCTTCCTAAAATTAACATGTGTCTTTAATATTGCAGGCAGTTTACTGAGATATCAGAGGCAATAGAGGTTTTTTAGGGTTTTTTAAATACCAAATTAAAGAGGAGAAGGGATATGGGCTGACCTTTTTAATCCCACAACATGCCCAACTATCTGGAAGCACTCTAATAATCCTTTTCAGAGAACATGGACTCCAACATGGATCCTTCTAAAGTCCCTGAAGCCTGATTCAATTTGTTTATGGAGAGCCAGAGAGCTGGGAAGAGCTTCTGATTCCAGGTGATTATGGATAGACAATTTGCATCTTTCGAGAGTGGGGGAGTAGAGTGGCGAATCCTGTAATCCCTATGCTCGCTAAATTGAGAGTGAGCCCCATTGGTAATGAGTCTGATTGTGCAGTAAGTGTGAGAGCTCCAAACCAAGAAGTTCCTGGTTTAAAGCAAACAAACAAAAAACCCTTAATCACAGACATACTTAGGCAAGCCACTGTCATTTTAAGGCCTGATACTTCTTCCCCCACATCTAAGATACGCAAATATTACAAAATAACCAGCATCAGGCTGTACAGTTCGTTATTTCTTCCTCATTTTTCTGTCAAAGCAATCCAAGTGGCATATATCTCTGTGTGTGTAACACAAAGCAATTAAATATATATCCAATAAAATAGCACACAAAAAACCCAGCAACTGTTAAATCACCCAAAAGACAGCAACAGGAAATGGTAGAATTAGCCCCATTTGACTATCTTTGTGAGGTTACAAGATTGTGAAAAAGACTTAACACGGATACCCCCTAGAAAAAAGTTTAACTGGTTAACAATAGACCAAACACAAATGTGAACACTGGTGGAGGAAGGAGGTGTGGTGGGTGCAGTCCGCCCTGGGTGTCATCCCTGAGGGGGGGTGACATCGCTGCCCCGCCCCCCTGGGACGCTCGCCCTGGGGCGCTAGCCGCGCCTCCAGGTGCACAGCATGTGCACCGTTCTGGGTGCTGGAGCAGCTAGCTCCGCCTCTGAATTTGAAGCAGAAGGTTAGCTGAACTCATGTACAGCACACACTTTGAAAATTTGAAATGTACACCATAAATGCAATGATTTATTGAAACCCTTGAGGGAGCCACTATTTGAGTTTAAGAAATGGCTGCATTACATGCTGTATTAACCATGTTCGCAAGTTCAAAAGAGAGCAGGGCAAAATGTTGTTTCTAGCATCTTTTATGAATGCTTCTTACAGGGCCAGTAACTCCTACGAGTTCCTTTTAGCATGTGGTGCAGAGTGGAACATGGGTAAACAGCCAAGCCCTGTGGCCCAGGAGAAGTTCTGTGGTGTCAGAGAACTGATGTCCTTTGATGTCCAGCTCCTGGGACATCTGCTCAGATTATCCTCTCAGAAAACTCCTCTGGCAAAAACCAAGGAAGAGACTTCCACACCCACAATCCAGTTTCAATCCACGATGTCAAAGGCAGTAGCGTGCAGTCAGTGGACATGGGGAACTAGGCTAGTCCCCTTAATTAGAGTATTAAAGTATTAAAGCTTGGCGCCTCCTTCCCAAAGTCTGGGAAGCTTCTGCCCAGCTAAAGGAGGGAGGCTTGATGCTCTGACAGGATCCAAGAGCCCTTCCTCCACCTTCCCAAAGGCCATCTGGCTTTGGGAAGGGGGCAACAAGTCTTCAACATCCTGTCAGAGGCCTGGTGCTTCCTTCCCAAAGCCTTTGAAGCTTCTGCCTGGCTTGAGGAGGGAGGCACAATGCTCACACATGTGACGTCAGGACATCCCCCTCCCCTGCTAATCACCCTCACAAGATGGCGCCTCTGGCCCTAACTATTCCCCTATGAAAAATTTCGCCGCATGCCACTGGTCAAAGGGCTCAGACATGGGACCATAGTGAATGTGTAGGGTTAACCAGAAAAACAAACCCAAAAACGAAGAATAAATGAGTTACCGGTGGCCCTGCAGCCCCAATGGTTCCAATCATGCCTTTATAACCTTGAGGGCCCTATGCAAACACAGAGTGAAAAGAAGCAGACATTAAGATTCACAGCAAACTCTTTGTGCTCCGATGACAAAAGTAAACTCCCAAAATGGTGTCCTGCTGAGTTGTGACATCATCAGCTCATTCACCATTTCCCTTCTGCCTAGTGTACCTACAATCTCTCCTTTGGGGCCTGCCATTCCAGGATATCCTCTGAGACCTTGTGGGCCCTGGAAAGAAAAGGAAACCAAGCCTGGATTAATTACCTTCCTTCTGGGTGAGGTCTCATCTCGCAGCTAAAGCTGTTCAAACCCCCAACCCATCTGTCATCTTGAAAAATATCCATCCATGGATGAAGCGTGGGAAGTCATTACCCGTAAAGATTAATCACCAGTTTCCTCACCACCTTTTCTGTCTGATTCACTGATTATCACCTAATGCTGATATTTCCTGCCCACAACCCCATACAGGAGTCGAGACATTAGTTTAATGATTATATTAAGTGAAAGGACCATAACATTTACTCAAGCAAAGACAAAGTTTCCACCCGGCTTCAACAAAGAATTCCGTCCTTTTAATTCCTTCTTATCACCAAAGCAGAAGAGTTTTGAACTAATGAATTCGGTGGGAAAGTGAGCTCTTTGTAGACCCTGAGAGCAGAATGCCTCAATGGTAATGCGATAAACTAAGATGGATTGGCCAAGAATACAGTCCCAAATTGACCCTCCTCCCACTTTGCCTTTGAACTCTAGAGTCTGCCTATATGATACACCCCACATGTCAAAAAGTGATCACTGGTAAGTAATCAGGCTCTGACTGTTAAGAATTATGGTCCTTCCCAGACTGTCACTATTTCGGGGTGGAATTAAATCTGTTACAGGTTGTCAATTGTAGGTGATTTTGAGAGGCCTTGCGCAACAAAGGTGTTTCCCCAAAAGATTGGACTTTCTGAGATTAGAAAAGTGATAGGGAAATGAACCAGAATGTGAGAAAGCACCTGCTTTGATGCAGGTACTCTAACCTAAGGTTATCAGACGCCCCTGTTTTCCGGGGACAGTCCCCGGATTTACACATCAGTCCCCATGCAAAATCCATTGAAGTTGAAAAGTTTCCCCGGATTCATTGAAAAAAATCTGGTAACCTTGCTACAAACAAATCAGGATGAATGCTCAATAAATAGGTCATCTGGAAGTGCCCTGCAAAGGCTCTTCCAGAAGCAAGCAGTGAAAGCAGCAGGGGTTTGCAGGCTGCATTCCAAACATGAAAAGCATTATATACAATTTACAGCTCAATCCTGTACATATCTAATCAGAAGTAAATTTTATTGAGTCCAATGGACTCACACCACAGGTGGGTAATAAATAAATAAAACTGTGCTATGTGTATAATATGAAATTTAAAAACAAACAAACAAAGTCTTATTTAGTTCCCCACTCGCTCACCTCACCGGCCCCCCAATATGCCTAGACTGAAGTGGCTACATCATAAACATATTTTTCTCCAGCCATTTTCCCCCCTTTGACAATTAGCAAGTAGAGAAACTAAAAACAGAAACCATTAACCTAATACCAAGTAAAAATGAAGGTTATATTAATTAACCTCATAAACTGTATGGAAGTCTCAATATTATCTAATACAGGGGTATAAACAATAGCATATCTGGTCCCCTGTGGTAAGGAATGAGCATATCTCTAGGTGACCAGGTGAGGTTGTATGTGAACAGATACACTGGTAAACCCTTTCGTGGACTTATTTGCACAACCGAACAGGCAGGAATAAAAGAAGAAATCCACATTTCTTGAAAAAAGTGTCCATATTAATACAGTTAATATAACTCCACTGACCTGGTGGAAAGACAAAATACAACATATAAATTATGTCCCCACAGGTCTAAGATGAAAACAAGAACATTAAGAAACAGAAATAAATAAATACGTTACGGGAGGGCCAGGAATGCCTTGTTCTCCAGAGAGGCCCACATCACCCTTCGGACCCTGAGGAAATGTAAATAAATAAATAAATAAATAAATAAATAAATAAATAAATAACAGGAACATGTCAGAGCTACAAGTGAAACAAAAATGCAAAAACCAGCTTGGAAATGTGGACTTTAAGCTGTAAGTTTGATTCTATGGTAGAATGGAAAAGAATTTAGGAAATCTACATTCAATTCTATGCTGTCAAGGTGTATTAGGTCTTCCCTCATCATCCTACACAAGTCTGTCTTTCTCCTTGCCCTTGGTATTGCCATGCAATTTTCATGTCTCCCCTTGCTTTCTTCCTTAAAAAAAAAATCTTCATCCCACAACTTCTTTTTATCTGCCTCTCTCTTTTCCAACACCTAACAATGAAACTGTTTCCATTGGGTTGCCATATGTCCTCTTTTTCCAGGACACGTCCTCTTTTTCATGAGTACAGTCATCATAGCAATTCAAAGGTAAAAGCAGAAGTCGGTAAATGTGTCTTCTTTTTTGCTCTTCAAAATATGGCAACCCTGTTGCTATTTTGCAGGTGGGATTCAATCTTATAAAATTTTAAAATAATAAAGGAAGCAGATTTGGTGTTCATGTGCTTCCATAAAAAAACAAACCACCCAGCCTTTTTGCAGTAAGGAAAGTGACAGGAAATCAAATGGGGGGATAACCATCACTTGACACAATGTAGTATAACTTCCACACACACTTTGTGAAAACAAATCAGGGTGGATGTTCAATAAAAAGGTCGCCTGGAAGATCCCTAAGACCATGCCAACAACACTCTAAATATGAAGATCTCAGAACCCGGGGCTGGTTCACACATGATGTGGTGTTTCTTTATGTTTAAAGGATCTACACATGGGGGGAAAATGGAGTAGATGGGAACAGCCTTAATTTTGCAAATGTACACATAAACTTCACGGGGAGCCCAGATTAGATGGGGGTTCCAGCTGAACGTAATTCCAGTTGCCAGGCTGGGTTTGCTGTTGCGTAATGTGTGAATAGCACTTCAGTTGCCCAGGCTGCACCCTTCTCCTTAAAATCAACTGCAGGTACCATGAAGAGATAGACCAAGTATGTACTCACTGGTCTGCCCTGTCTGCCAGGCTCTCCCAGAGCTCCAGGACGGCCTTTGTGTCCCTATAGAGAAAGAAAGCCAACATTTTAAAGGCTGCCTGAGTCTCACATAGAATGAATAGTTTCCTACTCTATAATCAAACAGCATGCCACCTCTCCAACCAATTACGATGCGATTTGCTAGTGGTTGTTACATGGGGTTTGACCACACGAATGCACACACACGCACAGACAGAGACAGAGACGAGAGAGACAGAGAGTTCTCAGGCATACCAATAAGAAATCCAAGCATATCCCAAACACATCTTCACAACTCCAAGCACAAGGATTATTGGGAAAGAAAGAAAGAAAGACCGACCAGCCACAACGGCTAGAAAATTTGTTTTGAAATTTCAAAAAGATGGGTGTCAGATAAAGCAATGACATACCAGGATTGTTTTAATTAAAGAAGCAACAGGCTCACAGAGCAGAAAAAGGAATACCAGATGCCACTATAGGGGAATCTTGGCCCTCTATTTAGTGTTGGACTACAGTTCCCACCATCATTGACCACTAGCCATGCTGGCTTGGGCTGATGGAAACTGGAGCCCAACAGCATCTGGAGGGCAACAGGTTCCCTATTCCTGCATGAGAAGATAAATTACAGCATCACAGCTACAGCACTGCCTAGCAGCCACCTCTAGAGGACCATATCCATCATGTTGCTTAGCAACCACAATGGACAGGTGCTCCATAGACTGTGTTCCCTTAGCAACCATCGTTATAAGCAGAGACGGAGAGAGAGCCACCATGTTTTTGTGGCCTAGTAACTACCACAGAAAAAGGATGGAGTACTGCCATTTCTGTGTGGGCCTAACTCATCATTTGAGAAAGAGAATGGGCAAACAGTGCTCATTTGCCTATTATTTCAGCCTTTGCCAACCTGGTGCCATCCAGTCTGATGACTGGGTATGCTGGCAGAGACTGATGGGAGTTGTAGTCCAACAACATCTGAAGGGCAACAGGTTGGTGAAGGCTGTATTATTTAATAAGGTTTGAGCAGAGAGGTAGCTACTGCATGTTAGTCTCTCGAAGCAAAAGCAACAGTTTTCTAGTACCTTAAAATGACAAATTTGTTATGGCAAAATGCTTTCATGGCCTAGAATCTACTCCAACAGAAACATTTGATGATTATACTCTAGTTCCACAAAAGCTTATGCCACCATAAATCTGCTCTAGTCTTTTGAGGTCCTACAAGACACTTTGCTGTTTTCATTAATACAAGTTTTGTAACCCACCCTTCCTCAAGAGTTATTGTTGCCTAACAACAACAATGCGTAGCAGATTGTCCTGAGAAACAGCAGCTTGCTGGCCTCTGTGAACCTTATGTGACTGAGCAGGGATTTGAACTGGTGTATCGCACATCCCAATCCAATCCTCTGCAAAGCAAAGTCACTTAAATAACACAGAAGGAATCCAAAGGGGGGGGGGGATCCTGCTAACACTTTACAGAGGAAATTGAACAAGAACACTATAATTTGTGAAGAAACAGAGAGGTTTTCTCTTCCTTACTTCAGGCCTTGGGGTATATGAAGTGTTAGGGGACGGGTAGTACCTCTGGTGGGGGACATGTTGTGCTCCTCCTGGGGTAGTTTGTCCCCTTTTGGTCCCCACTCTGCACTCAGCTCTCATTTGTGGCTCCTAGAAACTGTCAGCACACCACACCCTGGGAAATGGCTTCAAGACCAATACTGGGTTCAATGGTCAACAAGGCAGTTTCTGCACATGCAGTAGAGGGAAGTGAGGGGCAGATGGGGCTTGTCTACCTGGGAAGGAAAACTCTGATCCCGAACCTCCTACACAAATTCAGAGTGGAGTCCCTAAGATATTTGGATGGCATCTTCTACGCCTCCTTCTGGCAACTCCTGCTGCCAAGCTGGTGCCAAACATATTGCAGGATTTTGGTATTTCTGTTAGTGACAATGAGAGTAGAAGGTAATAGCTAATTCAGGTTCATTCACCTCAGCATTCAAGGGTATGTGGATCGATTAGCTATCCAAGAGCAGCTGTCCAAGATTCCCCAACTCCTTGAGGTTACCATAACCACTATCAACCCCAAAACAACATGTAATGCTTTACCTTCAAGCCCTGTAATCCCTGAGGGCCTTTGGGTCCAGCTGGGCAGTTGGTTGGACACTGTGTGAGGAGAAAAGGGAAGGAAGAGGAGATTAGAGGTCTGTCTCAACTGAGAAGGAATTTAGCAGCTAGGGATAAACACAAGCTACTCCTCCTAAAGCCCACATTACCTGGTCTTTCACAAGATCTCCAGGTAGTATCCTCCTCCAGGAACCTTACAGTGATAAACTAATAGGTTTATACATGGCCTTATTTTTTGTGAAGGGAAAAAAGGAGGAGAACATCAGGACAAGCAAAGAGAGATGATGAGGAATCCTCCTGTTTTCACAGTGACGAACCAGATGCAGGATCTGAGCACAGCATCACTCTGCTCACTTGCAATTCCCAGTAACTGGTATTCAGAGGTATTACTGCCTCTGATGGTGGACATAGAACATAGCCATCATAGTTAATACACTATCCTCCTGCATTTGTCTAGTCTTCTTCTAAAGTTGGTGGCCATCAATATACTGTACAACTTGTGGAAGCAACCCTCTTAGTTCAACTATGCACTTTTGCAGAGAGGCAATGAGGGTGAGAAAGAAGTTCCCTTCCCTCTGCTCTGAACACCCATAGCAAGGATGGAGAAGCTGTGGTTCTCCAGATGTTGATGGACTACAACTCCCAGCATCTGTGCCCACTGGCCAGACTGACTGGAGAGGACAGAAACTGGAGTCCAACAAGAACAGCTGGAGAGCCACAGGTTAGCCACGCTTGCTTTATGTTGATGGCCACTGGGCTGAAAAAGCAGAAAGCACAAATTCATGGTGGATAGGCCTATCAGCAGATATGATAGCTACATGAAGTTTCTGTATGCTGTGAGTACGATACCCTGCTTATAAGCTTTCCAGAAGCATGTGTCTGGCAGCCACTGTTGGAAACAAGGTGCAGGAGCTAAATCCTTTAGAGTGATTCAGCAGGGCCCTTATGTCCTTAATATGAATCTGCATTCAGTGTGCAATGCACCATGCGTACCAAACATCATGGATTCTGACTAGTTATGGCTGTGCACACTGCCACCCTTAAAGGAATGGCAAAACAGGAACCGCCAAGCTCTGAAAACATCCAATGAATCTGTGCCAACAAAGGAATCCAAGCCAAAATCCCAAATGCACTTTCTATCTTTTGCCTTCTACTTTTCAAGCATCGTGTACAAGATGGGTGGCTTTCATTTTTATTTTTTTTAATGGAACACGGCATGTAAATGCAACCCTCCTTACCAAGAAATCTGCACTGCCTTCAACTCCTTGGATGCGCCCAACAGGGCCCTGCAAAAGAAAAGAAAAACAATCAAGCATCCAAAATGGCAATATGTGCATCAGCCTGAGAAAGGGAGAGGAGGACTGTCCCCTCTCATTTTTAACCGGAAGAAAAGATTTAAGATTCAACCAATAGAGGTCACAGCCTGGAGCAGATCAAAAAATAAATGTGCATGGTCAACTTGCACAGGGAAAGGTGCTTCCCACAGCCCACAGTAGTTACTCATTTTTTTAAATAAAGTATCACACTTGCATGGCATCATGGGCATTGTAGTCTCTAGCTGTCAGCCAGGGCTGCTTCCAACCTTGTAAGTGTTTCCCCCTCCAATTCTATGGAAATTACCCCAAGTAGTAGCAATAAAACTTACAGGTTTCCCAGGAGGCCCTGGAGGCCCTTGTGGCCCTTCTGGTCCACGTACGCCCTGAAAGAGACATGAAAGTCAAGAGACTAGCAGCCTAACATGTGAAAAAACAATCCAGAATGTTCCCCTTTAATACTGTCACAGTCCCTACGCAGGGAAGTTACTAAATGTTGTTTTTTAACATGAGTCACTGACAGCCACCAGAAGAAGACATGAAGGCCCAAATACCCAAAGGTGCTGATGGGCAGGCAAGAGTACAGTAAGGTAGCATCAATATCAGGGTGAAGATAATGACTATGACAGGAGTTGCTGAGAGGATGAGTTAACCGAGGAAGGAAAAGAACAGAGGCTGTCTTTGGTGAATAATGGCTTAGCAGATGATGGGAACGCACAACCTGGCTTGAACACAGGAAGCTGCCTCATTCATAGCAAGCCAGGCATTGGTCCATCTAGCTTACTGTTGCCAACAGTGACTAGTAAGCAGCACTCCAGAGTCTCAGTCTTTCTCAGCTCCAGCTGGAGGTGCCACTAGGGATTGAATCAGGGACCTCATGAGTACAAAGCAGTTGCTCTTCCACTGATCTGCAGCCCTTGGAAAGACTGCTTGGCCACTTAGAAAAAAAGGGGAATTTGAGAATGAACATACAGTGATAAGGACAGGGAGGAAAGGTCTTAGGCCAGGTTTACGTTTACGCCGCAGTTCTGCAGAGTGGCACAGAGGAAGAGCAAAACATCATGGGGAAGATGAATACGAGTTTCATTCTAAAAAGTATGTTTCTTATGTTTACAAAGGCATTTTGGAAAGTGTGCATGGGAAACCCATTTGGAGTGTGTCTGAACGGAAAGGGATTTCTGAATTAGGTGGAAGGGAACATTTTTCTCGCCCCTGCTGCCTTCATGCCTAACAGAAAAAGCATACATTTTGCAGAATACTACAAAACAACAACATGCAGAATACATGTGCCACATAGTTTATGCAAATATAATTTTGCATAATTTATGCAAGTTGTAGCCTACAGCACATATTGATACAGAATTTGGCAGAGAAGTTCAATTATATTAGCATACACAGTCCTAGTGATACAGAAGAGGATGAGATAATGGAAGCAATTGGGAAGAGATGTAGCTGTTTTCATTTTATGCTGACATATTTCTTTCTACTTCTGGATCTTTTGTCCTCTCCCCTCTCCTTAGCACATGAGCCCCTTGGCTACAGGGGGACCCACCCACCTGTTTACGTTTAGATTTGCATATTGTTGCAGCCTTGCTGATTCCCACCCCAACCTGAGTTGTTTGTGCAGCATGGTCTATCCATTTGAATACGCAAATATAAATCACAGAAGCTCTGGATGCCAATGAACACTGGGTCTAAGGCAGGCTTCCTCAAACTCAGCCCTCCAGATGTTTTTGGCCTACAACTCCCATGATCCCTAGCTAGCAGGACCAGTGGTCAGGGATGATGGGAATTGTAGGCTCAAAACATCTGGAGGGCTGAGTTTGAGGGAGCCTGGTCTAAGGCCTGGCTATGTGCTACAGTCAATACATGAAAAATATCTATGCTCTGACTATTCAAAATTCTAAAAATTCATTAGGAGAAAGGCAGAGAAAGCTGGAGATGATCCCAGTGCCCCTAGATGCCTTTCTCCATCTCAGGGTCACCTTCTCCCTCCTTTAGGGGCAAATTTTCATTAAGAGTTAGGATGGGGAAGATGAGGATGAGTGAGGCAGTTGAGGTAAATAACAGGTATATGGAGGGAGGCAACACGAGAACAGGCCTTTTCAGCAGTGGCTCCCCATTTGTGAAATGCTCTCCTCAGGGAACCTCCCCTGAGGCCATCATTACATATCTTAAGCCGGCAGGCAAAAACATTCATTTTTCTCCAAGCCTTTGGCTCTTAATTAACTGTAACCACCTTGACTGGGTGGGATGTTTTAATCCTGCCTTTAAAAAACAGGGCTGTGTTTTAGATTTGTCATTGTTTTAATTTATGCTAGTGTGAGTTTGTTTATTGTTGTAAGTCCCTTTGAGTTACTTTTGTTTTGAAAATGACTAATGTTTAACTTAATTAGTAGTAGTAGTAGTAGTAATAATAAAAATAATATGCTGTACCATTAAGATATGGCCCTCCAGCTTCAGCTTTCCCTGTGCTTGCCTTTAATCCCCTTCAGTTTTCTCTGCACATCTTAATTTTCAACAGGTAAAGCCTATCTACTTCTGACAACTGTAGCAGCATAGAGCCAGGCTCTTATTGCAGAGCAGGCCTAGGAAAGCCAGCAAACCCCAAGTAGTATTCACCCATCTCAGCTGGATCCCTTACCTTGGGTCCCAGAGCTCCAATTTCTCCAGGGAGTCCAACCTGGCCTGGAGAGCCCTTAAGAGAAAGAAACAGAGAGGGGAGAAAATGCTTTGTTTTAGTCATATGATGGGAACAGCCCTCTGTTCAGGCTCTGTTGGACGTCTGCGGTGGCAAAGTGTTTGCTAGGCTAGCAAGCAAGAAGGAGAGATGAGCAGGCACGCTCCGGCTTACAGCAAACGATTCCATCTATGTCTGCTAAAAACGCAGTGCCTCATTCTCCCACTTAAGTGACACGTTAGTGAACATATGTGCCCTATTTCAGCACAAGTGTGTGCACGTTTAACAGGAGAGAGAGCTCATCTGGAGGCACTTCTGGGTTTGCATTTTCTAATTCTGGCCACTGACCAAGCAAGGAAAAAATCTGTTTAATCCAGCAAAAGTCTGGATAGTTATCAACAGATAAGGCTGGTTTATTTTACGCTGAGTCAGATCGATCTAGATTCTAGCCCAATACTCTGGCAGCAGGTCAGGTAGGGAGGAGTCATTTTTCCATCACCTGCTAGAGGAGTCTTTTAACTGAAAATGCTGGAAACTGAACTTCAGACATTCCGCATACAAAGCAGGCGCTCTGCCACTAAGCAAAATTCCCACTCACCCACCCCTTGCTGTCAGTCAGCGTCTGGTGCATGCAGAGAAGCAGTGGGTAACCTCTGCCTTGTGGGCCAAATTAGGCCTGCAGGGCTCTCGTGGGGCTATTTCCCCCCAAGCCACATCCCCTTGTCCCACATCTGTCATCATATATGTCAGTTATGGGGCAGGTAAAGATGTGGCATTGGCCACAAATAATGAACCACAGATATTCCTGCAAATTTATTATTCAATTTTTGTGATATACAAATGACGCTAGAAGACTTGGTCTATTTATTTATTTGTTTCATTTGTTACTCCTATAATCTTTGTTTATATGAATATATATGAATATTATATGAATTATATTATATGAATATTATATGAATATATACATACGATGTGGCTGCAAAGGAACAACTGGGAGCCTTGAAATGGGCTCCTGGTTGCTCCTTGACAGTCAGTGCTCCCAAGTGGAGTCATACTCTGCTGAGAGGTGCTGAATTCAAGCCCTTCTTAGATCAGCAGGGATCTTCGTTTCATGATGTCATGATGACACCAAGTGATTGGCATGTGGGCATCCCTACCTACCCACCAAGGTAGCTCACGGGAGTGAGGAAACCCAGGATTTGGCCCACTGGCTGGAAAAACTCCACTCCACCCTCCAGTACGTCTTGGCTCAAGATCCCTCTTCCAAATGGCTGAACTAATAAAGTGATTATTTTTTTTAATAAAAAGTTGCCAAACCAGTGGCACATCACTGCTCACAACGCTGTGACAGCACAAGACCCTTTGTGTTGGGTCACTGCCCCTTCCTCCAAGCCAAGCTATGAGCACACACTCCTGTAAGCACCCCTCACAAATCCAGCATACTGCCTCCCGCCAGCCAAACCCAAGCTCACATGAACAGCACTTACAGGAGATCCTTTCAGCCCAGGCCCCTGAAATGAGAAGACAGCCACAGTAAACAATCATGCTGCGTTGAAGAAACCAGCTGAAAAACATGAAGGCTGCAGCTGAGGCATCTCCCAGAGGCAGAGCAGCTGCCTCATTTTCCCAATCTGGTTGCGTCATATTAATTAACTGCATTTCTGAGTCACCTGCCCCATAACCAGGGTTCTCTTTGGGTGACAGACAGTTTAGGCAAATAAAAACAGTTACAAACAAAAAAACCAACAGATCTAATATAGCAACTGAGCGTGCAGCACTCAGATCCATCAAAACCACAATGCAGAGGCTTAAAACATCTTGCAGGTCAAAACACACCCTCCAGTGAAAGAGTCCACCACCTTCTGTCTACCCTAGTAGAGATGGATTATTAGGATTGAACTGTTATCCGTGCTTAGAGTAGCTCTACTTAAATCAATGGGACATTAACAAATAAGTGACTTAGTTATTAGTATGTTTGCCTTCTATCTCTCCTCTGCGGGGCTTAAGGTTTCATACATAGCTTCCCCCCCACCCACTCCCCATTTTATCCTCACGACAACCCTGCAAGGCAAGTTAGGCTAAGAGATGGCAATTGGCCCAAAGTAGCCTGTGTTGGCTACACCTGCTCTAAACTATATCTTAGAGCTATAGGAACGAGCCTTGATAAGCCCCAGGCTCATATGCTCCCTCCTCTGGCTGCAAAGAAGAGATCAGAAGCACTTGCTTCCACTTTTAAACTAATGAGAGCTCCCCTCTGTGTCTAAACCTGGGGGGTCTCTGGCTAGTTTAAACTACGGGTTGTTAACAAGCCAGCACCATAAAGGACAGTTTGATTTTGGCTTGTTTCAACAAACCACAGTTTCCCCAAGTCCAAAGGTAACAAGCAACTGTGGTTAGTTTAAAAGTGAATGCTATATGACTCCTCCTTACTGCCGCACTGGAGGAGAGGAGGGGAGTGTGCAAGCCCACTCTCACCACACTCAACTATAATCCAACATGTTGGCGTGATTGTGTACACTGGATGCGTTCATATAGCGGTATACTTTCTTGACAAATACAGCCAATAAAGAATAAACACTTACCGGAAGCCCTGGAGGTCCTGGAAGTCCAGTCTGGCCCTGAGTGAATGCAAGAGGGAAGAGATATTCGGTGTAGCAGGATCCACACAAGTGGAATATGACTTAAGCTGCAGATCTACTTCATGGGACAGATGCAGATATGAGCTCCAAGGACCCAGCCCTACCAGATAAGATTGAAGCTCTTGTGTTTGCAGGTGCAGTCTGGACAGTATTGTTGTCTGAATTCACCTAAGGCCTCTGTTACCTTGCATAGGCCAATTACACCCCCCGTTTCCCCCTGCTGTAGTTGCTGGGGATGTATACAGTGCATACATGCATCCAAAACCACTTTGAATCATTTTGTCCCCCAATTGGTCCTCATTTGGAGGACTTCAGCCCCCACTACAGCATCTGCAATGCACAGCTGTCACAATCACAAGCCAGTCTTAAAAGAACCACTCCATCTCCTCGAGTCACACAGAAAACAGTCACTCACTTTGGGGCCGGGTCGCCCAAAAGGTCCTGGTTCCCCTTTTGCTCCCGTTAGACCCTGTAAAAAAATGGAAAGAGAATTACAGGATCAGCTTGTGGGATATCAACTGGCATCTGCAATAAAATAGGTAAAAACACCAGGGCTGGAAAAGAAATGGGTGAAGCGGCGAATTCAAACCAAAAATCTTTGCCACAGCTGCAGAGCATCCAGAAATAGAAACTGCAGGTGTAAAATAAAGTTTTTGTGGAAATGCAGGCATGTGCGTATAACTTTCACTGCTAAATCAAGAAATAAGCTAGTCATCTAAACTAGCATTTCATAAAAAACCCTCAAATGTGCATTCCCTTACCAAGATTCCTAAATTACCTACTTTATGCTACTAATCCCAGTGATCACAGGCACAGCCAGGTTGGGAGGGGGGAGACTAGATGCCTCCCCCACCCGCTTTGTCCTTTCCATTCTTACCTTAAATATATGAGGTGACCAAGGGTAAAACTAGCAAAAACAAATCAATCATATAATAATAAGTGCTGGAGATGTAAGGAACAGATAGGAACATACTACCATATGTGGTGGTCCTGTCCAGAGAAACAAAGGTTTTGGAATATGATTTATGAAGAGATAACGAGATCGATAAAAACTACATTTAGCAAGAAACCGGAAGAATTCTTATTAGGAATTGTATCAAATAATATTCCCAAAAACAAAATCAGGTTATTTATGTATGCGACGTAAGCAGCAAGGGTTATAGTGGCAAAACACTTGAAAGATACAAATACACCCAGTAAAGATGAATGGGTTGTTAAATTGTGTGAGTACTTGGAGATTGCGAAGCTGACAGATGCAATAGGAGATAAACCTAAAAAGATGGTGAAAGAAGAATGGGAATGTTTAAATAATTATTTGAGGGGCAAGGGTTCATCAATAAAGACCTGGTTATGTTTAGAATGATACCGCATAGGGAAATGTTCCCTGATACCAAGATGAGGGACTCCATGGAATGCAGATAGAGGGAATTGATAAGAATAATGATCTGTTGTGACCTTGACGGAAGTGTACAATAGACGAGCCTTCTTGTGTTTTGGCTCGTTTTTCTATCTTCTTTTTTTCCTTTTCTTCTCCTTCCCTCCTCCCCCCCCAACCAATAATGGCTCATGTTTTGCGCCATGCATTTTGATATTTTTAGTAGTTTTGTATCCCTTATTATTATTATTATTATTGAGCATTTCTTTTTTGTAATTTTGGTTGTTTATATTTACCTGTATTGGTTTAAAGCAAAATAAAAAACTTTTTTTAAAAAAAGAAGAAAAAAAGAAGGGTCACACATAAGCGCCCATTCCCCCTACCCAGCACTTTCTACTGGACGGGTTTCAGAGTAGTAGAATCTGAAGCAGCAGCACTCCAGGAAGTGTGGCAAGGTGGAAGCAGCCAGCCATATTTCTGAAAGCATGGGAGACTGTTCAGACACTGAACTGAGGACTATTATAAGAAGGCGGGCATGCAGATAACTACAGTTGTACCTTGGTTTTCAAACAGCTTAGTTCTCGAACGTTTTGGCTTCCGAACGCCGCAAACCCCGAGCAAACTATTTTTTGAAGCCAAATGTCCGACAGGGCTTCTGATTGGCTGCAGGAGCTTCCTGCAGCCAATCAGAAGCCACGCTTTGGTTTCCGAATGTTTTGGAAGTCAAACAGATTCTGCTTGACTTCCAAGGCACAACTATATTTTGATAAGAGATTGAATCCCTTTATTATGTATTGGTGTCACAAAATACAGGAAAATGCTAAACCACAAATTCAAATTCTGGGAATACTATAAAAATGTTATGTACCGGTACTTCTATTTATATGTGTTCTCTCTCCATCTCTTGTACTTTCTCCCCATTTATTTCCTCTATCTATCTATCTGTTTCTTTTGTACCTGTATTTATAGTTTATAGCTTTTGAAAACAAAGCTTATTTCTTAAAAAAAGAAAAGAAATGCTGTGAATAAATAAAAAGGTTTAGCTTTGGGAGTGATTGGGAGTGATGTGGGCGTGCCGTTTTTACAAAAAAAAAGATAGCACAAGTTGCAGTCCTTCTGGCTTCAGCCCCCACATCTCTAGCTAGCAGTTCAATCTCTGAGCAGGAGGCGGCTGCATCTCCTTGACAGTGCATCTGCCTCTAACAGCACATGCAGGAACACGACGGCACCAAGCAGAGCACGCAGTTTGCTATTTCACCTGCTGCTGCAGCCACTGACATGTTATCAACAGCTCAAGATGTAACTGAGGACAATAGTGTTTTTCTAGGATATCTTTAACCAAAACAACACGCCCTCTTTGCTTTTTAAATCAGCACAGGGCAGGAGATTGCAAAGTAAACAAATAGAGCAGGCAATGCTCGACCTCGTGCAGGCAGGATGGGGCTCAGGCAGTGGGGCCAGGAGTCTTACAAATACAGAAGATTTCCCCTGTTTTAATATGTCTAATGGAAGTAGGGGAAACAAATAAACAAATATAAAGCATGAGTTGCTAAAGTATCCTGCTACCCTACCATGGACAGGCTGAAAATGGATAGTCAAACCTCGGATCCTGAATACCTCCATTTTGGAACGTTCTGGCTCCCAAACGGCGAAAACCCGGAAGTAAATGCTCTGGTTTTCGAACATTTTTCGGAAGCTGAACATCCAACGCAGCTTCTGCTTGCAATCGGAAGCCACATCTCAGTTGTGGAACATTTCAGAAGCCAACCAGGCTTCTGGAACAGTTTACGTTCGACAACCAAAGTTTGACTGTACTAGCAAAGCATGCAAATCACACCGGATTTGGAGTGAGCAAAGGAGGACAACCATTTGTACTCACATCAATCCCAGGTTTCCCCGGAGGGCCATCTGGACCTGGAAGGCCGGGTTCTCCCTTGGCCCCCTGTCACAGAAAAACATTTGAGGAATCGAAAGTGTTCTTAGGGAGAAAAGAAAGTGAAAGCATCACAGTTGCACACTGCCACTCTGGGGGGTGTTCACAGGGCCGGCCCAAAGGCTCTGTCCAACACTGCAAGTTCAGTTCCACTTGCGCAATGAAACTCCCTCTTCCCTCTCCACATGCCCCCCAGATGTGCTCTGGAGGGTCCCCCAACCCCCTGGAGCAGACTGGTGGGTTGTTGTTTTTTAGTGCAAAGTAATTTGATTTCCCACACAATCAAAACCACAGCTTTACAGTGATAAGGTCTGATACCACTTACAAACAATGCATATTAAAATGAAGGCCGTCTTTGCTTTCCAACAGTTACAAAACAGGTCTTAAGCCTCCCACAACAGCAGTTTCTCATAAGCATCGTATTTTGGGCTCTGCATTCTAGACCTAATCCTGACAGTTCAATACAACTCAAAGCTGGGAGATAGGTACTGTATGTAACCTGAAAGTGATTGCAGATTTTTATTAATACTAATGTTCACACTATAAACAAATTATAGGCCCAAGTAACCCCTGCTGACATTGCTTGCTTAGATACTCACAGGGCTCCCTGCTGCTCCTGGTGGGCCTTTATCGCCCTAAAGAAAAAAGGGGAGAAATGGTTAATAGCATGTTCCACTTGAAATGATCGCTGTCAAAGCAACTGGAAATGCAAAGTCACCAATACGCAGTTCTGGGAGATATAATGAGCATATCTGCTCCCTGGTCCTGAAAGATATGCACAGGCTGCCTCCTTGGAACCAATTCAAGGTGTTGGTTTTGATGTGTAAAGACCCGACAACCTTAGGACCTGGTTACTTGAAAGAACATCTCTCCTCATATTGTCCTGTCTGGGCTCTGAGATTCAGCAGGGATGGCAATGCCAACATCAGCTGATCGCCCCACAAAGCTTTCTCAACAATGGCACCCCCAGCTGCAGCACATCCTCCTTCCATCAATTTGGCTGGCATCAGCTGAAGACAGTCCTCTTTCTGCAGGTCTTTGAAATATGGTTGTTTTGCCTGGCACACCCAGGTAGAAGGTGGAAGGCTTGACACCCCAGTTGGATGAGAGCAGTTTTAAGAAACATTTTTATTAAGAAGAATGTGTATGCAGCTTGCAAGCATCAGCCCGGCAGGAGCCAGCTGTAGATTACTACATACTCTCAAGAGGGAGGGTGTCTGAGGTTTCTATCTTAATTTCTAAGCAGTGATATATTTGCTCATTTGTTAGACTTTCAGTTTTTTATTTAATGGCATGCTCTCAGCGACTGTGGTTATGGCTTAATATGTCAGGCTCAATGGCATCACTGGAGGCTGCCCCTGTGACATCACCATCCCGTGACATCACTGGGGATGACCCCAGGTCTCAGATTTGGAGCCTTAAATCTGGGATGCTCCTGACCTGGCAAACTTACTCTGAACAGGCCTTCTGAACATGTCATATAATGCAGATGGATGTGCTGGCATGCCGTAATTCAGGGGTCGGCAAAGTTTTTGTGGCTTGGGCTGGTTCACGGTCCCACAGACGCCGCGGTGGGCCAGAGTACACACACATGCATGCACAAACACTATTTCTGGCGCTCCTTCTGGCACAGAAGAGGCGTGCACAGCTTCCCATTGGCTGCAGAAGCTTCCTGCAGCCAATGGGAAGCTGGCCAGTGTCACAGAAGGCGGTCCCCACTCTGCTCCATGTCAGTTTAGCCAATCGAGTGGGTGGTGGGGGTCCATGGGACGGTTAAATAACCCCCATGGGCCGTTTGTGGCCCATGGGCCTTAGGTCTTAATTGCATTTTAAATTTACAGTTGTATTTTAAACAACGTTTTTTTAAAATGCCTTTTATATTGTTGTAACCTGCTCTGAGATTTGCTTTTGAAGAGAAGTGGGGGATAAATCTCATAAATAAAACAAATGTTTTCAGGTTTTCTTTTCTTTCTTTCCATCTTTCTTTCTTTCTTTTTCTTAGTAATACAAAATATATGCCTCACCCATTACAGGATGGCATGGGTCCACTATAAAGAAGACACATCAACAGGAGGAAAAGTTTAAAAACAGCAATTATTTGTAATGCTGTCAGTAGGGGCCAGACATGCTCCTGGATATTAACAATAAGTCACATACCAAGTGAAAATAAACTTATCACTGGGGAGACATGGAGGGAAGTAGATACAGTGGTGCCTCGGGTTACAAACACCTTGGGTTACAAACACCTCAGGTTACAGACTCCGCTAACCTTGGGTTGAGACCTTTACCTCAGGATGAGAACAGAAATCGCGCACCCGGCTGCAAGGCGGCAGCAGGAGGCCCCATTAGCTAAAATGGTACCTCAGGTTAAGAACAGTTTCAGGTTAAGAACGGACCTCTGGAACGATATAGACTATTGGTATACAAAGGTGTGGGGCAGGCATAGCCAAACACGGCCCTCCAGATGTTTTGGGACTACAGCTCCCATCATCCCTAGCTAACAGGACCAGTGGTCAGGGATGATGGGAACTGTATTCTCAAAACATCTGGAGGGCCGAGTTTGCCTATGCCTGGTGTGGAGTATTACATTATTAGAAAAATTGGCACACAAACTGAGAGTTTGTAGAGGCCAATGCAAAAGTGTTAAGTTTTGTTTTCTTTTAAAATAAAGTGTCTAGTCCATATGATTGCTGGGGAAGCATGCCACACTGCTTGCTGTGGGCTGCAGGGCCTGGTGCATCTCAGAAGCCAGAATGGTTATGAGTTATGGTCACCTGTACAGACTCTAAAATTAAGAGATGGAAATTAGAGACAGGTCCATGAGAAGGGAAAACCACAAACAGTCATCATGGTAGGGAATCAAAAATTGCATCCAAGGCACTAAGACTCCAGAACTGTGTACTGGAAGCCCTCTCAAGCCCCTGGCATCTGCAATTTCACCCCCTCCAAGCTTTTTGTCTGCAGCCATAAAGACTAGAAACTTGCACTTGGAAATCAAAGGTGCCTGTATTACCAATGGGCAATCCAGATATCCTGTTCTGAGTTTGCACTGCAATCCCAGAATCACATAAGCGTGCTAAGGGTTACAAGCAAGGGGGTGGAAGCCTTGGGATTAGGCCCCACCCCATAGGATCATGGCGTCATAGAACAGATTTCCCTCTACATCATCATCCATCCCAGTTTACACTTTCCCATCCCTTCCATCCCACCACATCCATCTCCCCTTGGCCAACTCCTTTAGGCAGCTTTTAAACAATAACAGGAGCCCAACACCCCCTCCCCAGGAAAAGGCAATGCTTATAAATAAAGCCGATGAATGAACACCCCCCCCACTCTAGCTGTAGCCCTCCCCAGCATTCCAGGGAATGTTTTTTAAAGATAAGCCCACGTATGGTAAAGGTAAAGGGAGCACTGACCATTAGGTCCAGTCGTGGACGACTCTGGGGTTGCGGCGCTCATCTCTCTTTATTGGCCAAAGGAGCCGGCATACAGCTTCCTGGTCATGTGGCCAGCATGACTAAGCAGCTTCTGGCGAACCAGAGCAGCGCACGGAAACACCGTTTACCTTCCCGCCAGAGCGGTACCTATTTATCTACTTGCACTTTGACATGCTTTCGAACTGCTAGGTTGGCAGGAGCAGGGACTGAGAAACGGGAGCTCACCCCATCGCAGGGATTCAAACCGCCGACCTTCTGATAGGCAAGCCCTAGGCTCTGTGGTTTAACCCACAGCACCACAGGAGTGCTCTGATGGTGTTTCCTGCTTGGCAGGGGGTTGGACTCGATGGCCCTTGTGGTCTCTTCCAACTCTATGATTCTATGATTCTATAACCACCTGCGTATGGTAATACGTATGGTAATACGGTGTTATTGCAGGAAGAGAATACAGTGGTACCTCGGGTTAAGAACTTAATTCGTTCCGGAGGTCCGTGCTTAACCTGAAACTGTTCTTAACCTGAGGTACCACTTTAGCTAATGGGGCCTCCCACTGCTGCCACGCCACGCTTTCTGTTCTCATCCTGAAGCAAAGTTCTTAACCCAAGGTACTATTTCTGGGTTAGCAGAGTCTGTAACATGAAGCGTCTGTAACCCGAGGTACCACCGTACCACTTGGAGATGAATCAGATTCTGGTCTGTACTGTAAATCAGATTTGAGAAAGCAAAGCCCACTGGCTCCCTCTAGCCTTTTTGGATGGGCACTGCACCTGAGATCCTGTATACAATGCCTTCTTTTGTACCCAAACCATCTCTCCCCCCCCCAACACACACACACACACACACACACACACACACACACACACGCCATCCCTTCTGCTGCTCAGGTTCCTGTGCAGTGTGCTTACATCAATGCCGTCAGCGCCTGGCACTCCTGGCGGACCCGGGGGCCCTCGTGGTCCAGGTTCTCCTGGAGGACCTTGCTAAGGAGAGAAATCAAACAAGAAGGAGAGTTATTTTGGTGGAGAAAAAGGTCTCCGAAAACCAAGAACCAACTAAGCTGGACGAGCTTGTCCCACAATCACATCACAACCCCAGAGCAGCCAAAGACTGAAAGCCTCAACCTCTTTCCCGGAGAGCTAGGTTGCAAAACAGAGGTGTAGATATGAGTGTGCCTGAAGCCTTGAGAAGGGCAGACAGATTTCCAAAACAACCCCCCTCCCCCATGCCTGATCATATTGCAAAAAAACAAAACAAAAAAATTAGCTGAAAATAAGTGAAGCTAACTATTGAGAATAAGGGTGACAATAAGGGATATGGCACAGATCATGATAGATCCGGGAGATTTGAGGTTAAAATCCTCAAGCAGGCAGGCAAATCACTGAGCAACCTTAGACTAAGCACCATCTATTGGTCTGAACTACTTTGCAGGGTTGTTGTAATGGTAAGATGCAAAAGGACAACAGACAGAATTTTGTTTGGGAAAAGAAAAAGGGTTGGCTGCAGCTTTGAAGCCCTTTTGATCAACCAGGTAAAGGCAAACAGATCTTGCTTCCTCCTCCTTTTCCTCTCAGATCTCAGGGTGTCCTAGAATTGGACACAGGATCTTAAGTCAGCATGAAATTTGGCCTCAATGAAATTTCCCCTCAATATGAATCACTGGCTTCAGCTGCCTACTTGTCCAACACATACAGCTTCATAAACTGGGCTGCGGCAATGCCATCAGGCATCCAAATTTTGGACTGACATTTTTTAAGTAATATCAACAAATTTTAAATGCTCTGTTCAAGTTTCTCTGCAACTTGGCCTTTTGAATTTGTGGGAAGATCAGACAGAAACTCTCCAATCTAAGGAACTCCTTAGCGAGAACATCTTTGGCCCCAAAACGGAAGACATTACAGGACTTAAGCCTCTCATTGTGGTAAAAGGATATGTGAACCCTGGCTACTGCAGATAAAATAACTCACAAATCACATGTTTCTAAGGATAAGGAAGAACCAGAACATTTCTATGCCATTTGGTGGCACTGCATTTCTTGTGTGTCAAATCCTCTCCCCCACCACCAAATTGCAAAATTTGGCTTTCGTGATGTGTTCTGCTGCTTTCATTTTTCTCCATTATCTGCTCTCCACATACCCCAAGGCAACTTTGGTGTGCTGTAAATTACAGGCTCTGTGCGATTTCAAAAGTAGCTTGAACAAACATGCAGAAGTTGCGCAGAACTCTGGTTGAATTTGGTATCTCAAATTCCTTTGAAATTCTAAAAACAATTTAGGGTGCTTCCAGAGTATTCATCCCGATTTGTTCGTGGGTAGGTTAGATGACATTGCATCAAGTGTTCTCCCACATTTTCTAGTCCATTTCCCCATCACATTCGCAAAACACCCAATTTTTCAGCGAAGCAGGTTTGTTGCAAAAGAGCGCCAAATCGCCTTTAAATGCACAACCTGAATTTGCCAGCATATGAATGAATACAGTCTAACGTGTTCAGTACATAATTTCTCTGAATAGATGGCTGCATACCTTAATACAGACAGTAATAAGTCAGCCTGAGATTACTACTGTGTGTAAAACAAGGAGCTACTATGAAAGCACAGGTCCTTTGGTATATATTTATAGCTGTCGGGGGTTGGCCTGCGTTTCCCCCCAATGATGGCATGCTATAAATAACAGCAAGTAATAATAATAAGGAAGGCTGATTGAGTTTCAGTATGTGAAGTGCTTTCAACAATAAATGCTAAGGGAATGATAAATGTAAGCACTTTGCAGTTCCATTGATTTCAGTGGGGTTAAGCATATGCATAGTAAATACATTCCACTGAAATCAATGAGATTTCAAAGTGCTTACATTTTGCTCGATCAACCAGTATTCTTATTTAAGGGTTTGGAAGGTAGATGATTAGACCGACATTGTTTGAAATAAAACGAGGCATTCCTGTCTGAAGTTTTACTAGGTGGTTTGGTTACTAAGGATCATCTTAAATTTCTCCATGTATGATTACAGCCAGTGCTTTTTTTTTCTTAAAAAAATGTTTAGGGGTACTCTCATTTTGACTCAAGAAAATCACCATTTTATAGTTCAAATCAGGGAAAATAAATACAGTAAATGGACAAAAGTGCAAAGATTCACAAAATGTTTAGGGATATGCATCCCCCCCGAAAAAAGCACTGAATACAGCAAATTGAGTCCAGGCCCCTGTGAGCCTTGGAGCTACGTAAAACAAAACAGTCCAGTCACATCCTAAAGCAATCTGAGGCCTCTGGCTTTATTTCCCCCACTTCTCTTTACTTTAAAATGTGACATTGTAGGGTCTGGACTGATGCAAATAATATATGTACATGTTCCTAAATAAGGCATTGAACTTATAAAATACCAGCTTTGCAGTCACTGGGGGTGGAAACTTCCTGAAGGCATTCGCTGAATGAATAGCCCCCTTTGTCCCTCAAAAAGGGTGGCAAAAGTTTCTCTGTGTTAAGGTCCTACGTTCTTTTCCAAACCAAAAAGAAGTTGTAGAAAGGACTGTGTGTATCTCTGACTGCATGTCACTGTCCCGAAGGTGGCACCCAATATTCAGCAAATCAAGGGCTTTCCAACCACCACCACCAAATGACTCAAAGCATTATCTTCTGTCTTTTCTGTCACTCACAGCTTCAAAAACTGTTTTTCTTTTTCTTTTCAGAATTAACCAGGGACTTGGATTTTTATTTTAAAACATCCCATTCCCATCATCAGAGGACCAGCCAAATTTCTTCAGCTCCTTTTGTTTGCAGTCCGCAGAGAGTCCTGGTTGCTGGACATATCCTGTCCATCACGATCAGGATAATAATAACACATCTGTTGCCCCAAAAGACAGATCCACATAAGTACTTTTTAATTTGGTTCCCAAAGGCAAGATGTTTTTCCGCAGCTGCCCAGGGCCCTACAAAAGGCAGTATTTCCTGCCATAATACTTACTACCACCCTACTCAATATAATGGTATAATGCGAGATCCCTTTTAGACATCTGAAATCACTTTGTTTTGCTTCTTACAACATTGCTTCCACAAATCTCTTCCACAGATCTCTTCCCCGTTCACTTCCAGGGAGTAAAATTCCCCAGGAGTCTGTGCCGAAGCACAGGGAGACCCCTGAAAACAACAAAAAACAGTTTCGCCAGGAATAAAAGGAAAGCTCTTCTCTCCTCCCCTGCCCCAGCCAAAGAAAAAGAAAAAAAAGAGAGTATGTTTTATAACCCCAACAATCAAGCTGTGCCAGTTCCCCTCATTATTTTAAGCTTTCAAGAAAAGATAGTGTATTAAAACTAATTATTCAGACATTGTCCTCCAGCACTGGATCCCAAACTGCAATCAAGTTTTGTTGTTTTCTAGGCCCCCACCCCATCCGGCTCACCCCCCACACCTAGACGTTTTCCAGTAGAATCATAGGTAAAAAGGAAACTTACGAATTGTGTCACAGAGAAAGAGATGGTTTGGAGGAGAAGGCAGAATTTGAGGCTACCTAAAAAACTAGCCATATCGAGGTCTTCAGGCTAGCTGGATGAAAAGTGGGGGCCCGCCAGCCCCTGAATGACTAAATCTTTAGATCCAACAGGAGCAGAGAGAAAGGCAGAAAGGAGGAGATGGTGGGTCATTAATATGTAGTATTTTGGTGAAAGGGGAGTTAATGACCTGACTGGGAACTCCCCTCCCAGCCCACTGACATATGAGACGAGAGGAGCTGGGCTCAAAGATGGAATTCATGGGCCAGGTGAAGGGAAATTACTGTAGGCATCCTGCCCTTTTGTCTCCTCTTGGACTGTGGGAAAGTATAAAACATTCATTATTCAGCCCTGTTTAGGGAATTTTTTAATGACTGGTGTTTTAATGTATTTTTAATCTTTTGTTGGAAGCCGCCCAGAGTGGCTGGGGATACTGAGCTAGATCGGAAGGGTATAAATAAATTTATTATTATTATTATTATTATTATTATTATTATTATTATTATTTTCCTTAGCACAGAGGTGTGGCCTTCCAGGTATTGTTTGACTTAGACACTGAGGGCGTTTTTTAGGGAAGCCCTGTTTAGGAAAGTTTTTAATGACTGATGTTTTAATATATTTTTAATCTTTTGTTGGCTGGGGAAACCCAGCCAGATGGGCGGGGTAGAAATAATAATTATTATTGTTTTTTAAATGAATTTTCACTGGTGCGGGGGGTGAACTCAAGATGGCACTTTAAAATCATGCAAAGGGGTATTTTTAATCTTTATTTTAAAGATTATTTAAATCTTTATTTAAATAAACAAGTACCACAAGGCATTCATTTAAATTAAATTAAATTGTAAATTACTGTGATTTAAATAAACTGAGCATTTAAAACTCCACAACTCCAAAATAGTTTATTTTATTTTATTACAAAATCCCGCTGAACATAAACCTATGGAACAGGCCTTCGTCATCTCCCGCCTCTGGTTGAACGAAAGTAAAGTACAGCGGACTAGGCTGTACCAATCCAATTCAAAGCTATGCGTAGCTATTCATTAACTGCTTGTGTTGTCATACCTCTTCACAGGTTGCCTGCTACAAGGTTATGCAGGGACACAATTCTTTCTGTTTGCACTGAGCCTGGTGAGGGAGCTGCAATTGCTTCCAAAAGGTTTTGCACCATGCCAGAAGATGTGGGCAGTAGCTGGCGAAGACATGCAGACATTGAACAGCCTATATCACTCCCTTTTGGGATGTGGGACACTGCAGAAATTATTTGCCACTGTTCAGGTGCTTCCTTCCTTAGGGCTCATCCCCACTTCTGCTTGTCCCATGCTTTCGAGGTTTTTCATTTGCCCTGCTGCTTTCCCCAGGAAAACCCGCTGTTTACTGCTCAGTCCTAACAAATGTCAATTGGGTTTTCTGTAGACTGAAGCAGCAATAAACAGGATTTTCCTGGGGAAAGTGTTGGGGCAAAGGAAAGCTCTCCAACCCACGCCTAGAAAACATGGAACAAACAGAAGTGTGGGAGAGCCATCGGGGGTGGGGGGGATTCCCCTTCCCCAGCTTATTCACTCCTATATCTTCTTTTTCTCTAGAAGGTGAAGGCGATATTATAGGAACTGGACTAGGACCTGGGAGACCAGGATTAGATTTACCACAAAACTAATGGTGAGACCTTGGGCCAATCACTCTCTCAGCTTAACCAGAGTTGCTGTGGGGAAATGGAAGACCATGAGTGCCGCGTGAACTCCTTGGAGGAAACCAATGGTGGCAGGGTTTTTCAATGTAATAGAGAAGATCTCCATCTTGTCTGCCCCTGTCCCTGAAGTGGAGCAAGGTTTGAAATACAACAAAAACGAAGCAAGCTTGGTGTTGAAGCCATAAATCCTGCCTGAGTGTCCGTCTTAAGATGGGCAATGGGAACTGCTGGGTTCATATTTTTATTGCTGCAAACTGCTTTGATATTTTTGTTTATGCTAGAGGTATATAGATATTTTTAATAAACAAATAACTAAATAATACGATGAGAATGCAAACCTGTACAATTATTTTGGAAAATGGTGTTTGAAAAAGTTTCTGCTATTGTGAGAGGTGATAGTGCCTGGTCTGAGGCTAGCTTTAGAATGTAGTTCTTATGGAGAAACTGAAACACAGCATTTCAGAGCACCAAGACCAAAGATGATTTTGAAACTGTGTGGTAGCTGTTTATTCAAAACACTGGAAAGGTCAATATACCCTCACCACCCATGGCTCACTCTGGGTCAATCTGTTAAGATGGAGAGTAAAAGACGCTTAACTGATATAATCAATTCTGTGACAGCTGGGGCTAATGGGAGTTGTAGTCCAAAACATCTGGAGGTGCCTAAGCTGGGGAAGGCAGGTCTGAAGTGTCTCCTGCATGGCTATACACATTCAACAGCCTTCCCTACCACCAACCACTTGTGGCACTGCCTCTGTGTTACTCACTTTTCCTATAGTGTCATTTCTTAATTAATCCAATTAGCACCTCAAATTGAGACTTCTGGGATCTGAAAGCTCAGTGCACACACACACACACACACACACACACACACACAAAACATTGTGTAGATTTTTAGTCTTGCAGTATTACAGTCTGGCGTATAAAAAGCTAAGGATGAGGAAGAAATTCAATTCAATTCAGTTTGGAGGTCCATATACCTAATTTGCACTTCCCAAAACAATATGCGCTTTGAAATTCCCACTTCGCCAACTTTTGCAGTGAAGTTTTCCAACCAAATAACGTGTACAGAAATGTACGTATGCCTTCTGCAGTGTGCAGTCTGCAACATCTGCAGTATGCAGCCTACACTGACAGGCAGCAGCTCTCCAGGGCTTCAGCAGGGCTCCCTCTCGGCCCTGACTGGAGATGCTGGGAATTGAGCTTTGGGCATCTGCCAGGCAAAGCAGCCCCCCTTCCTCCGAAATTCCCCTCCCCTCCATGGATCAACACAGCAGCTTCCACCTCTCCTGAAACAAAAACCACTTCGCTCTTCCCCCGCCCCCAACCTATTTATACCCCCCCGCCGCCCTCATTCATTCACTCTCCCGTTCATTCATTCTTGCCTCACCCTTTCCCCCACCGACTTCGCTCCGCCCCTCCGATTTGATTGGCTCTCCGTTCGACGCACGCGCCTCTGCAATCCACTCGTCGAATAAACCGAGGTTGACGGGTTTAAAGTATACACAGTATGTATATTAAAAAACCCTCAGAAAGCCGGTGGGCGGGGCTTATATCACAGTCCCGCCCACCTCTCCCGGAAGTGTCTAGCGGCGCTATGTGTGTGCGTGTGCGCGCGCGCGCGTTGCGCTGCCAGGAGGCGGCGCCGTCAGTCGCTGCCTGGAGACGCGCGCGCGCGCACGTCTTTTTCCTTTCCCCCCTTCCTTCCTCTTTTCTCTTTCTTTCTTCCTCCCTTCCCTTCCCTTCCCTGCCCGCCTCTCTCCGTACCTTGACAACGTCCTCCTTCGCCACCACCACACCGGGGGCTGGGGGTCTTCGGGCTCCCCCTGCTTCCCCTTGAGGGGCCAGAAGGGCTTTGTGTGGGAGGGGAGAGAGAGCTGCGGCTGAGGGGCTTTTTGTATTATTATTTTTTTGGGGGGGTGTCCTTTGCTGGAGTTTTAGGCGCGGTTTTAAAGTGGCCACAGGCACCGTCCGTCCCCTCCCCCCCCTCCCACGAAGGTGGCGGTGGGAGGCTCCGGAGTCCCTCAGGAAAAACCCCTCTTAAGTCGCCCAGGGTCGAAGGTACACCTGAGTGCCGGCACTGCATGTATATCTGAGGAAACAGAGGTATTTATTTGCCAGGTGCTTGGCAGGTCCTGTAGGGCCCCTTCTGTCGTGTCTGCAGGTGAAGGGGGAAGAAGAAGTGTGCTTGGGACATGCTCCTTAGTTACTTTCAGGGGTGACCCTTCCATGGTCTAGGTTGGCGGAGGTAGCAAGGGCATTCAGACGTCCGGGGTGCTAGGTGCCTTTGGGGAGGCTGAGTTTTGGAGCCTTGGTTTCCAGAGAACTTGCCAGGGTAGGGAAACCTTGGGGACTGTCAATTGAGGTGGTGGTGGTTGGGGGAGGAGGAACTGGCAGCTGCAGCTTATTTAGTTCTGGTGCTGGGTTTTGCTTCTTATGTGGAAAGGGGGGAGCCTGACCTGGCCTGTGCTTTCGGTTCGGGAAGTGCTAGAGGGATGCTGTGACCAGAGGGAGGCCGCAGAGAGGCTTTATTACAGAGCGTAATCCTTTGTAGCATGTTAGCGTGCTTCTGGGATATTATTTCAATGGGAAGGTCTGTGGAGGGGTTAAAAACTGTGTGACAGTCAGTTGGGGAGGAGTGCTCGGCTCAGCACTGCAGAAGGCCTTTTTGGCAAAGAGCAAGAGGGGAAGTTGCATTGTTGGGAGCTGAGAGGCCGTTTTCTCTCTAGACCAAGATCTTGATTATGTAGAAGGGTGTGAGCTGAATTTTAGGGTGGGGTGCACTTTATCAGAGGTGTGGAGTGAAGGAGCCTGGAAAGGCCTGCTTTAGAGAGCTAAAGGAAGGAAAGGACATCTCTCCCTTTTTATTTTTTTATATTTTTTTGCACTCCTGCGCAGCCATCTCTTATCTGCAATGACAGGCAAATCGGTCCGGGATGTGGATAGATATCAGGCTGTCCTTGCCAATCTGCTGTTGGAAGAGGAGAACAAATACTGTGCAGACTGTCAGGCCAAAGGTAACATGCGGAAGCGGTGACCGTATTGTGGGGTTGGGGAAAACTCTGAGCTTAGCCTTACCGTAGGGAACTGTGTGGCAACGAGTAGGTGGGATAAGATTGTGCCACTGTTGGTGGATGGTGATTATATCTTCATTGGTGTGTGCCAGAGTGTGTTAATATGCATATGTACATAATATGCATACATAATATACAAATACATGTAAGGATTTTTTTATTAAAAAATTACTAAAAGCATTATATAAATGTAAGCAGCAAATGCTGTGAATTTCAGGTCAACTTCATTAATACTGTGTGGTATCAGGATGAGACTTCCTCTTAGGCAGAAGCATGTACTGCAGGTTTCTTTGTCAGAAATTCTAGCTCCTTGGATGTATGCGCTCGTGCCCTGCCTCTTGAGTTGGATGAGGGAGGAAAAGCAAACAGGTGGTGAAAATGGTCCCTGATGCTGGAAAAATCAAGTGGCGGTATGAAAGGAAGGTTGCTGGCAGGCTGGCTGGCATTTTTGTAAAGGGGGGGAGGGAACCCACGCCTAATGCAGGGGGTACTGCATGCAGTTGGTTACATAATGGCATCAACTGGGCAAATTGACAGCACAGACTGTATTATAAATTCTGTATCTAAAGAAGGTACATTGGGGATGAATTCTTTCTGGAGGCTGATAAGGCCAGATCACATGGGAAGGCCGCATCAGAAAAGAGAAGGGAAGGATGATTCACAAAAAATACAGATTTGGGAAATGTATGTGTGAGCCATGGGCAGCATCTGTCTACTGGAATCTAGCATTATGTACTCCCAGGCTCCTGTTAACATTCCTGTGTCTCAGCTTCCTGTTAAATGCCTTAACTTTTTAGCTCTTCGGGTTGTAAAGAAGTTTTAAAAAAACTTAGTGTCTGGAAGGGTCGCAAACAAACATGTTGGTAAGGCAGCTCAAGATTTATTCTGAATTCCTCTGGTTACTAAGATCTATTCAGAGTTCTCAGGAAGGCTGACTCATGATATCCTCAAAAACTGATTTTGGAAAACTCTGTGGAAGGGGATTGCCATATCTGGAATGGAGAAGGTGATGCTTCCTCCCCCAATCGAGTTAGCAAGAAAAATGGAACATGTTTGGCTTCTTTCATATATCTTTGCCCCCTTACTTCCGTTGCCCAGTGCTGTTTGCTCTGCAGTAACCATTCTGAAAACACTCTGCTTGTGTTCCTGTGTTCTTGTTGCTACCCAAATCAGCTGCTCAGGAAGCAGGACCCAGTGGCCTTCTGGTTGCTTTCATGATGCAAGGCTCCAAAGCTTATGGTTAAGAATAGTAATATAGATTACAGTTGAGAACCCAGTATAAACTAAACATGTTCCAACAAACTCTGCTCTGGGGTCTAGTAGCACTTTGCAAAATGCAATGCAAAATTGAGAAAAGATTAGCTGCAGTCCAGATTGCCCAACTCTAAGCAAAGAATGTTTTTGCTCAGTTGGTTCGGTCCCATCTGTGCTTTAAGCAGAAAGATTCCTGTATTTTGGAAGTCAAGTGGATTTCTTGGTGGATGTTGATGGCTTGAAGCTTGAGTTACCAATGATTTAGGTCATCCTGCCCCAACCTGGTGCTCTTCAGATGTTTTAGATTATGAATTCTCATGGGGGTTCATAGTCTTGGAGGGCACCAGGCAGGGGAAGGCTGATTTAGGTTTTGCCCCTTTCACTCTTTGTGTTGCACCAAACTTCAGAGCTTCTAGTCTGGACTACAGAGAACATGTGAAGAATGCCCATGTGCAAACAGAATTGGGTCATTAAGTTAAATTGATTGGAAGCTCAAGGCTAGTGGCAGGGGTAATACCCCTTCACAAAACACATCCTAAAAAGATGGAATTCATTGCCACAAGTGATGGTGAAAGGTTAAATGGAGCCTCCAGGTTCAGAGGCAGTATAACTCTGAATACCAGTCGCTAGAGGAATAATTTCTGTCTTGCTCTGCTTGTCTAAGGGCATCTTGTTAAAAATGTGCTGGCCTGTTTGGAATGAACCATTGATTCATATCTGGCATAAGATTGTGTATGTCTGATGAAGAAGCTTCTTGTAAAGTCCATAGGCACTTCTTATGTTATCCCATGTCAATAAGGGTTCAGATCTATAACACCAATGACCAATATTGCTGAAGACCTTTGCTTAGTTTCTTGTTGGTGTGCCTGCCTCATATTTCTGTCCACTTCCTGTTTTTCTGAGTTTCCTTTCTTCATTTGCATAGCTTCCTGTGTGCTCATAGTCCTTGACTCCAAGCAGCCTACGCTAGCCTCCCCGTGGTTGAGCGTTGGAAGATATTTCTATGACAGTTCCCTGAGAAGCCAAGACTGATAGTTTTGCTCTCTATGATACTTGGCTGAAACCGCTTTCTAAAAGGTTCCCTAAAGTCTGTACAGTATTTAATATCCACTCCCTGACCTGCCAGCATTCGTTTTTGAGTAGTCCATAAAACAGCAAGCTACCTTGGTGGTATAATTAATGTAAAATTGAAGTGTGCCATTAAAAATGTAACATGCACCACACAGCCAACAAATTTCAAACAGCCAGTGTCCCCGCAAAACTGTACAGAAATTTTTTTAAGCATGGGGACAAAAAGGAAACAAAAGTGAAAAAGGATGCCTAGCATAAGAAGAAAGCAGGTTAGGTTTGACGAGGGAAGTCTGTGGTTAATACCTGATAGATCCTTGATTTTCAGACTGTGATCAGGGACTCTTAGGGTTCTAAGGGTGTCTTATAGCAGTTCTGGATCCTTAGTGCCCAGGTCAGTAATGGTGGGCAACCCTTCCTTGCGTTGTGTACTTCTAGGATCCATTCACAGATATGTTTGCCTTTTTGCAGAGTAAATGGCAAGACCAAACAGGCTTTGCTATCGTCTCACATGGGCTGTGTATGTGACCTCAGACATCTTCCAGAATCCTCTGTATCATGTAGGAAGTTTTCCCTCACCTTGGTGGGGCTTCCAACTTCACAGGTGAACTTAGTCAAAAGTGCAGAACCTCAGACTGGAATTATAAGTGGGTAGAGCCTTAGGTGGAGAGATATGGGTGGGGAAAGAGACCTTTTGCAGTTGCCTGAGTTTGACTTAAACTCTCCTAACGTGGTTTTTTTCCATTTGTCTTCAATGGAACAGTCTCCTGAGCCATGTTTTGACATTGAAATGACACCTGGCCAGATAATTGACTGTGAAGATTGCTATGCACATCCACAGTGTGCTCAATTTAAATATCTCTTGGGATGACTTCGTAGATACGGTTTTCTTAATGCTCGCTGCTTGCTTCCCTGCCATCTTTTGGGCCTGAAACAATTTCTCCCTTGGGCCAGATTAACAACCCTAATTTGGGGATTTGGCAGCTGTTGGTGGGGTGGCAGGGGGAGAGAGAGGGAGTGGTGTGCCTTCTGTTGCAGAGAGTTGGTCTTCTTCCTTAATTTATCTGAATATACTCTTCTATTTTGCTTGCAGCACTCTTGTTCTTTCAGCTTATAATGCTACATTTTGTGGTCTGGTTTGCATCCTCCACAGTAAGGGCTTATGCAAGCTAGTTAGGCGGAACTTTATTTATTTACATACTGCTTAATGCTAAATTTGGCTTCTAATTGGTTTACAAAATATAAATATGGGGACTGCAGAATTGGGGACATTAGCATTTGAGTTGAATGCTGGCAGAAGCTGAACCCTGTTGGAGCAGCACACTTTACTCTGGATACAATCACATCAAGAGTCTGGTTTTAAGAAAATAGGAAAGATATTTATTATTGGAATAAATGTTGGATAGGAAAGATGCTAGTTCTGTCTTGTTAAGAGAAGGAAGAGAAGTAGGAAGTAAGATCAGGTCAGCAATTAATAACAACAATCATCCACCCTTCACCCTAAAGTCCCAGGGCAAGTTACATCATTAAAAACACTAAAAACTTACAATCATACAAATAAGGTGGGTCCTAAAAACATGTGCCTCAAGTGTCAAAAGCCAGGGTAAAAAAGTGCATCTTCAGCATTCTCTAGCAACTGTATAATGAAGTTACTAGATGCACCTCCATAGGGAGGCAGTTCCACAGATTAGGGCCCACCACAGACAATGCTCTCTCCCAGGCGTCCCCTCCACCCCCGCCTGAGTCTCTATGAAGCTACCAAGCTGGTCTTCTTTGCGTATCTCAGCACCCAAGAGGGTCGCTAAGGAAGAAGGCAGTCTAAGTTACCAGTAACGCTAAAGGAAGAACAACCCGGGTTGGGATAAGGACAGTCTAGGAAACCTGGCGCTTTCTCATGCAGATGCATCGGCCTAGAGTGCAAGCTAGGTTGCACCTCAATACTTCCAAGAGGTTCATCCTGATCAAGATGGAGTAAAAATTAGTGATTCAGCCAGAGCCCCTGGCAGAAGTCAGAAGATGAAGGTGGTACAGGAAGGTTGACCTCCCGTGTTCCTCTTCTATACATAATGGTCATTGAGATTTTGTCATTTTTAAAGCACTTGGATTTTGTCATTTTTAAACCACTTGGATAATGGTATCTAGTACAGGCTTGTAGCAATTTTGTTTCATGGGAGGTTGCATTTGGCTTGAACCTGTGGTTTTGTTTTTCTAGCGATTGCAACTGGGGCATAAGGCAGCACAAACGCTGCCACAGCAACCTTGAAGAGGGAAAGATATCTTGTAGAAATGGGATGGCAGTGAACGAGGAGGTTTTATGCCTAAGCAGGCATATAGACTTCAGTGGTGAGAAAATGGGACAAAGGCAACAACAGAAGATTAATCAGATTGTGCGTAACATGGCTAATTGCAGGATGTCCATTTGTGTGTATACCTAAGGTTGTTCTTTTGGCTTTGAGCAAACTTGATCGCCTGCCTGCCTGCAATACTTGAGTCTGAGTGAAGGCAGTTTGCGGGGCTGTTGCTGTGTTCTAACATTTATGTAGTGCAGAATGTGCTCAGTGCTGTACATATTGCAGTGATGATGACACTTCTTTTGCTTGATGAGCAGCCTGACCCACTGATTGCAGTGGAACATACTTCCCAATTTTTTGGTAATTAAGAACTTGAACTGTCTGTGCCTTCTGGGATGTTACAGTTGCAGAACACACTAAGGAGGCGACAAACCTTTTGCAGTCAACAATGGCATGTTTAATCTGGTTGAAACTTGAACTGGAGCCACTATAAACAAAGAAATAGATCCATGGGCAGCTTATTCTGGTTTATAGCAGCTATCTGAGTTTTTCTTGAGGGTGAGGGGGAAGTATGGCAAATAGAGGAACTGAAGGGCAAAGGCTGTTGACAGGTTTTTTCTCCAGACCATAAACTTAGCTCCTGTTTCTTCAACCACGCTTGCTTCCTTTGCCTTGCTCAAGAAACCCTCCAACTGGCTGTAGCCAATGCTGTTGTCTTCAAAAGGTCCTGTTGCATTAACTTCCTGTGACTACACAGAGAAATGATGAAATTGTCCTTTATCGTTCCCAGTGCTTGATGGTAAAGCTGAGTCAAGGCTGCTCAGTGTGTGTTATTAAATGTGCTTGTTGAAACAAATTCATTTTGTTTTCCAGGCTGGAAAAACTTTTTTCATGTGGCCCCTACCCACAAAGGTTCAGTGCGAGGTAACACTGCCACAGCACAAAATGGAATTGCTTAAACTGCAGTGATAACTTATACTACTGTTTTTGCAGTAGCGCTAGAAAAGTACAGAATGTAGTGTTGGGTGCACAATTCCATTTTCCTAGAATCGGGACTATTATTTTTCAAAAAGCAAGATTCCAGCCCTTATGGTTGAGAATATATGCTTGAAAGCATGCAAACTATGATTGTGAACTCTCAGAAGTGACATCTAACATGACCTTCCGTGGCCCCATTGTCCTGTCTAGTGGATATAGGGCAAACTGCAAAAATTATGCATAAATTTGCATAATTTATATAGGATGTAAAATGTTGGTTACCTTGGAATAATTTGGGTTCTTCTTAAGCAGGGGTGTGTGCATTCGCACGTAATATTAAAATGCACACACACACACCATAAACCAGGCTGTAACTCTGACAAATCAGATGCTTTACATGCAGTAGTCCTGGGTCCAATCCCCAGCATCCTCATGTGGGGCTGGGAGGGAACCCTGTCAGATCCTAGAGAGCCACTGCCAGTAAATACAGACAATACTGAGCTAGATGTACCAATAAGGCAACTTCCATTGTTCCCCTTTAGCCTGTCATGGTTAGGCTTACTCTAGCTGCTGTCCCTGGCATGTCCCTCTTTAGTTAGGTTGATTGCTGCTTTGTCTTGGGTGGGGTGGTCCCCACCAAAACATTTGTTCACAGGACCCACACCTGTCTCGGCTTCTCCCATCCCCAAATGCCTTTGCGACCCAACTCTCTTCTCTGCTGCCCATGGCAGCTGTTGATACTCTGTTCTGCCTGCCTACCATGGTCACTTGTGGTATTTCATATGCACGCGAAGTGGGTTTGAATACAGTAGACCCACAACTTACACAGGGGTTACATTCCGGGGATAGCACATAAAGCCAAAATCACACATAGTCAAAACACATCGCGTGCAATGAAGGGTGGAATTGCCATTTCCTCCCACCCTCCGGATGCTTGCCCCCTTTCCACATTTTAATTAAAAACAAAAATCGCCTAGCAAGTAAAGCTGAATGTGCACAAGTTAAATGCACACAAGTTTCAGGTTTACTGTATTCTTGGATGCTACTGTGTTTTTCAGGATAGCTGCTTTGGTTACATTGTTCACATGCAAATAAAGATGGGTAGGCTTGTCCCACTGGTCTCCAGGAGCCTCGCATAACTAGAAAAGGGCATTGTCTTTGGCCATGTTGCCTTGGGCCCAACCTGCCTTATGATTTGTATTAACCCTGCTGTGGGGTATGGATGCTGCGAATGGTTTGTCAAGCTAACATTGGAGTTTTCTAAGCATGTGTGACATTCTCTGGCTCGCTTGTCTTTGATTCTTTAACACTAAACTGATCACGCTGCGCAGATGTACTGTCTCTGATACTTCCCCTTCTCCAAACTCTTCCTCTCTACTTCCAGATCCACATCCCTTCTTTCCCACAGGTTCCTTTGGATCCAGAGCCACAGGTGACAAGAGCTGCAGGTTCTTCCCCAAGTGGAGCCCTCACCAGCTGATTATTGCAACTTCTACTGTGTCTGCTCATCAGGTCTTAAGGTTGCCCCCTAATTCCTCCTTTGGTTTGTCCAAACATCATTCCCCTGCCTTCCCCTGCTTCCTTCTTGCCCCAGTGTGTTGTGGGAATTTCCCCTTAAGTCCCTCTCTGAAATCCAACCCTCTTGCAGCACATTGCCAGGTAGATGGGAAGACCTTACCCTTCCTTACTTTTGTGATGGCGCACAGTTCTTGGTATTTAACCATAGCATTTATTCATTGCTTTTATCATGGGTACTTCCCATAAGCAAGGTTGGAAGAGTATTTCAAATTCCAAGGCACAAGTACTTTTTTCCACCCTGGGAGTGGAAGCTTCTGGGCTCCGGCCTTGGACAGACCTAAATAAATATTTTAGTACTCCTGGATGCCAGCTTGATTCAGATTTCTAGGTGGCTGGTAGCTTTCCAGCTTCTGCCTTAGAGCCTCTGATGCAGTCAGTTAACATCATATGTGGTTACCAAATCAGTTGTGCAAAGGCAGAAGGGATGTCTGTTTTCATAGGCTGTTACCTAAGATGTGTTTCCAAAAGTATATCTGGAGGGCAGATATTACCTGCTCTCAACTTGGGGTTGTCTTCTGGAGTTCCAGCTAAGTGCATAGCATTTGAGGGCTAAATTATATGTACAGCTGCTCTTGAAGTGGTAAGGCTGGAAACAACTTTTGTATTAGTTTTTGTGTGGTTTTGTTTTCAGTGTGCCACCCTGCATTCCAAGCTGTGGAAATGACAACTTTCTACATCTGCAATCTAACTGCCACTGTGTGGTTTCATTAGAGCTAGAAGGCAAAGCCAGTGATGTTTCAGAGACAGCAACATATCTAAAGCATATATAGGTGGTTTGATAAGGGAATGGCATGTACTGTATGTGATGTAATTGTGTGACTGTCCACCTTTTGTGGAAGATTTGATATCCCAACTGAGCTGTACAGCTCAGTGTTCCCTAACATTGGTTGCAAGCCATTTGATGTTTTAGTTGGTCTTTGCCAGACTCCATTTTGCAGATGCCCTGAGCTACCTGGTTATGAACAATGAAATGTATACATTTTTCCCCCCTGAGCTCATAGCATGGGCTGTATTGTAAAACTGGAGCCTCTAAATTTGTGTTTTGTGTGAAAGACAGCTGCTTTCTGTAGAAAATTGAACTTTCAATTTAATATTTTTTTCACAAAAAAACCTGGCAGGTTGCCATAGTGATGAATGTATGAAATCCTTTTGGGAGATGTCAAAACGCCTTCATAAAACCCACATGCGTGGATACCACTTTCTTTTGAAACAGAACCTGCTTGGAGTTTAACAGAGAGACTTGTCTGTCTGGGGAGTGATGAAAGCAAAGATTGTTTTCGTAAATATAGTCAAAATCTGAATTTGGGCAGCACACATTATGAGCATATTCCTTGGCCGGTGAGAGATTATATCAGTAAACTTGTGTCACTGTGATGGTGGGCTTTAACCATGAAAGAATCTATGACCTGTTAAGTGGGGTCGGGGGGGGACTGTTATGATGACTATTTTATTATTATGCTGTCAGTATGCTTTATATTATGTTTTTTATTATTGATGCTCCGTAATGTGTTCTTAATGTTATTAAGGACAAGATATTGGGGTTCTCTTATTAAATTGTTTCCCAACTTTGGGTCTAGCCCTGTGGGTTCAGAACTGGTCAGGTTCAAGCACGAGACCAAAGCCAAGTTAAAGAAACAAAACTAACAGCTAGTTAAGCCTGATCATTTATTGTTGCAACAAGGTTCCAACTCCCAAGCAAAAACAAGGAAGAAGAACCCTGAACAAAAGGTTGCATGAGTTATAAAAGTTCCCACAACTTCTCATAATACATTTCACACAGTGTCATCAAAACATCATAGCTACTGTTTTATTGCTGATTACAGTTCAAATCCTACTTGTATGTTAATCTGATTATTGTTATGTTTCTTCAAATACTCAGCAAAGGGCTTTCACTCCTCTCAAAATATAGATTCCTCCTGGTCTCTGATTTTTGTTGTCAAACTTGCCAACTCCATATACTCTGTCGGCTTGTTCAGCCGAACTTCCTTGGTTGGCATATCTTTGTCTTTCCACTTTTGTGCATATGTTACTCTTGCTGCTGTCGTTGAATACAGGAATAAATTAAGTAACTTCTTAGGGATATCCAATTCCATTATTCCTAGAAGAAAGGCTTCTGGGGTTGGTTTAATTTTTTTTGGGGGGGGGGCGTCTTAAACATCTTCTGTAATTCAATATATATTGTCTCCCAGAATCCTCTAGCCTTTTTGCAGGTCTGCTGCATGTGGAAAAATGTGCCTTCTATCTCTTGACACTTCCAACATAGGTTTGAACCATTTTTGTACATCCTGGCCAATTTACTTGGGGTCAGATATCTGACCCTGAAGGCTCATTCCTCCTAAGTATGAATTAGGTATGTGCTTAAACTTTCTGCTGGACATTCATAGATTTGAATTTTTTTCTGGCAAATGGAGAAAAGGCCCTAGTCTATTGCTCCAGTGGTGGATCAGCCACCCTTTAAAACAACCCATTGTAGCCTTTAAAACCACTCAAAATTGTAAATTGGCACAACCCACAATTTAAACAACCTTCCCTCCCTCTTCTATATATACAGTTGTGCCTTTGGGATTCATTCCATTTGAAGGCCTAACAGTGTTTTCTTTCCCCCTTCTTGACTTGCCCTGGAAAACATGATGAGTATTTGAGATCATAAAATTATAGGATGATATTTACTCCCTGCAATAGCCTTTGGTTAATATCTGAATTGTTGCTGCTACTTTGATTTAAGGTATAGGGAAAATGTGCATCTTTCACAGCGTAAAAAGCTGTTTCTTGGAATAACAGAGTTCTCTACACCAGGCTTCCCCAACCTGGATCCCTCCAGAACCACTGATTCCATCACCCCTGATTATTGGCTGGATCCAAAATATCTGGAGGCACCAGTTTTGGAAAGGTGACTGTACACACTGTTTTTGGAGAAACATGTTAAGAAACTTGCTAATTTTGTTTTTTCTCTTGGACACTTGGGTCTTTTCAAGGCACAGGAGCTTAGCAGTAGGGATGCAAAGTCAATTTAATTGTTCCTTAGCAGCAAACATTAGAATCTCTTTTTGTTAGGAAGACAGTCTACTAAGGGATTCTTCCACAGCCATGGCTTGAATGTTGTTGGGAAGCCCTCAAGATTAAGCCCACAATCCAACTTGGTTTCAATAATATCCTTACTGGCTGTTATCCTTTCCCAACAAGAGCAGGTACATACTTTCCATAACATCCAGATAAAAATTGTGCCGTCTTCCACTTCCCCTCACACCAAAGTTCCAGCATACATGCATTTTTAGTGCTGTGCGGCACCATGAGAGGTTGGCAGTACAGTTGCTGTTTCATTTGTGCATTTTAAAGTTGCTTTCATGGTGGAGCTGGCAGGCAGAGCTGCTTGTGTTCTGCTAATGTTTTATTTATATAGAAATCTTTCTCCACTTCCCTGCCCACCTATAGCCTAGTTAATCCTGTTCAGGCATTTCTCTTGGATACTGTGATGTTCCTTGCTTCTTGTGTTTTGAAACAGGGGTGGGCAGCCAAGAGCCAGATGCAACTCTCCAGGGCTATTTGCAGGTCATGAGCATCACTGGTTCTGCTTCATTCCATCCTCTAGTGCTTTGGCCTGCCTGGAATGTGTCTCTGAAATGTAGTGATGCCTCTAGCATACCTGGATGGAGAAATGGATGTCTCTATAGAAACCTATGACTTCTGTGTGGCTGGAATGTGGCCTGCCATACTAATATTGCTTCACTTTTGACTGCCATACAGCCACTGGAATGTTGCCCATGAGTAAATGCGGCCCCAGACTGAAAAAGGTTCTCCATCCCCATTCAATACCTCTGTGTTGTAGATTTCAAGTTATTCTATGGAGTCATGAAAATGCATCGACACTAGAGAGGAAGGGGTTGGCGGTTATAAATTTTGTATTTTATGTCACGCTTTCCCCAAGCATTCACAGTGGTGGTGTTGGCCATGGTTTTGTTTCTCCAAAGTCTGGCTTGTTGTCCAGTGGTTTGTGCATTTGTTGCTTGTGAGCTTGTGGGTTGGGGTGGACAAATAAAGCGGAGCCCAGGGTGGCAAGAAGAGTGGCAACGCAATATAATTAAAGCCTATTTTGGTATTAAGTGGTACTTCAAGTTACAAATGCCTCAGGTTACAAACTCCGCTAACCTGGAAGATTTACCTCGAGTTGAGAACTTTGCCCCAGGATAAGAACGGAAATCGTGTGCTGGTGGTGCAGCGGCAGCAAGAGGCCCCATTAGCGAAAGCACGCCTCTATTTAAGAACAGTTTCAGATTAAGAACGGACCTCCAGAACGAATTAAGTTCGTAACTAGAGGTACCACTGTAATGTAATTTAAAATAAATTAAATTAAATTTAAGAGCATTAAAAACATTTATTTGCTATCCTGGGCTCCATTGGGAGGAAGGGAGGGATAAAAATATATTTAATTAATTTATTTATTACAGTTGCATACCCTCATAGCTAATAATTTCAAAGTTGACAGGAACAGCACATTTCAACCATCAACTGCCTGGGTAAGCAGGAATGCTTTTAAAATTCTGCCTGAATGTTAATAATGAGGGAGACAAAATTCACCTCACCAGAGATGGTTTTGCACAGATAGGGAAACACCACAGAGAAAGCCCTATCATGGGTTAATGCCAAGAGGGCAGCACCCAGCAGTGGTGCCACCACCAACAAGGCCTCCCCTGCTGATCGTAGGTTCAGAGATAGTAGATATTGGGGGGGGGGAGCCCCTTTTATGTATATATTGATTTACTGAGTAGCTTTAGATTCTGTTTTTTATCCAGCGCCTTCAAAGCTGCTCTTACATCATTTATAAAATAGAAATGAAACAATAAAACAGACTTCCTGTTTTAGATTGTGAAGGATAGGGAAGAAGAACACCTTTAAAATCAACTTAGTTGGTGGCAGTTGATCTCTCCCTTAAGTTTTGACTCTTGTGCCTGCAGAAGCCAAGAAGCTAAACTGGAAATTGCCTCTTAATAGTAGGACACAATTAAAACAGTTAATGCTTTCATTATGTCTGCTTAAGCTTTTTCAATAGAACTGTGCATGCAGGTGGTGAAAAGGAAAAACAAATCTGCCCTACCAGCATGATATTCTGAACTGGTGTATGTCCCCCATCTACTGTCTCAATGAAGGGGGGGGTCAGATGTTTTCAACATTTGCATCTCTTAGCGCAGGCTAGAGCTGTATGTGAATCAGTTGGTGCTAACCCTCAAGGTGATGAAACGGCTTTATCTAGATTACTAATCCTTTCCAACAAAGTAAATGCTAAATATAACAGGGACTTTAGACCTAACCCTAAATGATTCCTAGTTAACTTTCAGGGCTAAAAATAACTTATAATATGTGGTTACCTGGGTTCTCTTTTCATCATTCAAACGCTTGACTTCTCTGGCGTCTGAGGTTTCGTGTGCAGGCACGCCAACAGGACTGGACCCCCTGCATCTTCCCCCTAGCTAGGCAACCTATTGGCAGGAATAAGCAACCTATTGCTGCTTATTTTAGCCTGGCCTATCTCACAGGGCTGCTGAGAAGATAAAAAGTGGGAGGGGAGAAAAATGTACACAGTCTTGAGCTCCTGGAAGGAAAAGCCAGGGCCGTCTTACCCATAGGCTCTAAGGGTACAGGGCATCCGAGCGCCGGTCTCTCAGGGGCGCCAGGCCGAGAGTCTGGGGCCCGAGAGTTGAGTCCGGGGAAGAGCCCACCCGTTGGTCAGAACACCACAGCGGGTTCTTCTGCTGCGGGCGGTTCTGCACTGCGAGTTCAGGGGCAACCAAGCCAGCGAGGCGCTGAGGTGGCTGGCCGGCTCTGCCCTCCTGCACGCCTGGGACTGGGCAACCGGGGGGGGGGGCGCTGGGTGGATCTTTGCACCCCGGCGCTGCATATGCTTAAGACAGCCATGGGAAAAGCAAGACATAAATGTCGAGCCAGCAAGAAAAGTGAGGTGTAACTATATCATGTGACTGGCAGCAGCTCTGCAGGGTTTCAGGCAGGAGTCTTTCCTGGTCCTATGTGGGGTTGCCAGAAATTGAACCTGGGGCCTTCTGCATGCCAAGCAGATGCTCTGCCACTGAACTGCAGCCCTTCCCAATACTGCTGCACTCAACTGCCTTTGTGGCTGGACTTGAAGACTTGCGATTCTATTCCTTTAAGGATCTGCCTGTGCAAAGCAGCGTAGGCGAGAAACCGTTTCTGTCCCACACTGCTGGTTGTATTCAAAGCAGCTGATTATTCAGTTTCAAGGGCACATGAACAAAGTGAGCAGCACTGTGCGGCCTTGCGTAGTGACTCCTCTCATACTCTGCAGTGGGCTTCCTAGTTTGCTTGTGTGGGAAAGAGTTGTGGTTGGCTTTGCAATGAATGAAACTCAATTCATATTTGGGCGGGGGCTCCCAAATCACAGATTTGCAGCAAGTTTGTTTTTAATGAGGTGCATCCCCCTCACCTGCAATCTGCACCTCAGTCTCTTCACGTGTGTAAACTAGACCTAAGTGCAGATGGGAGCAGTGTCTAGAAAGTGTCCAATGTCCTTCGCCCTGTGATTTATGCATATCTGCTGCAGAGGCCTTTGCATACAGAGAAATCTTCCACTCTTGCCTTTGAAAACGAATGTTTCTTCTTGTTCTAAGATGGTGCTCTGAAACTCATGCTTTTCTTATGGATTCCTAGTCAATGTGGTTGGAATAGACAATTTTTTGGACCTGTTAAATAAAAAAAATAAAAATGAAACTGTCTTTTCCTGCCTGCATCCATTTTGTCCCCCACCTCTCCAGTCCTGTGCCTGTTTTTTAAGATAGAAAGCATGGTCGGATTCTTTCCCAATCCCTCGTTTCTCCAGCATGGTTGTGACCTTTGGTAATGAATGTGTTAAAGCCAGCCTACATTGCAGATGGAAACTCTTCAGCCCCTGCCTGGCTTGCAGCAGTTTTCAGGGCAGAGCCCATCATAACTAGCTTGATGCTCAGAAGTGCTCCTGTGACCACTTCCTTTGTACTTTTGCAGGGCCAAGATGGGCGTCATGGAATATTGGTGTTTTCATCTGCATACGTTGCGCCGGAATCCACAGGAACCTGGGTGTCCACATATCCCGGGTAAAATCTGTCAATCTGGACCAATGGACACAAGAGCAAATACAGGTTAGTAACAAAATACTATCTCCCTTGTATATGGGCTTCATTATTGAGGACGATTCAGCTTCTCTGCAGTTCTGTATCTCTGCTTATATTAATATGGGGAACCTTGGCCGCCTTTTCTCAAATGGCAGATAAGAAGGGAAAACGTGAGCCTGGACTACTTGGGTGCTCCTCCATGCAATCTTCCCCCCACTCCCTGCCCCCAATAGTTAGAAAACTCATGTGCTGGAGCATAGCTTTGTGCTGGAGTGTAGCTCTGTATTTTGCTTAGAACCCCAAGAGCTGCCAACCAATGCAGATCCAACAAGCCTGAAGTCTGCCCTCCAGAAGGGATCTGGTAGGTAGTGCTCCTTAAGGAGACGATTCTGAACAAGAGTAAATTGAGCTTGTGTGCTATTACTCAGAGATTGTCATTGACATGCTCTGCAGTTCAGCTTTTGCTTTTTATCACTGTGCTTCAGATCTAGGACATCATTGTGTTATGCAAATCAGGTTATGCTTGCTGCAGTGCTTACACACTCTGTAGAAAGTAAAAAAAAAAAGATGGTTGTATTACACACAAACAAAATTATCCAGCCTGAATCAAACCCTAAGTATTACAACACCCTGCCCAATCTGTACTTCAGTTGATATTCCTAATTCTCGAGTGAGTGAGGATGAACTTCTCTCTCACAAGTACTGAAGAATTGCAAATGTATTCCTGGTAGTGTTCTCTGTTCCTTGCCTTGACTTTAATAAAAACTAAAATTGAATAACTGTGCTGAAAAAGCGGCATAGTCAAAGGAAAGCTGAACTGTGGGAAGTTTGAGGCAGGCAGTGATATGAATGGGCAAGACAAATAAAGATGCAGGCACTTGAGAATATATCAGGCATCCACTTTGGAAGAAGAGAAGAATTAAAGTAAATCTGTCCTATCGCAAAAGCAAAAAGTGTTCCTTGTTGAAAGAACAAAAACTGCAAGAAGCCTGCTCTTTGTAGCCATTAGGAGCTGCAGTCATTTTCTGCTGATCTGTCAGAAATCGAGGGCATGAATTAACTAAGTCACCGTTACCGATGACTCTGCAGATTGGTGTAGGAGCACCTTTCAGAAACTGCTTTGGCAGACTTTGAAAACTCTCATCTCCTTCATACCAGCACAGAGCAGGCTCTGTGATACTCCTGCATTCTGGGTTCCATACAACATTTTATGCTCAAAGTGAAACGAAGGCAAGGATAGCCTAACTGGCAGCACCCGATGCCATGCCATTATTGAAGGTTTCTTGCTTCTGTTCCAGTGCATGCAGGAGATGGGGAATGGCAAAGCAAATCGCCTCTATGAAGCTTACCTTCCGGAGAACTTCAGGCGACCTCAGACGGACCAGCATCCTTCTTCTGCCTCTCTTCTCCCAGCATATTGTTGGATGGAGGGCATCTCACTAATCTCTGAATGCATACTTTTGAAGGGAGCAGAAGTCTACCTTAAATGGAATGTATAACTTTTTAAAATATTTGTTAGAATTTGTTAGGCCTCTCTGTTACTTGGCACTTTTTGGAAAATTAGGCTGCAGAAGGTGCTGTTGCTAGAGGGGTGACTGCCCACAGCAAAGCAGACAGATGCAGCGGGTTTGTCCCATTTTGTGACTATGGGTCTTGAATGCAGGGCCAGCAGAACAGGTGGTGAAACTTCATTGGTGGTTGCCTTCCTCATGTCAGTGACCATGTTTCAGTTCTGCCTGCATTCCAGTGCACACCCATCTGCTCTCCCCTCCCTGCAGTCATGATCTTGCTCCCACTCCCGCCGGGTCAAACTGGGGGTTGCTACCATGGTGCCCATGGGTGCAGTTGTGCCTTTGAGGTCTTCCCCAGCACCCATGATGCCTTTGAGCCATATTCCTATAAATCCCCCTTGGTCATGAGATGGACTTTTCTCACCCATGAAAAGTCCATAGAGCTGGAGTTGGAAGAGTGGCGTTTTCTCACTTCCTCTTTCAGCTCTAGGTGCTTTTTTTAACGCTCAGCTTAATTATACTGTATCCAAGATTCCTTGGAAAAGCAAAGTGTGTGTGTGTGTCTCTGTCTCTTTGCAAGGCAGGGGGGCTGATCAAAGGGACGGAAGAGAGAACTGACTGGAGTGGGTGGTGCACAGCATTCGCTCAAAAAATCTTGGCATGTGTTGCGCATTCCAAGGCTATGGCCTCTGCATTTCTAATTGTCAAGCTCAGGCCCAAGGGACTAATGCAGCCCTTCTGTCTAGCTCTCAGACTCTCTCCAGGCCACACCACCTCTGCTTGCACCCTGAGTGTTTTTGCCCAGCTGGTACATCCCATTGAACTTGGATAATGCTTCTTGCATGGATGGAGGATAGAAAGGGATGTGTGTGTAAAAACTAGCCTACCATACAAAAGTAAAAGCATTTGTTGTTCTGCCCACCTTTGCCTCTGGCCTCATCTGCCACTGGCATGTGGTCCTCAGAAGGTTGCCCAGACGGGAATGTAATTATTGGGCTTAAAATGGTATCCCCACCACGGTCTAGGTAGATTGGAGGCGAAAGCACCATAAAAGGCACTGGATTGCTGCTGGATCTGCACATGTCCTGTAGCTCATACTAGAAAGGCACTGTTACCACTTGGCTGGCAAGCACAGCTATAGCGACTCAGCCAAGGATCCTTGTTGTCACAATGTCTACCTTTTCAACAAGAATAGAGAAGGTGTGGGTCAAACCATGCCATGACAGAGGTCTAGCTTGGGCTAGAATCTTGCTGCTGCCTGACCATGTTGTGCACAAGCTGTCAACCCTTCCTTGTTCTTCTTTAACTAACTTCCGTGCAGAGCAGTGGAGGGCTTTATCAGGGACAAATACGAAAAGAAGAAGTACATCGACAGAAGCCTCGATATCAACATGTTGCGAGTGAGTCTTAAATGCATTAGAATGCTTGCTGCATCCTGAATATATGATGTCCATTAAGTGCCATCTAGCCCAGTCCTGTTCATTCTGACTGTCAGTGCTTCTTTTAAGGCAACCTTCCCCAGCATAACACCCTCTGAATGTTTTGGACTACAACTTCCATTACCTTGTGCCAGCTGGGGATGATGAGAGTTGTAGTCCAAAGCATGGAAGGAGCCACACTGACTACCCCCAGTGTAAGACCTCAGACAGAGAGGTGTCTTTTCCAGCCTGGCTTCCCAAGATCCCTGGATTTGAATCTGGGATCTGCTGCATACAAAGCAGTGGTATAAATTCAAAAGTATAAAGCCATAATCTGGACTAATTTGTTAGCATGAGACAGCCAAACTGTTGATGGCCCAGGTTTTGGAAGAATTTTCATCTAAACTGTCCTTTTATGGTAGAAAGGATGAGAGTTCTTCACCTCCCCCCCCCCCAACAAAAAGAAATCCAGTTGAGCTTGCCAGAGGCTGCCATCTTGGTCAGCACACTGGGACTTTAGACTACCTGAACCTTTTTTGCATTTGCTCAGCAGCCAGATGTGGCTACTGTGTCCTCTTGCACATTGGAGAAGTTGAAAGGGAATAAGCACCAACACATGTCCCATTTCTGACGTAATATGGCTGGAAACTAGGAATGCTTCGCTTCTGTTGGGGAAGTGTGGTGTGTTTTAAGGGGTTTTACATTTGCCAGACCAGCTGGGCTTTCTGTCCCACTGGCCTGGAAAAGACAATGTCATGTTCAGCTACCTTCCTCACTCTCTCACTGCTTCGTTTGATTGTATACACAGAGAGAAAAGGATGACAAATGGAAAAAAGAGACAGCCTCAGGGAAAAAGCTGGAGCCAATAATCTTTGAGAAAGTGAAAATGGTAAGACAACCCTTCCTTCTGCTGTGTGTGGTTGTTCCTGAACTTCAGATGGACAGATGGGGGCGTGTTAACATCTGGGACTTTAATTTTATGCTCCGTGTATCTTTTGTTTTGTTTTTTTGTTGGGAATTTGGGTAAACCCTCTTTATGTACAGAACTAGTATGTGTTATTTTACTTTGGTAGTAGGCAACCAGATGCCCTTCAAATGTTGTTGGACTCCAACTCCCAGGCAGCATGGCCCAGTAGTCAGGTATGATGGGAGTTGTAGTGTGACAACATCGAGAGTGCTCCATATTGCCTGTCCCCGATTTACTTAGTAGGTTTATTTTCTGCTTTTCAAACAGCCTCCAAACATTTGAAAAAGCTTTTCAAACTGGAGGCAGCTTTTGACAACATGTAAAGGAAACATTTGGCAACCTGGTACCTTCAAGACGTTTTGGACTACAACTTCCATCAGCCCTAGCCAGCATGTAGTCCAAAACGTCTGGAGGGCACCAGATTGGCGAAGTCTGCATCAAAGTAACTGAGGGGCTTTTTACTCTATTTGGCTCAGCCTCAGAAGAAAGACGACTCTCATGCCAGGAAAAGTCCTTCCAGATCTTCTGAGCCCGTCATGGACTTGCTGGGACTTGGTAAGATGATGTGCACTTTGGGGCTTTTTCTTTGTCCAAATTCACCTTGGTGTCATGTTCTATACATGATAAGACACACCGTAGGTGCTGGAAACAGGTTAAATAGCTGCCACAGGGTATTCTGTCCACTCTTGTGTTCCCTTGAACAAAGGGCTTTTATCCATAAGGAAAACACACACATGGCAGGCAAGCCTCTTTGAAAGACATCTTGTGGCTGATTTTACTGCCCATCCTCTGCAGTGTGAGATGTGGTGGAGCATATGGTGTGTTCCTATATGCTCCCAAGCTTATGCAGCTTCTGTAGTCGGGCCCTGCACCACCCCGTGTGAACTGTGTGTCACCCAGAATCCTCTGCAATGCATCAACACGGGAACCAATCCTGTTTGGTTTGGGTGCACAAGCGGGTTCTTTGCTGGGAACTCACTTGTGTACCTGAAGAAAGCAGGATTGAATTTCCTGCTCATCAGTTGATGTGTAAGGAGTGCAAGCCTGCTGGTCGCTCACTATCTCTCCCCACTTTAAGAGGTGGGTGGTCCCAACCACCTGTTAAAATTGGCACACAATAAATTTCTGGAAATAAATTTCTGACCCACCAAGCCAAAAAGGTTCCCCACCCCTACTGTAGACAGGGCTGAGATAGATGGGCAAATGACCTATCTCTGTATAAGGCAGCTTTCTGTGCTATACTTCTGTGTTTCAGTGAAGCATAAAAATCACTGTCTTCAAAGTTCCAAGACCAACCCCTCCTATAAAGACTCTGGCCTAACCTTTTAATCCTTCATTCTTCATCCTTGACTGAAATGGAACTGCATAAACGACATTTGCTGAAACACTCAGGAATGAGACTGGGTGTTCCAAGAGAGCCCATGGCTCAGTCTGTCTCCCTTCCCACACTCCTGGGACTGCCTTCCTCAAAAGATCCACTTTGAACACAACATAAAACGCAACATCCTTGTTCTTGCCTTTTTCCCCTGCCTGCACCATTGCCAGTCAGCAGTGTGGGTGGAGAAGAGCACAGCAAGGTGATGTCATACTCTGTGTGGTATTAAAACTAGGCATTCGTGAGTAAGAGGAGGCAGAAATAACAAGTGCTGCTCCCTAGAGAGGCCACAGCAACAAATCCTTTGGGGTGTTTCAGTGCTACCTCTACCTTTCAGTAGATGTTCCTGGATCTACTTCCATCCATTGTTTCTTTTGGAAGAGATCTGGTGGCTTTGGTAGATTGCAAAGCAGATTGTTAGGCAGGATTTGCAGGTATACCTGTGCAGAAAGGGGTGCTTCAGGTTCCCTCAGGTGAGCATGCTCCTGGCAGGTGGCCTCTTGGCAGCATGGATCACACCATTGGCATTGGCAATAGGATTCTTTGATCTGCCTGGGTGGTGGGCTCCAGTGTAGTATAACTTGTCTCTGCCTCTACATCATTGTGCTTTTGCATAGGGGTTTTGCACACCCATAACCTGGCAGGTGCTTTAGCATGCAGAAGACCCCAGGTTCAGTCCCTTGTAAGCCCTATCAAAAGGGCTTCTAGCAGAGTAGTTCTCTCTACCTGAAACTTTGAAGAGCTGCTGCCTGTCGGAGTAGGCTTTACCGAGCTAGACTGTTGGTGTAGGGCTGCCTTTGAGCTTAAAGTGAATTAGATATTCTATTCTTCTGTTTTCTGCAGCTCACATAGTTCTATCTGGCACCAAGGTTTAGATCCCAGCCCATCTCACTGCTGTTCTTTAAAGATGATGAAATATTTAAGGGAGGGGGACAACAAAGCAAAACTGCAAGCCATGCATGAAATTCCTCTTATCCTGGCTGCAGCAGCTCACCTCCCTCTTAATGGGGTTAAGGAACAGCTGCAGATGTTGCTCTCTGCATTACTCTCCCTTCTGCACTTGCTCTCTTCTTTGCAGATTATGTAGCATGTAATATTCTGCCTTTGCTCCCCAAGAGTTGTCCCCTGATGGGAGGTGGACAGGAACATATCCTTTGAGGTACTGAAAATCTGCCTCTGCAGCAGAAATCACCGAATTGAGTCTTCTCTGAACTGCAGCTGCTACCCAGCACTGCAACAGAGCTTGTGGTCTCAGTTGCTTCTGCAGGATCAGCAAAGTGAAGAGTGTAGCTTGGTTTAAAGGACACGGTGGTCCAAATTAACATACACCATGAGCCATTGGGGTTGGGTTAGTGGTGGGTGCCTAGTTTAGGGTGGAGATCATGACAATTCCAGCCTGCCTTTTTCAAAAAAGACAGATGACTGGGGGGGGGGGGGGATGGCAGCACTAACGTTTGTGGCAGTTTCTCTTTTTATATCCTGAAGCCAATGCTTTGTGTCTTCCCTGAGTCCTGCATAGATTACAGTATATGGAGTAAAATTCAGCTTCCTAAGAATCTTACGTTCCATGTAAAAAAATTAAATCAAATTTGTAGCCCCTCTGGCAGGGATGGTGAATCCCTGTGGTCCTTCAGACACAATTGGACTCCCAACTCCCAATATCTCTGGCCAGTAGCCATTCTAGCTGGGACTGATAGGAGTTGGGAGTCCAACAACATCTGGATGGCCACAAATTCACTGCCTGCTGCCAGCATAGCTGCCAAGTTACACTTGTACATGTGTGAGCAATGCCTGATGAAATCTCGGAAGCCAGAGGTAACGGGGAGGCTGAATAGGATTTCATTTGGTCTAGGTGATGGGACTTTGCTCTGTGTAGCTCCTTGCCCTCCATGAGAACACAGCGACAGAAATAATCCATGGTGAGAGAACTCACCCTAATTTGCGCAATTTTTATATAGCTAGAGGGATTTGATACATCTTGTTGTTTGGGGTCAAAAGGCCCAAGCAAGTGGCGGGCCAGCTGGTGATTGGGCCGCTGGCCACCAGTGCATTTTTACTGGATTTGGATTAGTTAGCCCCTGTTTCAGGCTGTTCCCATTACATTCCTCTTTTCCAGATGTTCCTGTTTCAACAACCCTCCCCAATGGCAGATCAAGTAGCTGTTTAGAGAAGGACTTGGACCTGTTTGCCTCCATGACCTCTGAGAGGAAGGTGAGAAAAGTAGAATACCCAACAACCCAAGTTTTGAAAGGAGGAGGAAGATTCATGTTGATGGGCTGGTGTACCCTTGCAGCCAGCTTCCAAATGCTTGTATATTGTTGCGTCTCACTGTTGTTAAATCAAATTGACTAGCAAAGAAAGCTTGGCTGACATGTCTGCTTTCAGTGTTTGATTGCAACATCTGCGGCGAATTGCTAATACAGTGGAACCCTTTTTGTCGAACACTTCGGAAGCCGAATGCTGACAACCCGGAAGTGAATGCTGCTGTTTTCAAACGCGCCTCAAAAGTCGAAAGGCTTCTGAGGCGCGTTTCTCTATTTTTAAAAGGAATTTGCCAACCAGCAATTGCGCCTTGGTTGTTGAACGTTTCGGAAGTCAAACGGTATTCCGGAACGGATTACGTTCTACAACCGAGGTTCCACTGTAACTAGATTCTGGTTACACATTACTTAACAGGTAACCCTGTGCAAGTCAGGCTGTTCCTCTTGAGAATTCTGAAGATCCTCTCAGGCAGGCAGAAAAGCTAAAGGCTGACTGTGGAGCTGCTGACCATCTTTCTCTCCATTGTCTATCTGCTCTTATTTGTCCCTGATGGATTATCTGGCTGAGATTTCAAAGAGCAGCAAATCCACTTTTCTTTTGTCCTCCGCTTTTCATCTGTTGCATGGGAATGGCAATATTGTCCTACCATGCAGAGCTGCTGTGTAAGGACTGTAAATTAGTTTGTTGTGCATTACCTTGAGGGCCTCTTTGATCACAGAGAATGAGGTACAGTATCTCAAATATTTTTGTGAAATGCTTTTGAATGTTTAGGAAGAATGCTGTATCCCTTGTTTTCTCCCTCCCTCCGCCATTGGGAATAAACATGGTACATTCTCTTGCCAGGTTGTTGGCTCTATGCCCACAGCTGGGAGTGCTGGTTCTGTTCCTGAAAACCTAAACCTTTTCCCAGAGCCTGGAAGCAAGTCAGAAGAGATGGGAAAGAAGCAGCTCTCAAAGGATTCTATCCTCTCCTTATATGGCTCCCAGACCCCACAAATGCCTGCACAAGGTACCCAGTGAGGGATGGGAAGGATAGGGGAAAGATCCTGTGGCCATTTATCGCTAATGCTATATTTGGGGAAGGCGAATGAATGTAACTAGTAGAGAATAATTTTGTAAGTGGTTAACTCATTTGCTGGGTTTGAAGCATAAAGTTGCATTGTTTGGTGCAGCTTCTAAATTTAGGAAAGGTTTTGTTCAAGTTAGTAGACTGCATGGAGATGTTCTAATGGTAAAGCTAGGAAGGCTTGTTGAATATGCAATTGGTTTTCTTGAAGAGTTTATGTCAATGTTTTATGTTGGTTTTTTATGGTGCTGGGGCTATGACAGGCAAGTAAAGTGCTTCTCCTAGATGCTGTGGGTGATATCTAATGTTCATCATGCTCCGAATAAGTCCACTGAAATCACTGGAGTTAGGCAATTTAATAGTAGAAATTGATGGACTTGTTGTTTGATTTATTGACCATCCAGTACAAAGCAGCTCTAGGTGGGGGGGGGGAATCTACATGAAGTTTAGCAATAAAGCAGTGCCCTCTCTCTCCTATGCCCCATCCCAAACAGCATTAAGCATGGTTATCGTAATCCTACGAAAGCATGGGAGAAGAGATATTTTGTAACTGGGCACCAAAAAGTTATTAATTTCGGCACCTAGTCCAAGCAGTCCTTGCTGGGGAGAGCATTCTACAGCCATTTGCAGTGGGGGAGGGACAGCAGCTGAAAAGGGTCTACTCTGCATCGGATTTAGTTTGATATCCTGTATTTGGATAGCAGTGGTGTGGCTAGCATTCTGATGCAGCCCTCATCTGACACTGTTAACTGCTTCACCACGCTGCATGCGAAAGAAGTAGTTGCACTCTCCTCCTCCCACTCCCTGTCTCCATCATCACAGACTGTTTTACGTCATTCACACCCTTTGAGACCACTTTTCTAGGCTGCAGAGGAGGAATGCGTTACTAGTCTTTCGTCCCAAGGTTAGTTCCTGATTTGGATGTGCGTATGCGTAGAGGTGATTGTCTCTTCCTCTTGCCCCACCCCCAGTTCCCAACCTTGCTTCTTGATTACAATCGGTGTGACTCACACAAAATGTCAAACTCTGATGCCCGTAGAATGGAGTAGCAAAGAAAGGCTGCCTTGTGGGCTCGTCAGGCATAAAGACAGCATGTCAGCAGAGAAATCGAAATAACCCAGACTCCTCCCAGGACTAACACCTTCAGCACTAACACCTTTTTTTTTTTTAATCTCATCTAGGAGCTGTGTTCATCACCCCAGCCCAAATGGGTTACCCTGCAGCATACCCCAGTTTTCCAGGCATGCCACCCCCCAGCAGCATGATGGGTGGCATGATGGCACCACCAGTTGGGATGATGGCACAGCAGGGAGCAGCTGGCATGGTGGCACCCATGGCGATCCCAGCAGGTTACGTAGGCGGCATGCAGGGAGCAGTCATCGGCGTCCCCAATGGGATGATGCCAGCACAGCAGGCCGGGTACGTGGCTGGCATGGCACCCGTCCCACCCCCCGTGTATGGGGTGCAACCAGCACAGCAGTTACAGTGGAATATTGCCCAGGTAAGAGGGGGCATTGGGGGCAAGGGTGGCTGCTGCATATCTCCTTTGGGCATGGGGCAAGCTCTCTTGCTTTCCACAAAAACAAGCTGCCTGCTCTTACAAATAATGTAGAATTTAGTTTTTACATTTCTAGCCTGCTCTTTTTTCAATGAATTGGAAAGCCTGAGAAATGGGTGTGGGGATACAGAAGATCAAGGATGAGTGAGGGGAAGCCTGAAATGATGCAGTGATTTTTAGTCAGTAGAGTTACTGTACTTTTCTGTGTATAAGACTATTTTTTTTATTCCAAAATCATGTTCAAAATTAGGGGTCGTCTTTTACATGGGTAGTGGATTGTGGGGCCGTGGGATAGGTTGTTGCCACGAGTTGGAGATTGTGATTGGTGGCTGCAAGGGCTGTTGTTGATTGGCTGTCGCTGCGGCAAATGGCCGGTCAATTTGCTGCTTTTTTGGCAATGGGACAGAGAATAGGTTGCTTTGGTGACGCACGCACACGGCATTGTTGGTCTGCTGTGTGAGTGTTTTTTGGCATTTGCCCCTTAAAAAAGCTCAATAACTCTTGCACCCCCCCCAAAAAAAGTTCAACAACTGTGGGCAGTCCTCCCCCAAAAAAGAACAATTCTGTGCAATCCTCCCCAAAAAAGTACGTACAGAGAAAAGTACGGTAGTTGACAAATAAAATTGCCTCTCACTTTATGTGTATTTTATAGGTAGTTCTCTGTGTAACAGTTCTCAAAGTTTCTTAAATGAAATGCTTGAAACAAATGTAATTGATGGAGGCTGGGAATTAAACAGGGTGAGGTGGGTGAGTTTTTCTGGCTCTTGTGTTCTACTTGTAAGAGGGAATGAAAGGAGATACTAAAATAGGGTCTCTCATATAGGTGCCTTTCGGGATTGAGAGATACAGTGGTACCTCGGGTTAAGTACTTAATTCGTTGCGTAGGTCCGTTCTTAACCTGAAACTGTTCTTAAGCTGAAGCATCACTTTAGCTAATGGGGCCTCCTGCTGCCACCGAACAATCATGACCTCTCTGTAAAGGATAAGAAATTGTGGAAGCTCATTAAGTCTGTTCTGAGAACCACCATGGTCACTAGCAACTGGTTATTGGACCTAGATGCTAGCAAGTCCAGAAAAATGAGAGCAGCAAAGGTGTCGTAGCCAGCTGAAATCTGTTTACAGAGCAGGAAATTTAAGAGGTGTGTGTAGGACAGGGATGAGCATCCTCTGCAGCACTCCTGACTGGCCTTCTCCAACCTGGTACTCTCCAGATGATCTGGACTGAAACTCCCATTAGCCCCAGCCAACATGGCTTAAGCATCAGGGGTGATGGGAGTTCTCAGCCAAAACATTTGGAAGGTACCAGGTTGATGAAGGCTACTTTAGAAGTTGCTGGGCTCCAACTCCCATCATCCTGGTTATCGGCCACGCTGGCCACTGCTGATGGGAGCTGTAGTCAAATAGCATCTTGAGGCTCACAGGTTCCTCATCCCTGTTATTGTAGAATGGGCCTTCTGACCAATTTCTTGCCTTGTCTCTCATTCAGATGACGCAGCAGATGGCTGGGATGAACTTCTATGGCACAAATGGAATGGTGGGATATGGACAGTCTATGGGCAGAGGAGGGGCCCAAGGAACCAATCAAACCCTCAGTTCCCAGGTGTGGAAATAATACACCAGGATTTTGGACCTTTTGTTTCTTCCTTTACTTCTGTTTTCTTGTTTGAGGGGTTTTTGTTTGTTTGTTTGTTTTCCGCATTATTAAAAAGTTGCTCCCTGAGGTTATTTTAAGGTTTTGCTTTCCATTCTGGTGATCTTGGCTGGACCTTCCCTGTACTAAGGGAAATCTTCTCTGCTGCTTTCCAACTCCACATCCATGGAACTGATGATGGAACTGGATATTTCACTATCTTGGCTCTTTAAACTACGTGAGCGTGCACATAAGGTGGGAGGTGACCTGTATTTCAGAAATCAAGCCCCTTCTCTGAGGTTTACGATCTCTTCTCCCCCCTCCCCCATACCAAAAAAAAAAGTTATCTTGCCTTCATCCTTTTGCCTTTTTTCTACTGAACATTCCATTTCCACACACACTATGGGGTTTTCCAGAACTAGTTCCACCTTTCATGAGCTTGAAATTTATTACCCTGGAACTGGTAGAATTCCCATGAGGCCCCTGAGCACAAATCTTTTTTTCTGGAACTGTGAACAAGGTGGGGTGAAATTGGCGCCATTTTGAAACAACTGTTTCTTCTTTCTAACCACCAGTGGTGGCGACCTATTTAAACAACCTCTCCTCTCCCCACCTGCCCACCAATATTTTCTTTCTTTGATCAATTAGGTCATTAAAATGTAAAAGGGCCAAGACTCTGGCAAGTTTTCTCCTTGCACTTTTTTTGCACTTTTTTGTTTTCCTGTGTAACACACTTGCCAGCCTGAAAGTTTTAGTGGTGGAATACAAACTATGGGACTGGGGTGGTCCGACTCTCCTCAGCAACTACACAGAGGAAGAATATCCAATCTGTGGTTTTGAAAGAAAGCATAAATGAAAGCTAGGCATCTTCTGTCTACTTTACCTTGTGTATATGTAAATTCCTTAATAAAAATATTGCAGTGAAACCTTGTTTCTCTCTTATCTTAACTCATTGTGTTAAAATTATTTTAATACTTCTACACATGTACCCAAATGCATTAAGCATTTATGCTGAGTGAATTTCAGTTGTCTCTGCTAATCAGCAACTGTAAGAACCATGCATTGGTTTTTGTTTGTTTGCATGGAGCATCCTGTGTATGCTCTTTTGCCTGCTAGGTAGAACTCATGCATGTGTCCTTGGTGCTGTGAGCTTCTGGCTCTTACGAATCCAAATCTGTTATCTTTAGTCCAAAGTGGCTGACCTAGAGTGTTGTAATCCCATAAACATAGTTGCAAGGTCCTGGCAGCCAAATTTTAGGATGTTAAGCCCAGGACCTCAAAGGCATTGCTTTCATTATCGCTGCTTGGACAGGGTTTGACAAGCAAATTAACAATGAGGCTGGTGCTGCGAGGAAGGACTTAGATTTGGTAAGCACTGAGAACATTTTGGGACATGTTGGACTTGTTGAAGGTGACAGGCTTCACTCACTTGAAGATGTTATGGGTTTTTAAGTGACCACTTAGGGAGGGAGCTGTCTGCCTGGAAGAATCTGGTTTGGGGAAACTCACCCTTTAGGGATGGTGTTAAGTGTTTCAGATCCTCAAACTAGGGAGGGGTGAACTTTGGCAATGAGCATACAGAAACAAAAGACTAAAGAGTTACAAGAAAAGTTGTGCAGTTAAAAGCAGCTTTGAGGGACCTGAAATCTGGTGTGTGAGGCAAGTATTGAAAAATCTCCCAGGAACAGGTGTAAGTGGACAATTATCCAGAAAGTCCACCGTGGCCACATCTAATTTCAAAACAGAAACTTCTTCAACATGAGACTAGTTTAAAAGGAGGGAAGTAAAATTCCTCAGTGTAAATCTGGTAAACATTTTACAAATGACACAGTATTGATTCTGTGTCTATTAGGAGTCTCTTTTTCATCGTGGCAGCATCTATTACTCTGAACTTCCTGCCCATTAACATTAAGCATGCACCCTTGTTTATACTATTTTAGATACCTGCCTAGTGATTATTTTATATTATCTTGTTTGTGCTGCTCAGGTGTACTTTCATTAAGCAGATTATAATTTTTTTAGATGGATAAATAATCAAATGCAAGAAGGCTTCCTTAAAGAAGTGGAAGTCTTGCCTAAATGGAGATGATAAAAGAGCACAAATTCCAGAAAAACAAATGTATGCAGGTTGACAACACAGCAAGGGGGAAAACGATTTCAAAGCTAAAAACGTGTGTTAAAGCAAGATGCTTCAGATGCAAGAAACATTAAGCAAGATCATTGAACCATTTGATGACAACAGTGTGAAAGGATTAATGAAGGTGGGATAATATTGTGGAGAAGTTGAATGAATCACTTCCATCTTTAGTGTGGCGTACACACGGTCACGTACATTTATCTGCAAGAATTAAGGTAGACTCCTATTAAAACCAAGTGTGAATTTATGCAAACACCTACCTTTGGTGCTTATTTGCGTGGGTGCATGTACTGGATGCATGAAACGTGTGGTCAAGAACTGGAAATACTATTGGCGCAACTTTTCCAAACACAGTTTGCAGTCAAAACAGTTTTCAAAACTGGCTTTAATTGTCTTTACTTGCTGCCCAAATACTGTACATGCATTTAACAAGCCAAATGGAGAGACATTAACTTTTTTTTTTAATCCATCTTGTCTCCTTTGGAAAGAGGAGAAAAAACTTGTCAAGAATGTTTATACAAAATTGAGCGTGCACCCTCAAAGCTGTCAGTCCTGCTGCATATAAACCCACAGAAAAATACAAGAGTTCTACATTTAGGAAAGACCACATCACATAGAAAACATTACAGAGCGCAGGTATAAAATTGCCATTTGTGTGTTAGTGTGTGTTATGTTTCTTGGTTCGTAAATAATCAAATTTTCCACTGCCCATCACAAGCTCATCCCTTCTTGTGCTCAGTGTGACCAGGAGATTTTGAACTCTAATCTCCAAGTGTGGGGTTTTCCCTTGTATTCAAACTTTGTGGTAAATCTATCATTTAAAGCAAAGGCCATTATACATTAAAAAAAATAAAATAGCCAAATAGGAGAGATTTGAAGGCAGGTTGGCAGTTGTATTGGTTGACTTAGAGCAAGGATGGGAAAACTTTGGCCCTCCAGATGTTGCATCAGCATCAACAAGCATGAATAATGGCCAAGGATTATGGCAGCTGTAGCTCAGCCACATCTGGAGGGCAAAAGTGTTCTCCACCTCAACTTAAAGAATATTGACTTTCTACGTGCTTTAAAAAACACACCCCAAAACCACAATTTAAAAAACCTGATTTTGAAACCTTTTTTGTGCTGTATGGTGAAGACTACCATAGCTATTCCTTGAAGGAGAACTATATTTGGTCCATATCTTTAAGCAAAAGTTTTGCACCTCCCAGACAAATACACTGATTGGAAAATAATCATCTTTTGGCTTTCGCCCTGGTCCAAATTTTATTATACCATTATCAGCTCAAAAAGTGTACCAAAATTAATATTTTGGGATAAAATATATCTAGATGAAATACTTATTTAAATATTAAGATCTGAAAATAAATAAGTTGCTGATTAAAGCCAAAAGAGGGGGAAATGGTTATGTGAAACTGACACAGGCCAGAAATAGACTGATCCCTGCTTCCCTGCCGTATTCTAACTCCTAGTGATTGTTCGTGTCACCCCTGCTTAATTAAACATTCTTTGCTGTGATCGTGTCATACACATACCCCATCATTCCTCAGTCATGTCAGGCTTCTAAGTCCTCAATCTTTTGTTCCTCATCTCCCTGTATCCATGGAAATGTCCCATGGCCCGTGCTACTTTGTTGACAGAAGGAAACGTGGGTGAGGTGACGGATGTGCCTGCTTCCCAGTTACTGAGGCTACCCTTGAAGCAAGTCTGAAAACTTCAGCTGGAGCTGAATGCTGGTGCCTGACTATTGTCAGACACAACATGCCACAGTCGCATTACACCTCCTTGGAGAATCTGCATTGGTTGTTAACCTGGCAGGGCTAACCTGTGCCATTCCAGATGTTGGGGCTCCAACTTCCCTCAGCCCCAGCCAATATGTCCAGTAGTCAGCTGTAGTCCCACATGTTGAGGACCAAATGTCAGCCACCCCTGGTTAATGAGCTCAGTTCAGGGTTCTGTTTTTGACCTAAAGAACCATAAATGGTTTAGGTCCAGATTCTCCCATGGGGAATCTGTTTCCATATGAACACCACCAATTTAAGGTCTACTGCTGAAAGTATAATATATAGAAATCAAGTTGGCCTCCATGAAGCAGAGCTTTTTTCTGTTTTAGCCCCAGAACTTTTAGCCTATTTGACTCCCTCTCTGTCATCCCTTTGGAAGCAGATTAACATATTTTTCTGTTATGCATTTAGAAGTGGCATCTGCTAAGATCAGGAGTAGGCAACCTAAGGCCCGGGGGCCGGAGGAGGCCCAATCACCTTCTCATTCTGGCCCGTGGACGCTCCAGGAATCTGTGTGTTTTTACATGAGTAGAATGTGGGCTTTTATTTAAAATGCATCTTTGGGTTATTTGTGGGGCATAGGAATTCGTTCATATTTTTTTTCAAAATATAGTCCGGCCCACCACATGGTCTGAGGGATGGTGGACCGGCCCACTGCTGAAAAAGGTTGATGACCCCTAGCTAAGATGCTGCTCAGCTCTGCTGCTAATGTGGTTTTTACAGTGTGTGTATGTTTTGTATGAAGTTTAATTACTTGTATACTGTTTTGAATTTTTTTATAAAACTGCAAATATATGAATTCCTGCACCACATCTGCCATGGGCAGCGATTCTGAAGGAATCATATTCACAAGGACTCTTTCCTTCAGGGAAGCATTAGGTCTCATTTTAAAGCAATGGCAATATAAAGAGGTTTCTAAATCAGGTTTGCATTTATCAGTGTCTCTTTTTATTTAAATGGCCATTTTGGGGGTGTTTTTTAAATTGTCTTATGAACAGATCTCAGGCCTTACCACGATTCTAGTTCCAGAACAGCTCCAGGCCAAACAGGATTTAGAGGTAGAATCGCCTCCAGTTTCCATTGTCACACTCTGGGAATTCAGTGGGTATCACCTGTGCTATTTTGCTAGTTGCTTTGTTTAAAAGGGATGGGAAGACCAAACTGATGGGGAGGTGAAGGATTTTCATCCAGTTAACAAATACGGTACGGTAATAAGCCCTTTTTTAAAAAAAGAAGGAAAAAAACCCCAACAAGGCCACCAACATCAAAAGTGCTAACAGTCCAGAACTGTTCGCTACTAGGCAAAAGCCAGGTGCACAGTCTTGGGGGAGACTATTGCACCCAAGCCCAGTGAGAACAAGCTGTCATCTCTGGCATCAGGAAAGCATTGCTTCGAGGTCCTTGCTATGAATATCGGAAATACAGTCCTCCATTCCAGCAAGTGCTTGGAATGTCTAATTGACAAACATCTTTCTCTCTTCCCCTCCCACCCACCCACCCCCTAAATGTGGACAGAGACCAGTGACTTAAAAACAACCTCAATTAACACACACATCACCCCTTTGCCAACACTCCTCAACAGTTCTGAGGATGCTTTTTCAAGCCAAAAACTACTACTTTTTTTGAAGTTGTGGAACGGACAAATGGCTTCTACAAGACCTACTTCTCAACAGCAACTTCAATATGAACTCTAATAACCATTGTTATTGCACATGTGTGCTGACTGCGTCCAAAACATCTGGAGGGCACCAGCTTGGGAATGGCTAACCGAGTGGCTGCCTTTTATACAGCTTGTGCTGAAGTGCTCATAATTATCTGATATTATTTCAATTGTGATTTTATTGTGGTTCTGTGGACTCCTTTTTTGTAAACTTTTTTAAAAAGTGAAATATACATGATGGCAATAAATAAACGCACACTAGTAGACAAACTCTGAATCTGTATCTACTCACGGGCAAAGCAAACGGGGGAAGAGATGTGCTAATGGAGGCTTCTCACAGCTGTTTCTCAACACCCACAGTTTCCTTTATCAGACAGACAAACACTTGAAACAAGTCACAACATTATTAGTAATTAAAATAATGAGGTATACAACCAATAACTAGCAGTTAACTGGAGCAGCTAGTCTTGCGCTATTAATTAACAGCACAAGGCCAAGACTGTTGCTGTTCACCATTTCTACTCCCAGAGGAAATATTTCAAATGAGTCGCCCCCCTCCAGCTTTGTTTTAACCATAGATGCCAATTTTAATTCCACCTTCATGCATTTCCTGTAACCTGGATTAATATATGGGGCAAATAAATACCAAATTATTCATTCATCAGCTATACATTCACCCTACAACCCAACTGTCCTTCAGGATGTGCTGGGAAACTGCTCAAAGTCCTATTTATTAGTGGAATAAGATTGGGAATGCAGAGTAGCTTCTTCTTGGTAGCTTGGTTTCCAATGAAAGGAGCTCCTATGAACCCATCGCCCTTAGTTTGCATCAGCTTCTTTTCTACAGTATTACTGCCACCAGAATGGGTTGTGTGTCCTCTAGAAAATTGTTTAGTGCAAGAGAATCTGGAATTTTTTTCCAAATACCATTTGAACCTTTATATCTTCTGTCCATGGATGCAACCCCTTGCCTACAAAGATGAGCCATTAGAAAAAAGTTTTAAATGTGTTGTGTTTTTCTTTAAGGTCTTTGAATGCATGCATGAAACTAATTGCTTTTTTCTTTGGATGCCGGCCAGTGCACTTATGTTTGGAAGCAGACATTAAAATATAGAGCTAATCTTAATTCACACATTGCTGAACAAATGTGGGTTGGGCTTTTTCATGGTAAGGAAAACAAAGAAGATATCCCACCGCCACAGTTTGTTATGGGCCAATTGATAAAGCCTAAGCCCATATGCTGACACATGGACTATGCCCCAGTTTGCACCTGTGACTTGTCTTCATACCCTTCTTGAAACATCTCCCATAGAGACCAACCTTGATGTTTGGTGCAGTAATTGTGGGTTGAGTTAATGTACAGCATAGCAGTCCAATGATTGCGCTAACATGTGGTTGACTGCAATGTGAAGCAGGTCAGGTTTTTCATGCCTATCAGCACTGGCCCAAGAATACTGCGTCCATCTTAGAAACTGATTTGTCATGATTTCACCATGTGGGTGCAAGAGGAATGGAAAATCATTGACCCGCTTTCTGTCTGCTGCCAGGTGTTTTCAGCCTAGCAACAATGTTCCAGTTTCATCTGAAGAAATATCTGGTGAGATGTGTTTAGAAGTGGTGCTCTCTTATTCTTGTTTTTCCAGAGCATGAGTGCCATTATGAAAACTTAAGCCATGTATTGCAAGAGAGTTCCTCCCTATTCTGGCCCAGAGGCATTAGGTGCTTCATGAATATTCTTCCAGCTGGTGTGACTTGCAGAGCAAGTCAACTGGTCCACTATCTCAATGGTCTTTCCTACTTCGCTCACAAACAAACAGTGGGCTCAGTGATGCCTTTGGCAGCAAATCTCGTTATGGCCCTCTTTTGGTTTCAAGACATAGGTCTATTTGGTTGCACAGTTCTACTATTGGCACAAGAAAGTAGGTGGCTTGGACAGCCAATTGAATAACTTTCATGTCATGACCTAAGTGGTAATTTAGTCGTTTTTTCCACCTCCAAACAGATCTGTTCACTTTTCTGCAAGAGCAAAGTTGGATGCATTGGTTGTCATAAATGCTGATGGACAAAATAACTTAAAGTAGTTCATGCTTTGCTATATCTTCTGCAGTGCCCACACCTGCAGGTACAGCAGGAGGATAGCAAAAAGCAATCAATACAGATGACTTGACTAACACATCAGTGAGCATCAGTTCCCCACCCCCCACCCCCGCTGAAGACTTTCTACCATTAACCAGAGAATGAGCACCTTGGGTGCAAACCAACATATTGCTTATTCTGGGGGTGGGGTGGGGTGGGGTGGCAAGGGGAGCCACAATGGACAAAATACTGGAACAAAGGCATGAAATGGCCAAGGAGAACACCCAGACCAATGGAATTTCATCAACTCTCTGAAGGCTGCAGGTTTGCTGAAATTGTACATCTGATGCCTTAAACATGAAAGCATATAAATTACAAATCCGAAAGATCAGCAAGGTTTAAAGTTGCTGAAAGAGGGTTACTGTGCAGATCTTTGTGCCTTTTGAGGGCAGAGACAGGATCCCTTCAGATCATCAGCAGCAAAAGGTGGCCATCCACTTCATTTCAATGGTGGAAATGATTCTTTGCTGTTTTCTTATCTCTCTGACTCTAACTCTTCTTAAGAACTTGGTTGTTTCATGCTTGGCTAGAGCAACAGAAGAACCCATATCTTATCTTGTGCATTATATATAGGATTATGAAATTTCTTTGTGAAATGTGCTCCTTACCACTAACAATAATTTCTTTAAAAATCTCAATTTGAGCACTGTTGGATTGAATATGAAACATCCAGCTACCTGGCAAGCAGAAATTGTCCCGAAACTTCTTGTTTGCTTCTGCAGTGACAAGGGGTCCTTCTGTTTTAGATCTCCTACACTACGGTCAGTGTGAAACTTAAAAAACATAGGAATAATGAAGAAGAAATAATGATTTCCAGTAGTATCTCCCCTGAGTATTTTCATCAAATTTTAGTAGGCACCTTCATTAAAAGCTGTAATTCTCAGTTTTGCTACAGGAACTGGCCCTTGCTTTGGGTGCCAGATTGCTACTTAAGAACACATGAATACACAACTAATAACCCAGTCCCATGCAGGTTTACACAGGTGTAAAACCCCACTGGGAATTCAGAGGGGACTTACTCCCTAGTAAGTGCATTTATGATTGCAGCCAGAACGTTTTAAATTCAAAACAGTAGATTGACAGAACCACATTCACCCTTATGAGAAAACCACAATGTGCTATTCAGATATGCCCACCAATAGGGTTTCAAAGAGGCATATTCTACCTTGTCCAGTGAAAGTTTCACCTTCTATTTGAATGCCAGTGGTTGGACATCCTGCCTCTTGGGTTACCAACTGGACCCAGATGCAAAGACAAAGATCATGCAAAGATGAAACTGCAAAGGACACCAATCTCTGGCATTATCTTGTGTGCATCTCTCAGCTGAAGCAATGCAGCGCTATTGGGCTCTTGCACAAGCCCCACAATTCCAGTGGGGCTTGGATGAGAGATTGGATTATGCCAAAAGGCTAATGCCTTGGTTGGAGTAGGAGAAACAAATTAAATTGTTCATAAGATGAGAAAGCAAAACAGGAACCTTAATATGCTTTAAACTTAACAGTCATGTCAAATGCACCATTTATAGCCCCCCCCCACTTCACAACTTTGGCAGAATCACCTGTTTCCCCCCCCCCCACCTTATATGCAAGACAAACAAAACTCTGATTGCTTGCTCAACATTTCCAAGGCTTGCACCCAGAAATTCAGGAGGAAAACTGTCTGCCCATATATTGCAGAGAGATTTGTGAGCACATGGCAGGCTACATAATGTCTGAAGATGCTACATTCCTTTTTAAAAAGCTGAATAGTGCTTGATTTCAGTCAGTCTTTCTTTTTTCTTTTTTTCTAAACAAAAATGAGAAAAGCTCTACTTTCTCATTCAAAGATATGGAAATGAAACAATATGGAGCAGGAAAGAAACATATTCAATTAACATGCTAGTTGCAATGGGATTAACTGAGTCAGGTTGGAGATGTGTCCCCCAAAATGCATTAGAGATGTGAGAAATGGGTGACTCCTTTTCAAAGGCAATTTGTTTGAAAGTGATGCAACAGTCTTGAAAATGGGGAGCCAGTCGCATGACTTGCCTTTTATCACATGTTCCTTTCCTCCCACCCCCATCTCCTTTTAATTCCTCCCCCACCACATTCTGGAATTATCTCTTCCTATAATCGCATACCTGCAGGGTGAGTGAGGGAATGCCTAAAATCGTTGGTAGCAGTCTTCCCTCTGTGAAGAAGTAGAAGGAAGGGTGATGGGAGGGAAAGACATGGGATATTTACAAACCATGCTACCAAATTTGTGGCAGAGCAGGGTGTCTCCTCCTTTGCTTTCCTTCTTTCCTCCCAGTCCATCCTTAAGGGCAAGAAGGACTTATTGAACTCTCTAGAGAGGACTGGGAGAGACGTCGCGTAAGGGGTCCGATGGTGGAGTCCGCCAGCGAGGAGGTGGGAAAGAGCTTGTACCAACCGGTCACCACACTGGACAGGTCCAGCTCTTCTAGAACGATCTGGGCCATTCCCATGAAGCACTTATGGTCCATGCGCCCATAATCTCCCCAAACAATCACCTACAATGAAGGAAAAGGAGGAGTTGAACTGTGAGCAGAACTTTGCTATGGGGAGTAAAAGGTATTGGGGATGCCTATCAGATATGCCACTTAGAGAAGTTGGGAAGGAATCTGTCCGCCTCCTGCTTTTTCAGACCACATGATTAATCCTTAGGAGCCCCTATGTTTCTAGCCAACTCCCTAGTTCTACACATCGGATGCATTCGCACACCATCCTAAACCATGATTAGTGCTTCACAGAGAACATGAAGATCTTCCCCAAAAGCATTGCATTTGACCCAGGGATTGTGGTTTGTTTTGCTCCAAACAACCCATGATTGGTAAGCCAAGAACAAACATTAGCTTCAGATCATGGCTTGTTTGAACCCTGGTTCAGATGTAATACTAAGCCAAGGACTGTGGTTTTTTGCTCCTTATCCCTAGTGGAGCAAAGTGGGAGTGATCTGTGCATAGTGATAAACCATTCACCCCGGTTTACTGTGAGGTGCAATACAGCCGCTGAGTGACAAAATAATCCACAGGACAGTCCTATCCATCTTCACTCTGAAGTGAGTCACACCATTCAATGGGATTTATTCCTAGGCAAGCGTGAATAGGGATTGCAGCAAAAGCGGTTTAAGCTGTGCAATCCTATACTGACTTACCTGGGAGTAAGTCCCAATGAGTTCAGTGGAACTGACTAGGGAGACATTTGGTTAGGTTACTACCTAATCTGCAGTTCCTGAAATAATATGCAAATCAAAACATAACTGTCCTTTGAAATTAACACTTCTCCAGATTTTGTGACCAAAAAAATGTGCATATTAAGGGAAGCATGCATAAAATGCACTTATTAGTGAAAATGGCACACAAAAATGTATGAATTACACACGCCTGCAGAAATGGGTTTTTAGTATTCTGCTGGGAGCCACCCAGAGTGGCTGAGGCAACCCAGTCAGATGGGCAGCATATTATTATTATTATTATTACTATTATTACTACTACTACTACTACTACTACTGAATTTGGTAAAATGAGCAAAATCCCTATTTATGAGCAGACATGCACTGGGAGTATATTAGACATGCGTACCAACTATATTTTCTATTTTTTTTGTACTGATTTTTGTAAGCTGCTAGCCAACCTTGAGGATGTTCCCATCAAAAGGTAAACTTGTAAATTCTATACATAAATAAACAATTAAATCCTTGTGTTCCAAAATGGGGAATATATGTGCAACTGTTTGACCTTTGTGGTTAACATTACTATGCCAACTATGAAGTATAAAAATGTAACCACAAACATATAGTCTTTGGGCTTATCTAGACTTCCTTTTATTTCGCATTTCCAGGCACAAGTGTATACTTTAAAGCACCACGTCCAAGCGTTGTTGTTGTCAGGTTTGTCTTTGCCCTGGCGCTTTCCCCATGAAAGCCCACTCTTTACTGCTGAATCAGAGCAAACAGCAATCCACAAAAAACCAAATTTCTGTTTGTTCTTATTCAGCTTTAAAGAGGAGGACACAGCACTTTAAAGCACAGCCTGTGCCAACTGTGCCTAGAAAGCACAGGGGCGAAAGGTATGAATGAGCCCTTAATGCTACTCTCCTTTCCTTTTCTGTCTGCAATCTATTTTGAATATATTGAAGAGCAGGCTTTTAACATCAGCTCCTTGGCCCCATATGAAATCTAAAATGACACCTCTAATTTCTTTATATCTGAACTGGATTCTGGACATTTATACACACAGGAAAGCAGGAAATAGAATAGTACATGCATGGCTAATTAATAATAATAATAATTTGTATACAGCCAGCAATCCTGAGCTCCATTGCCTTTAACTTGCTGACATTCATAAACTATATCCCTTTTAATCCCTCCCTACAGAGTCAACCAAAGGGCTGCTTTATGCAAGAAGGACCGTAGTTGGTAGAGCATCTACCTTGCAACCAAGAAGATTCCAGGCTCAATCCCCAACTTCTCCACATAGAGCTGGAAATGTTCCTTCCCTGAAACCCTGAACAGAGGCTGTCAGTTCCCCTGTTGTGTGGGGAAGATCTATAAGGAGCTTCCACTTGCATTGGGGGACCCTGAGAAAGCAGACCTCTGGGAAAGATAAGGGACTGAGGAAATGCTCATTCACTTTCAGCATTTGTGAATGCCTGAACATGCCTTATGTATTTTCACTCTTGTCTAAAACTGGGGTTTTGCCGAAGCAAATCCTTTGTCTTGAGGTTTTAGTGTACACACTTCTCCCCGCTCCTCATTTAATCCCCACAACCCCCCTGTGAAGCAGTGACTATCCCAAGGTCTGGTCCCAGTGAGCTTCATGGCTGAGTGGGAATTTGAACCCTGGTCTCCCAGGTCCTAGTCCAATATTCTACCCACTACACCACCCTGGCTTTTGTATTGCTTCCCACATGCCCACACAGACCTACTGAGCCCCTTCCCATAACCAGGGCATTTTACCTCAGCAGAAACTTTCACTGTGCCCCAATGGGTTACCCTCCTACAAAGGTTCTAGAATATTCTTTCCCTCATGTACCACCAGGACATATTTGGTCCGAGGGAAGATGAGCTGTGGTAGTGATCCTCTTACCCTTTAAAGAGGAGGAAAGCAATCACCTGTAGCACTTTTCCCTGAGGGCCCTCGTCGAAGAGTAGGGCCTGCTGGTAGAGCGGGTCACAGGTCTTTTTGGCAGTCTTTGTTTTCTTCTTGGCCAAGCAAGCGCCATTTTCTAGCAGATAAACCTTGATGTAGGTGGCTGCGTTGGCAGAGAGAGAGAAACATGAATGGCCTGTTATAACGGCAGCCATGTCTCGGGGCTGGTTTTTGAGGTGGTCTAGCAGATGAAACGCTTTTAAGGTCTCTGTGGGATTTGGGGGATAGGGCTTGAGGGGAGACTTTATTCTTACATTAAGGCACTTTCATTTGCCCTTATGGTTAAACAAAATTATCCTGTGGCAGGGAAACTCAGATAAAATGTAGCCTTCTGGTAAAGAAAAAGGTAGAAGCTGGGGCAGAATTAAAAAGGACCTGCCAGATAGGCAACAATATAATCAAATAGCACTTTATGAAAACATCTCATGAATTAATTAAATGTTAAGCATTTATTAGCACTCTTACTAAGTCAGACTATTTATAATAATAATCTGTATGTTCAGAGTTAAAAAAATATGTTAGAGTGAATTGGGTGTCTTAGTGAGACTAATGATGGTAAAACTCTTGGAAGGAAAAATTAAGTGAGGTAGAAGTTACTGGAAAAGACCCAGTTTTCCCTGTACTTTTTCCTCAAAAGGAAGACCTGAATATATTAATTCTCAGTTGCCTCACTACAAACATGAACCCCATTTTACATATTCTTTCTACTTCTAAATGAGGCAGGAGGGTGTATAATGACTAGGTTTAGCACTCTGAAACAAGTAAACAACTAGAAACAACTCAGTTAACTCCTCCATGGGATATCTCTGGTGTATGGACCAAATTTAGTCCACTAATCTGTTTTCCCCAAACCACATCCAATTGCTCCATGCCAGTTGTCATACATGATATTTTCTATCCATATGGCCTTCTCTGATGTGACTACTCACCGGGAACGGACTTGGATCCTAGCTTTGGACTGAGTCCCCGGGCCTCTATTACTTCTACCTCCAGCTGTCCATTCCTGTCAATCATTCCAATGTGGACATCACCTAGAAGAAGACAGAGAAGTCAGCATGGGAACACATTCACAGTCCTGTGCCGGGCATGTATCATCTCTGCAACTTGCTTTATGCCACCTTGACATTTCTGTAGCATATCCTCATTTGGAATACTGTGACACCATGGATTGGATACAGATTAAAGGGCAGCGGAGGGTGGTCTCTAAAGGCAAATGGGGCACTGTCCCACCAACCTCAGCCTGCTCCTACCCTGCATGCCTCTTACTCAAAACCAGCCCAGGGGGTGGCCCTGGCTGTCAGCTTCCTCCTCCTCCATCTCAGTTTTGCCTTTTTAGAACTCATCAGGCAGGAGGATGGGAACAAAACCAGAATTAGCTGGCTTTCCCTGTCATTGGCTCTGGCTCCACCTACGGTTGCCCGCCCGCCTTCTGCCCTACCAGTCCCAATGAATACCAGCCAACACTGCTAAAGGGGGGGTTCAAAAATCCGGACACATCAGAATCCTATAATAAAACAACAATATTGAAACAAAACAATATAAAATGGAAGCAGGGTTCACCAGATGAAAGCATTTCCCCCCCATCAGTGCAAAGGGTTTACCAAAAGTGGCTCCTCACCAGGATGCATTCCCTTGCCAGGATGCTTTTGAACAGGCTGGACAGCTTAGGAACCTAGTAATCTGGTGTCTGCTGACTTAGTTCCTTGGTTCCTTGAGTTGAGAATTGCTTACAGCACTGACAGGGAAGCTGTTGCTCTCCAGAGGTCGCTGGACTCCCATCCACCTCCTAGCCAGCGTGGCCACTGATCAGGGATGATGGGACTTGTAATCCAACAGCATCTTGTGGGCCATAGGTTCCTTGTCACTGTTTTACACTGACTGGAAGAGGCTTTCCAGGGTCTCCCATTGTCCTACCTGCAGACGATAGGAACTGAACCTGGGACCTTCTGCATGTAAAGCAGATGCTCTACTACTGAGCTATGATCCTCTTCAGAAAGCACCAAAGAGGACAATTCAGTGCTGTATCCACAGAACTGCATGGTCTTGCCTTGCCCTTATGTTGAGACTGTAGCCCTATTCACACATGACTTGTGTACAGGGAATACATGTGTAGGAAGCAGGGCCATGCATTAAATGCTGCGTTGACTTTGAATCTCCCTGCCCCATCCACCACATGTGGGCCTCAGTTCTGCAAGGAGGAAGTTCAATGTATGAGCAACTGCTAATGAGTGGGGGCTCTTCACATCAGGACATCTGATTGTGCTGGTATTTTGATTATGCAGAGCCCTTACTCACAAGTAGGAAACAAATACCAAATGTGACATCAAGGGTGGAGCTAAAAGCACAGCCTGCTGCTCTCTGTGCACATTTATACCCAGTGCTATTTCTCTAGAAAAAGAGGTGCCAGAACTCACCACGAACACCTCCCTTCTTCTCTTATAACAGCAATGGCACCCACCTGAGAGGTGCTGGAACTGAGTTCCGGCCAGTTCCGGCTGAAAAAAGCCTTGCTTATCCCACATGTAATGTGTGAACAGCACAAAGCAACATTGTCTTGCCTGTTCATGTGAATACAGCCCTAGGATAGTTGTCTAAGCCCATCATTCCTGTTTTTAACCAGCAGAGGGCAAAAAAGAAACTGGGTTCTCCATTGCTAGGAGTGCAAAAAGAGAGACGACTCCTTTATGATATGTCTTATTTGTAGAAGAGAATGAGCCATCTGTTATCTCAGATCTTACCACTAGAGGGCACGGTTTTCAGGCTGAAAAGGCAAATTGGAATAAAATAAAAAAAAGCAGCACAGAAAGAAAATAAAAAAGATAAAAGCAGCACAAGAAACAGAAAAACAAAAGGAGCTCTCCTTTTAAGAAAACGACTGTTGTGCCAACAGTGCATTTTCACAGTTGCTTTATCTTGAACAGTATGCTCAAAGGAATTTTTGTAACAGTGGCACATGGAGCTGATAGGAAGTGAGAACAGGATCTTGAACAGAACAGCATTGGGGGAAGTGGTCCTTGTTCTGAGCCAGAGCTCAGGCTTGGAACACGAGAAAAAAGGATGTAGAAGTACCTCTGAACATGTGCAAATAGACTTTTCCTCACTGCTTAACAACCACATCCTAGTCTCATATAAAAAGACGAGAGGAATTTTAAAACGCAGGCTTTCAAGCAGTGATGGTTGAATCTCTCAGAAAACCTTCATTTTCAAAATTAAGTACTGGAGTGAAAAGATTCAAGGTTCACACCTGAATTGCAAAACAACAGGTGTATTTATAGAGCATTTTGTTATACCCCATAATAGCAAGGTTATCAACACAAGGCGATCACAGATCCCCTCTTAACAACAATGAAAAGGGGATTTATGGCTCCTTTTTGGCCCACTTTCATGGCCTTCTTTGATTGTTTCTAATAAGAACCACTTAAAGCAGGGGTGGGGACTTCTGACCCTCCAGTTGTTGCTGGACTACAATTCCTATCATCCCCGTCAGCCATGTTGCTGGTGGGAGCTGGAGACCAGCAACATCAGACAGGCCAAGCATTTGCCACCCCTGTTTAAGCTATCTGGAGAGCTTCAGAGCTCTGTGAAGATTTGAACCTGTGATTCCCACATCAAAACTCAACAATGGGCTAGAGGAACAGCACCATTCTGGTCAGTCTGAGAGAAGCTCAGCAGGAATCCACCCCTGTGCCATGCCTGCTCAACGAAAGACGACTTTGATAGCGTGTTAACTGCACAAAATCCAAAGGAGGTCGGTGTTCAGGTGACCTTGTAGCACTGAGTGCCTAGAACTGGTTTGCTCACCCATTGGCGGAGTAGCAAGTGTCTGCCGTCCTACGATTTGTGCTGGCCCCAGCCCATCTAGGAAGTCGCTGAACTGGCTTTCAGCTCCCAGCCTAGTTGTGGGGAAAATAAACCTGAAGGAAAGGACAAGAGAGTTAGGTAGTGAGGGGAGAGAAATGGCAGTGTGGAAATACAGTGAGCAGGTGCTACACTGGACATTTGAGAGGTGAAAAGAGAGAAGATGCAGAAACGAGATTCACTGTTATCCCTGCATCCCTTTGTCTAATGGAAAAGATGCAGTGCCAGCCCCAGGTTTTGGCAGACCATCAATGGGACCCCCTCTCTCAGCAGACCTACTCCCCTCACTACCTCTGCTGCCAGCAGCTACTGCTCCCCTGCCTCATCAGTGCTACCACCTGACTGGTTGACAGACAGAGCCAAGCAGGCTGTGGCAGCAATTCTGCTTCCATCTCCCCACCATGATTCTTTACCTGCTCATCCTGCCTGAGAGTTGGGCGAACAAGCAGGTTGTGATGGGAAAGAGGAGGAGCTGGCTAAGAGGGTTCTTGTCAATGGGTTTGGGCCCTCAACGATGTCAACCTTTAACACTAGGTCTGGAAAATGCACATCTTTTCCATGAGGAACAAAGGGGTTTCCTGTGTGAGGACAGAGTACGTTCATATCTCCCTCAGAAGAAATGCACCCCCTGCCTTCAGATAAAGCCTGGCAGGGTAAGGCATGTGAGTCACTTCTTCATTTGCCCCTTCATTCATTCCTTCCTCATGCCACAGGGTGGTTTCAGACATGATGGTGAAGCAAAGCAAGAAAAGACAGGCCAACTATCTCATGTTTCATTCACTTTTCTTGCAGAAGCTTCTGTTGATGAATGTGTTTTTGATAATGCAGAGGAGTGAGGGAACAGGAAGCACCAGGGCATCATGCTTCCTGTTCCTCTTGTGCCTTTTTCCCATTTATGAGCCACCAACAGCAGATCACTAAAAGAAAAAACCAAACCACTGGGAAACAACTGTATAATATGTCTCTCCTGTGCTTATGCTTATTTATGTTTATTTTATTTCATAAAATTTATATACCGCTTGACTGTAAAACCTGAAAGCCATTTACAAAAAGATGTGGGACATCTGCCCTATATGGAAAAGTGGCCTTCACTGCCACTGGGCCTTACGTGCCATCGGAGCTGTTACTATTGGTGCTTCCATCAGTTGATTCCCGACTGCCTTGTCGGGTGACCCTGTTCCTCATCTCCACAGCAATGCCAGTCTCCGTACTCCTGCGGATGTTACTACGAAGCTTTTTTGGCCCACCATCTGAAAGAAAGAAATCATTATACTTGGGGGGAGGGGCAGTAGATTTCAGAGACTTTAAAAGTGCCCATGCTTGGGTTATTATTGGTTTCAAGACACCTTAAGGTCCATTAAATTATTGAGGATTGCTCTTTGGATGTATCTACGCCACAATGTTATTTATTAATTAAACATTTATACCCCGCCTCTCCATTTGAAAATTACAACATCATTAACATCCAATACAGACTTAAACCTAGTTAATGCTTATTAACACCCGCCCCCCACCCCCCAACAGGGAAAGTCTGGTGGGGGGAGCTAAACAACAAAGAATTCTCATCAAATGACAACTCCCAGAATTATCTGGGGGAAACCACTAAACTGGTATAAAATGAATATGTGTTATAGTATAGTTTTGTATACTGTAACAGAATGTCTAACACACTAAGTTAGACATTTCCTTTTCCATCACCTGTCAGTTTATATACAGATTTTGACAATCTGTTTATATTTTAGCATGATCATATCCCCCATCCCACGTTGCAGACTGAGGCATGGTAAACTAAGGCTGAGAAAATGGGGCAGGTTTGCAGAATCGGTGACCACCGAGTTGTACACAGCCCACCAGCACAACTCGCTCACAACTCCATGGTCTGTGGAGGGAGGGAGTCCATGGTCCCAAGGAGGGAGCAAAAATGTTGATCCCCCTGTGGGCTGCCTTCATCTTGGTGGGTGAGAGGCTAGTTACACAAGTGTGGGACAGTATCATGCCTAAGGCTAGCAAGTGAATTCATTCCTGAGGTTAATATTCACTCAGGGATTTCCTGGTTCGCAGTTCATGTTCTGCACCACCATAGTGGGGAGAGGGGAGCACCTGCTCTGTGCTTGTGCTTTAGGTATTAGCAAGTGATGCTTTTCAGAACAGAGATGGAAACACCTCCAATTCATCTACTGCTAAATGTACTGCTAAATGTACAAGGGTGGGGTATAGTTAAAATAGGGCTGCCATATGTTCGGACATCACTGGGATTTCAAAGGCAGAATTGACATCTGGAGAGAATTTCCAAAATGTGGCACTATGTCCTAAGTTAAAACAAAAAAGTTGTTAACTCTACTGCACAACCACAACTGAAATCAGACAGCTAACCAACCTCAGAATCCACAGCAATTAACCTGGGGGGAGCAAATCTGTCTCCATTAGTGTGTTCCCCACCCCCATCCCCTGTGCCCAAGCTGTAATTCTCAGAGAGTTACAAGAAAGTGAATTTTCCCTCCTGATAGCTCACCAAAGCAAGACTCCGCTTTGTGCTTCAGCTATGCTGTTTACCTGCCCTTTACAACTGACCTTTCCCTCAGATAGGGACAGTAGAGCGGACAAGATTAACCACTTAGAAACAGTCCCTGACTTGCAGACCCCCAGGCTCTGGAAGGGGAGAATCAAGGGTGGCATCGCTTGTGAATACTTGAAAGCAGATGAGAGCAAAGCAGATTCACATTGCGCACTCCCTACAACAGATTTCTGATCCCTGCATTGCCAGTCCCTGGCCCTTTGATAAATTATTCACAACCAATATATATATATTTTTTTTAAATGTTCAAAAGGCCTTTAATGTGCTCAGTTGATCTTTCAGTGATGAAATACTTAACATTGCCCTCTGGAGCAAGCTCAAAATGCTTGGATGTATGATGAAGTGAGCGGCGTTTGTCCTCCAAATTCTTTGCTGGCTCAGAATGAAAAACAAGATCCTGCACGTGCACAGTCTCATTATGCTAGAACTCAGCTGGGGCCATGCAAGAAAGCTGAGCATTGGAAGATTCAGGACAGGCTAAGAGGTATATTTTCTTCTTCTTACAGCACATAGTTAAACTGTGTAGTTCTCTCCCATAGGATGTAGCGATGGCCAACAACTTGTATTACGATTGCATAAAAGTATTAAACAAATTCATGGAGGATAAGGCTACTAAAGACTACACAGGATCCAGGAGCCCTTTGTACTCACAGTGGTGCCACTGCCAGAGCAGCACTCCGTATCATTTCTGAGAAACAGGGACAATGGAAAGAGAGGGGTTGTAAAGGAACCTAAAGCCTTATACTAAGCAAGACCAATACGCCATCTTGCTTGGTGTTTTCTATGCTGACTGAGTGTCAGTGGCTCTCCCCCGTTTCAGAAAGCATTTTTCTCAGCCCACCCCAGGGATGCTGGGGATTGAGCCCAAGACTTTCTGCGAGCAAAGCATGTGCTGTGCCACCCAGATATAGCCATGGATTTGGGTGGTGGAGGTGAAAAGGTCTCCAGAGCTGGTCATATCTGCAATGATATCATCAGGAGTGTGACAATACTTAGGAGTCTCCAGAATAAAGGGAAAAGTGACCCCTGACCATTAGGTCCAGTCGTGGCCGACTCTGGGGTTGCGGAGCTCACCTCGCTTTATTGGCCGAGGGAGCCGGCGTACAGCTTCTGGGTCATGTGGCCAGCATGATTAAGCCACTTCTGGAGAACCAGAGCAGTGCACGGAAATGCCGTTTACCTTCCTGCCGGAGCGATACCTATTTATCTACTTGCACTTTGACGTGCTTTCGAACTGCTAGGTTGGCAGGAGCAGGGACCAAGCAATGGGAGCTCACCCTGTCATGGGAATTCGAACCGCCGACCTTCTGATTGGCAAGCCCTAGGCTCAGTGGTTTAACCCACATCACCACCCATGTCCTAGTCTCCAGAATTGTTGTTGTTGTTTAGTCGTTTAGTCGTTTCCGACTCTTCGTGACCCCATGGACCAGAGCACGCCAGGCACTCCTGTCTTCTACTGCCTCCCGCAGTTTGGTCAGGCTCATTTTTGTAGCTTTGAGAACACTGTCCAACCATCTCGTCCTCTGTCGTCCCCTTCTCCTTGTGCCCTCCATCTTTCCCAACATCAGGGTCTTTTCCAGGGAGTCTTCTCTTCTCATGAGGTGGCCAAAGTATTGGAGCCTCAACTTCACGATCTGTCCTTCCAGTGAGCACTCAGGGCTGATTTCCTTAAGAATGGATACGTTTGATCTTCTTGCAGTCCATGGGACTCTCAAGAGTCTCCTCCAGCACCATAATTCAAAAGCATCAATTCTTCTGCGATCAGCCTTCTTGATGGTCCAGCTCTCACTTCCAGAATAGACCCAAGCTATTCAAGATCAGTCCAAAGAAATCCCAAATCAGCTCATTTTATGTGACTCAATTCAGAACTGAGCCTAAGAAAACGTGCCCAGCCCTATCGAAAAGGCTTGCCTCTGTGCAAGAGATTGTACTTCTTTCCACTCATTAGCAGCCTCCTCCTCACTGAGCTACCAGCACCACTCACAATATTTGGGGGCTCAAGAGCAACTCGTTGAGGCTGTCACAGATTGCGCAATGAAGCCTCACGCGGACAAGCCTCCTGCCAGGCCTCTGGAGAATCCAAAATAAAAGAGCTATTTTTAAACCCTTCCAGCTCCAAACTCAGGCACTTCTGTGTGTCTCGGAGCCAAACAAAGAAGAAGGTGAGCCCATCTTACTGAAAATACATCTCCCTCCTCCAGATCTTTGGTGGCAAGGCGGCATCTAACCTTCTCCACCCTGGGGTCTTCCATATGTTTTTGACTAAAATTCTATTCAACCCTACCTAGCAGAGATAGCAATTTGGTCTAGATCAGGAGTGGGGAACCTGAAGCCTGGGGACCAAATGCAACCCCCTCATCCTCCCTAACTAACCCTCATTTCCCTCCCCAGGCCACACACTTCACTGGCCCTGCTTCATGCCTTCCTTGAGTGTTTTTGGCTGGCTAGAATGTCCTTGAACACGATGATGATGATGATGCCGCTTCTCATTTGCCTGAATGATGTGTTTGTTAGGGTTGCCATACATCCAGCAAAACCCAAACATGTCCTCTTTTGGGGGGGCCAATATCCAGGCAGATGTTTACATTTTAAATGAAATGTCTGGGTTTTGGAGGGGGGATTGGGCTTCGGCGGCTCGGGCTCAGGCTGCTCTGTACACTGCGGCCACTGCCAGCCCAAGCCAGGGAAAGAGACAAGTGGTATGGTAGCCCCCGCACCTCTTTTCCCAGCTCGGGCTGGCAGCGGCTTGGGCTGTCCTCTTTTTTGCACTTCAAGATATGGCAGCCCTAGTGTTTGTAGACCTTGGTGACTTTTGTTTGGCTGGAATATAACTCTTTGTACACTCCTCACTGTTTCTTTGACCATTTCTTCCTCTGGCCCTGCCCACCACATGCACATGGCCCCTTGGAGGTTGCAAATGAGGGAACCTTGGACTGATAAAGGTTTGTTCTGCCTGGCCTAGATGCTAAATTCAACTTAATGTCAAATTCCAACAATGCAAGGCACTAGTTTTCCAACTTCTGAACTATCCACCAAAATTGTACCTTTAGCAGCAGTTTCAACTGTTTATCAAGCATCAGTTAAAAGCCCAGGAACAGAGCAGGCTGGTTTTTCCCTGGTCAGGTGACAATCCTAGAGACAAAAGAACCTGTTTGGAGTCTTATGTCCATCTCTCCCCTTAGCTCTTTTGTCCTTCTCTACTTCCATCTGCAGCAGCCTTTGACCTGATGCAGGAAGGGATGGAAAGCAGAGGGAAGGGTGGTGTGGAGAAGAGGCAGGAGTGGAAGAGCACACAGCTCCTGCTTTATAAGGGCCCAATTCAAGGTTTCAGGCCTGACATGCAAAACCCTAAATGACTTGAGACCTAAGTACCTAAAGGAGTGCCTCCCCTCAGTACCAACCATCTCAGGCCCTACAAGCAACACGGGAGGCCCTGCTGGAGGTGCTGCCACCGGGTGCTTCCCAGTTGGCACTGACCCATTACAGGGCCTTCTTGGTAGCAGCTCCTTTGTAGAATGCTCTTTGGTGAGGTGTCTCTTTCCCTCATTATTGGCTTTCCGTTGGAATTTTAACCTGTTTCTGCTTTCCCAGATATCTTTTAGCTGAAAGACTATTTCTGGCAACCTCAAAATTGTTAGCTATGAGCGTATGTGACTGTTTTACATTTTTAAAATTGTTTTTATTTTACCACTTTTGTGTTTGCCACCCTGGGCTCCCACCTGGGCGGGATGCAAATGTAATTACTAAAACAAGCCAGCCAACAAATAAAAGGCAAACAGGGCTTTCCAGTTTGCATCTGGGTAACCTTAGGCTCTAAAGCTTGGATGCTGTGTTGTCTGATGTAGGGGCCATCCACATGACTGCCTCACACCAAGGCAGATGTGATTCAGAAACCAGCTGGTGTTGACTCATGACCATGCTGCCACAGACTGAGGTGTGGGCAGTTGGACAGCAAAACAAAGCTGCTAAATTTCTCTTACAGACGCAGGAGCACAGCCTGCTTTAAAACGGGGCGCCCCTAGAGAGGGAATGAAGGAGGCTGGTGTAGATAAGGATAATTTTCAGAACAGAAGCAAAAGAAGTTGTGTGCACCACTGAGCAAGACTATCCAGGCTCCTTTTGGCCCTCTAATTTCTGTCCTAATCAGCACTTCACACAATCATTCACAGAGTTGCCATGACAACCTTTCCTCTCCTTGTCAACCCCCTCCCCAGTACCTTCCTTCCTCCCAGAGCAGGCTTATGCTCTCTCTTTTGCTCACTAATACTAATCTGTCTGTGCCAGCATCCTTCAGCAGGCTGTTCCCCAGGGAGAGTCTGGCATAAATCATACCGCCAGGCCCTTATGGGAGGAGCAGGCCTGGAAGAAAGGACAAAGTGGAACCAGAGCAGGGCTTAGGGTGACCATCTGTCTTGCGCTAAAGAGGACAGTCCTCTATTTGAAAGTGTCCTGTTTCAAGATAAAGAACCAGAGACAGGAGAGAAGGAACCTTGAAACTGTGCATCAACTGTTAGTGCATTGCCAGCAAGCACACCATGCCCCCAGGTCACAGCCTTCCCCACTATGGGGCAGTTCACTGGATTTTCATTTAAATTATATTGGTCCTAAATTTTCAACTATATAAATAATTTGCATATGCAAATTTTACACAGATCTGTTCCTATATGGCAACCAGCCACCCGCAACCTACAGATGTTTGGACAATTACTCCAATAATCCATGACCACTGACTGTACTGGCTTAGGTTGATGGAAATTGTAGCCCAAAACATCTGGAGGGTTCCAGGTTGGGGAAGGAAAGTGTTAGCCTCTGCTAATCAAAGCTGACCTTAGTTCCCCTAGCTATCTTGCATCACTCAAAATGTGTGATGCAGCAGCAAAAAAAGCTATTGCTATTCTTGGCTGCATCAAGAGAAGTATCGTGTTCAGATCATACCACTCTATTCTGCCTTGGTCGGACCACACCTGGAGTCCTGTGTCCAGTTCTGGCTGCCACGATTTAAGAAGGATGTTGACAGCCTGGAATGTGTGGAGAGAAGGGTGACTAAGATGATCAAGGATCTGGAAACCAAACCTTATGAGGAATGGTAGAGGGAATTGGGTATGGTTAGCCTGGATAAGAGGAGACCTTGAGGAGGTATCATAGCAATCTTCAAATATATAAAGGGCTGTCTCATGGAAGATGGAACAAACTTGTTTTCTCCTGCTCTGAAGAGCAGGAATTCAAGTTACAAGAAAGGAGATTCCAGCTAAACATCAGGAAGAACTTTCTGGTGGTAAGAACTGTTTGACAGTGGAACAGATTCCCTAAGATGGTGGTGAACTCTCCTTCCTTGGAGGTTTTCAAGCAGAGGTTGGATGGCCATCTGTCTTGGATGCTTTAGTCGAGATTTCTGCACAACAGAGAGTTGGGCTAGATGACCCTCAGGGTCCCTTCCAACTCTGCAATTCTATGATTCTTTAATTCTAGGATACTTTCTAATGTGGCTCTTTAGTCAAGGAGCAGTACAAAATGCCCATTATGAAAAGCCTGTTGTTCTCCATCAAATGCTTAACTATTTAGAAACCTAGAGAGGATTCCTTTTATACAACAGAATAACTGATTGTGTTAATAACAAGCATCTGTGAACCTTTGCGCTAGACTGGAGAGCCCCCTCATTCCCATCTTTATACATCTCTCTCATTCACGGTTACCAGACAATTTGGTTTACAGTCACTCAGGAGGCATTTCTGGGAGAATTTAAACTAGACCATTGCAGGACATAAGTCAACTGATTTAAAGGTCAGGAGAGAATCTGCTGGAGTCCACCACCCACACACATCCAGTACCACGGCAAACAGCATTGTGGGAGGAAGGAGCAGAACGTGGAGGCCGGCTGCTTTGTTTCTTCTGAAGCGTAAGCCTGTCATGGGAAGGGAAATGAGACGGGCCAGTGGCCTGATCTGTCATGGCAGTTCCTCTGGTCCTGTTGACTGTGATTCATCCCCACAGAGCATGGCCTGACTACCAGCTGCTCATGAATTCACCTCCCTCCCTCCAGGAGTTGCTCACCAGCGGAAGGAATGCCAGCAGCAGGGGGCTGAAACATCCCCAGGAATGTTGGCATGCCAAGTCTCCCTAGATCAGGGATGGGGTATCTGCAAACCTGCAAATGTTGCTGAACTACAATTCCCATCATTCCCAACTATTGGCCACGCTAGATGGGGATGGTAGAAGTTGGAGCCCAAGAGTATACAGGTACCCCATTCCTACTTTCGATTGAGAAATCAACCTCACAGATACACCCACAAAATCGAGACCATGACATACAGGAGTAAAAAATGAGGCTTAAACAGCCCAAATGCCAAGAAATCTCCAGTGAGTGTTGTAAGGAAACCAAATGACACAATCAGTGCCTGGACAGGATCCCCTTCCTATTATGATGTTCTCAGGCTCCCTCTAACCCTAGTTAGGATCCTGCTCAAGCAAGTGATTAAGCCATGGGGGAGGGGGCAAACACTGTAAGGTTCAAACTAGGAGCACCTGGTCCACCAGTGCTGCTGGTCCTGAGAGGGAACTGCAGCTAGATTGAGTTGCCAGTTAGAATGAAGCAACCTGCCCAAATCTGGTGCCCTCTAGGTGTCTTGGACCACAGCTCCCATCAGCCCCAACCAGCAGGAGCAATGGCTAGGGATGATAGGAGTTATAGCCCAAAGTCCAGAGGGTAGACCGTACCAGGCTAGGTGGATCAATGGTCTGACTTGGCATAAGAGAGCTATTTCCTAATGAGTCATGGAGGATAAAAGTCCTGCCACCCCCATTCTATTTTGCTTCATGATCAGAACACAGTGTGGGCAAATCCATGGCAAGGATTAATTAACCCAATTTGCATTGACACTAATCTACAGCTGAACCTCTGTGCTTCTTTTTTCCCCTTCCTTCATGCTGCAGTTTACCTGGATTCAAGATTTGCAGGGTGGGAGAATAAATAGAGTCAGAACTGAACTTTTCTGAAAATGTCTTGTATGTGAACAGAGCAGGAGCAGTTTGAGATTCTGGGCTAAATCCAGAACATTGCAGCAAGTGTGGGGAACCTTTGGCCCTCTGGATGCTCCTGAATGACAAGTCCCAACATCCCTGACCACTGACCATGCTTTCTGGGGCTAGTGGGAGCTGTAGTTCAATAACATCTGGAGAGTCAAAAGTTCCCCACACTTGCACTATAGTTTGTATTTGTTGCTAGGCTTACTCAGAGTAGACTCAATGAACTGAAGATGCCTAACTTAGACCCATTAATTTCAGCAGGTCTACTCAGAATAGAACTTAGTTGATTACAACTCTATATCTCAGAAGACATGCATTCCCTACTTATAAAAGTTCAGCACCATGGACAGCAAGGCAAAGTGTTACCGATTTGTAACCCCTCTCCCCATTGGATGAGATTGACAGGGGAGGGGAAAAGGAAGGCACAGATGCTTCTACTTTTCTGCTCAACACTCAAGAGGGTAGAAACTCAAAACTGCTGCTTTCCTGTCTGGTCCAGTTCCCTGTAGGTGGGCACCTATGCCATACAAACAGCCAGCACCCTCGGCCCATGCTAATTCAGCAGCTTCAGAGTACGGGAGGGTTGCAAGCACAGCAGAAACTGAATTATGTCTCACTTCTTTGCCCCAGAGGCTGTGCAGCTCATCTAGAGCAGGGGACAAAAGATGTAATAATACAATACTGAGCACCAAGGGACATCAGCTCAGCTCTAAGCTTCTGACCTTTTCTAGGTGGCTGCTAGGATATTGGCAAAGCCACTGGATTCAGGAGAACGCCTAATGGGCCAGAATTCTGTACTCATTCTGTCAGAAGAGATGTTTGGGCATCTTTATATATTGCCACTTGGTTCCTTATTTCCCTGAACAGCAAGAAGTTCAGGAGCATCACTGCAGAGTTCACTTGCCTATGGATTAGGACAGTGATCTATTGACATTTTTATAACATATGTTTTAATTACAAATATTCAAGCTGAGCTTATTGGAAACAGATACTCTCCAGAAGGCAGAAAATTTGCCAGATTCCCAGGGAAGGCCACAACACCCACAGCTGCTTCATCATCAGCCAACTCTAGACAAAAACTCTCAGTGCTATTTCTCTTTCTCATCTCCCATCTCCCCCAATCTCTCTATCACTGTGATCATCTCTGCCACATTCAAATTGTTTCTCTGTCCCCGCTTCCAAGAGCTAGAAGGTGTTAGTGCTCAACCCTTGATGAGTATTGCATTCCAAAATCTGGAAAGAGATCCCCACCTATTGTGAGATCATGCTTCTGAAAAACCAAAGTAGGCAGGTGTTTTTTTCCTTTGAAAAATGGAATGTCTAGAGACGCGGGTGGCGCTGTGGGTTAAACCACAGAGCCTAGGACGTGCCGATCAGAAGGTCAGCGGTTCGAATCCCTGCAACAGGGTGAGCTCACGTTGCTCGGTCCCTGCTTCTGCCAACCTAGCAGTTTGAAACCACATCAAAGTGCAAGTAGATAAATAGGTACCGCTCCGGCAGGAAGGTAAACGGCGTTTCCGTGCGCTGCTCTGGTTTGCCAGAAGCGGCTTAGTCATGCTGGCCACATGACTTGGCAGCTGTACGCCGGCTCCCTCGGCCAGTAAAGTGAGATGAGCACCACAACCCCAGAGTCAGTCACGACTGGACCTAATGGTCAGGGGTCCCTTTACCTTTACCTAGGGACCAGGTATTTGAAGGACCACCTCATTCTGCATAAACCTTTGGAGGCTGTGTTCTGTGTTTTACCACCAAGAGATATTTGGTTGTTCATGAAGCAAGTTTTAGTCGTTCTACATTCTCTGTAGAACTGCCACCCCTTCCTCCCACACATGCAAGGGACATTAGAATGGCACTTTTAAAAATGATTTTTAGGTGGAAAGGTGAGCATTTTTTTCCACCAAGCTTCTGACTTATTTTAACACATACTTGGTTTATTTGTTTTTTAGATTTGCTTTTAATTGGCATGTTTAATGTGCTCTGGTTTAATTTCACTGTGATTTTAAAGCTGTAAACTGGTCTGGGAGGTTCTTTTGAGGCTAAAAGACAATATATAAACCAGACATGGGCAACATGTGGACTCCAACTCCCATCAGTCCCAGCCAGCATAACCAATAGTCAGGAATGATGGAACTTGTAGGCAAAAAACATCTGGAGGGCCATAGGTGCCCCATGCCTGATATTTGTGGTTTGACAAATAATTTCCCCTGCTGCACAATAGTCATTTGTGGGAAAGAGGCCTTTTCCCAGCTTGGTCCCCTCCAGCTGTCCTGGACCCCATCTCCAATCAGCCTCAGCCAGCATGGCTAGAGGCTAAAACAACTGGATGGCACCAGTTTGGGAAAGTTTGATTCACTCCACCAAAGGTGAACCTGGGTTGGTGTCTCTGCTCCTTGTTCCATGTGGGCAATGAGCACTGGAATTTTTTGTTCATATCTAAAATTCCTATGCCTCACCTTTTCTCCAGCTAAACTGGCAGTATTTCTTCATGTTCAGTAGAATTTGAGAATGTTGCTTTGGGGTTCCACATTACTGAGCTATGTTCTTCACCATTTTAACTTATTTATTTTTGCTCTTTCTTTTCTTAGCCTTTCTGCGGATAATTACAACCCTTTGGATACATCTCAGATGTGCAAGTCTTAAAAAGCTCCAAATAAACTCCTTCTTTTCAAATCACAGCTGAACCATGAAATGCCAGCAAATACCAGAACTATAATAATGCAAAGGGACGACGTTGAAAAACTGCCAAGATTATAATGGGCTCTTCATATTATTATTTTTCAGGCTTTCCCCCAAATATCTATTTTAGGCAAATAAAAATTTCCTGAAGCTGTAGTAGTTGACAAGCCCCTTTTCTTCTGAAAGAGCATTTTCCACACCCCTTCAGCAGTTCCACTTGGTGGTCTCTTTTGAAAATTCATGATGCCAAATGCAGAAGGGCAGGTCACAGAAGATACTGCCCATTGTCCCATGCCTTGTAGGTATTCAAAGCCTAAAGTTTCAAAATGCAATTGGGTAACAAAAATGACTTGCATGCAATTGCTGAATGCATGAAAGCCTTTTTGTTTATTTGCAAAATATGCATATTCCCCTCTGCTTTGATCTCCTGCTCAATTATGTTGCATGTGTTTTTACAACACCCCTTCTCTAAGGAGTTCAGTGCCCCCTTTTCATTCTTGCAGCAACAACTCTTTAAGGTAGAATAGGCTGAGATACAGAGTCCAAGATCATTCAGTGAGCTTCAATTTGAACAGCAGGAATTTGAACACAAGGCTTTCCAATCCAAGTTTTCCCACTATACCACACAGGCTCTTCTTTCAAATCCCCCTCAAAACCCACCCATTCTGTGATGCCTTTGTTATCTCTCCTCAGTCTTTGGTCCAACCAAAACAAGTTCTAGTATCTGTTTCAAATTGCACAGGTACATCAATTGTTACCTTTGCCACTCATGGGAACATAGGAAGCTGCCATATACCAACTCAGATTATTGTTCCTTCCGGGCTAGCATTACACTGATTAGTAATGGCTCTTTGGGTTTCCTGGGACTGCACTGGACATGGACCACCTTTGACATGGAAAGCAGGCCCCTCCCCACCACATGATTTTGATTAACTGACAAGGGCACCAGACTCCTAGCCCCTTCTCCTTTATTCCTCTGTACAGATGATGGAGGAGGCACCCCTTCCCCCTTTTAATTAAGCCATTCAGGTGGTCCTCAACTCAAATGGTAAGAAGAGGAGCAGCTCCCAACTTCCAGGATTCTTGCCAGAGTGAAAAAGGCCATAGTAGCTGGAGCTGATGGGAGCTGTTGTACGAAACATCCAGAGAGCACCAGGTAGAGGAAGGCTGCTCTAAAGTGTTTAACTGCTGATAGATACTGTTTTATGAAATGAGAGGCTTGTTTTTCACTAGAACCCTGAGATCCAAAGACCAGAGCCTGGTGCAGAAGACAGACAGGCGTCAGAAATAATTCTGAACCCAGTAATTTGTTTTGGCAAGAACTGAATGGAACCCACAGCCCCTCCACACAAATATCCAGTCCTAGGATGGAAGACATAGATGAGTGTGGGTGTGGGTGTAGAAGTTAGCTTCTTGCTAGTTTACATTAATTGCTATTCTCCTTTATGCCTCTGGCCACATCCACCACTGGTTTCCAGAAGCAAGTGTGGCACTTACAATGAAAGAGACTCCCTGTCCCTCAAACAGAGGAATAAACACACTGATTGCATGCAAAACAGAGTGAAACTTTCTTTAGCTGCGAGGGTGTGGCAGGGCCTTTCTCCAAAGTCCTTTGGGGAGGCATGCTGCGAAACCTTAGGGATGTAGCTCAGCCACTTGGCTTGTTCGGTATCCTACTGTGAACCCTTTTGTGTGATTTATATACAATGACTGGAGGGGATTTCTTCCATCCGATGTTAGAGGTTACAAGAAAAAGAGAGAGGGCAGAAGAGAAAGAGGACAGACGGGAATGGGATTTCCCCTTATTAAATGATTATAATTTGATCACTGTTCTGGCGAGAGATGGGACGAAAAGGGGCAGGTGGCTGAGCCAGCGTGAGCTGTCCATTATGTGCTAACCCTTCCTAACTCCTGAGGACAAGGCAGCAGCTTAGCAAGCATGGTGCCAGATAGCAGCAGCTGACCCTGATGCCCGCAGCCGAGCCGAAGCAAAAAAAAGCATAAGCTATCTGCTGGGGAGAGCAGTGGCATGAAATTCTGCAAGGAGAAACTATTCCACAGGCAAAAGAAAGGGCAAAATGTGCATGTAAGCGAGAGAGGGGAGTTAATTGACTCTGCAGAAGAAGAAGCAGCAAGGAGCATCATATGAATGTAGGAAGGGGCCTTATACCAAGTCCAGGCCATTGGTCTATCTAGCTCTGTATTATTTATACTGACAGGACTATTTACTAGCTCTACCTGTGGGGTGACAGGGATTGAGCTCAAGTCCTTCTGCATGCAAAGCAGATGCTCTACCACTGGTGGGGGAGGAAGTTAGATGAAACTTGCAACCTCGGAGGGGGCAGGTTTGCCTCCCTGCTGCTGGTATATATGTAAATAAATTAGATACTACAACAGCAACAACATAAGCCTCCAAATCTCTTGGCATTTCTCCCCACTCAGGGAATTGCCAAGCACCTAACTGTATCTCGAGAACATTTGTTGTGGTTACTTTTTTAAATCAGGAAAGAGTAACTCCTTCTCTAGGCAGAGAGGCTTGTCAATTTGGCATGCATATCGGCCTGTTTTAACAAATGGTAACTATAGTCACTCAGTGGCTTGGCTGAGCAGCCTTCCTCAACTTGGTGCCTTCCAGATGTTTTGGACTACAATTACTATCAGCCTTGGCTAGTACCTGAGGATATCAGGTAAGGGGAAGGCTGTCCTTGAGCATATCTACAAGTGTCATTTATTATCGCGTAGCATGGGACTTGGAGTTCCTTCTGCTTCCTGAAATGAATAAAATTTCTGCTTTCTGGCAGGAAATGATGCCCCTGAGCACGATCAAAAGCAGTGTTTTCACTTAAGGGGAGTCCTCCGAGGCTTCCCTACTCAGCCCTCCATACATAGAGACTGCTTAACTCTCAGGTCTATGAAGGCTGATTCCAGTCTCCCTCCCCTGGTATCTCGCAGCACACAAAAATCCCTGACAGCCTCCCTACCAGGATGGTTGAGCTGCATCGTACTCTTGCTCCATTGGGACAGCCCCACAATAGCCACCATCTTGGCCCCCAGGCTGGATCGCCGCTTCTTATTGGATGAGAGGCTAGCTGAATCCGGGTTGCCTGCATTACTCTTCTCAATGTTGTACATCTCTCCACTGATGCTGGAGCTCCGGACCACATTCCTGGCTGAGGAAGAACTTGTCTCCCCGTTAAGCATCGTCACCTGAGGCGATCTCAGTGGCTCCTTGCCAGCAGGGTGAAGCTGCAACAGAAGACAAAGGAGACATGAGTGTCCAAGGAAAGAGACTGTCAATGTCTCAATGGTTTTTCCACTTTGAACATTATAATTACCTATTTTAAAGGCTGGGATAAGACCAAAAGTCCCAGGTTCTAGTATTATGAGAGAGGGGGGAAAACATGTCCTCAAACCCTTACTCACCTGTTTCTTAAAAAACTAAAAAGGACCAAGTGATGGCAATCCTGGCTGTCAGCTTCCTCCTCCTTAGAGCTCGTCCACATTTTCTCTGTGTCCAGAAAGCGTGGATCCAAATTATTTTCCACTTGACCCACACTTTCTAGGCATGGGTCCAAGCAGTTTCCTCCTTGCCCCGCTCCTTTCCCAGGGAAAACCCACTCCTTAGCACTAAGAGCAAACATCAATCCAGAGAAAACTCAATTTTCTGTTTGCTCCAATTGAGCACAAAAGAGTGGTTTCCCCCTGGGGGGGGGGGCAGAGGGATGAGAGGAAGTGTGGATAAGTCCTTAATCTCAGGTTTTCTCTGACAGAACTCAGCAGGGAATAACAACAACAACAACAACAACAACAACAACAACAACAACAACAATAATTTATTTATACCCCACCCTCCCCAGCTCAGGGCGGCTAACACCAGTAAAATTACAATGAAAACATAAAAGGGGGGTGGGGGAACCAATTTAAAATACAGCTTAAAATGCTATTTAAAATGCAGCCTCATTTTAAAAGTAGCCCATAGATCAAAACAGTAAGGGGAGGAAAAACATAAGGGTCAGGCGGAACAGCTCTGTCTTGCAGGCCCTGCGGAAAGATGTCAAGTCCCGAAGGGCCCTAGTCTCTTGTGACAGAGCGTTCCACCAAGAAGAGGGGGAAACAAAACCAGCATTAATTGGCTCTGCCTCTCATAGGTCCTGTCTCCATCTACTATTTGCCTCCATGCTTTCCACCCTGCCAGTCTCGAAGGACACCAGCTACCACGGCCCTAAAGCTTTGCTGAGTGTTGCTGTCTGCCCCACCCCACCAGAGCTGACCGCCAGCTTGAACATTAGAGCTGTTTTAGCTCTCTCGCGTGGCATTGGATTAGATTTAGCTGTGCCTAGTCAATGGCATTTGTCCCTGAATTATGACAGTACCAAGCAGTACACACAGATGGGGTCTTTAGAAAACAGAGATGTTTTGCATCTCAGACCATAACTGTCTTTAACAAAAAAAAAATTTAAAAATGCAGCAACATAAATCATGCAGGATATTCTTATTTCTCACACTGAAGAGGAGGATAACAAAAGGCGCTTTTTGGAGCCTCAGCCACAGCGTAATTAGGAGAAAGACCCACTGGACTCCATGGGACACTTTTGAGTACATAGAAACAGTGCTCTTAATAAAATATGTATCATTTCCTTACTGAAAATCTAGTCAAATCCTCCAAACATTTCCTATAGTCATATTTTTACCTGTTCAATGAATACCCAATGGCTATATCTACATTTGAAAAGTCCTATTAGATGGTGTAACTCTCAGTCTTATTTTAGAAGTCAACATTGTAACACTCAGAAAACAAGTTTCTGGGAAGCTCTTGAATCGTTTTTGTTGTCCTTGATGCCCAGGAGATCTATTTACCAGACCTCAACTGTGATTTTCATATAACGTAAGCAGGTCCTTTGGCATTGTCTTCTGATATGATCTTTCATTTACCACCATAATTAAACAAAGACTGACAGCTAAGGATATAAAATGTTATTATGGTTAACACCGTATTTCTTTTCTTTATTGTTAGCTAATGGCAGAGCCTGCAAGTGGGCTGGCACAGCCAGCTAGAAGGATATTAATGGCCATGTTGGCTGGGGCTGATAGGAGTTATAGTCCAAACTGTCTAGGTTGGGGGAGGTTGCTTCCAAGACTTAGAGCTGGGAAAGACCTTTCTTTGACTATCACCCATGAAACTTTAGCTGAAAAATTGAACCCTCAACATTTTGCATGCAAAGTGAGTTCTCCAGCCACTGAGATACAGTTTCCTCCCTATATGCACAGATTATACAGGATCTCTTCCTTAGGTTGTCTCTGTGGGAATCACCATCAGTGAATTAAATATTTGATCCATTAGGGGTATGAGTGCCAAACTGATAGAATACAGTAGGCCCATGATCTGCCTTCCTGTCCCTGGCTGCCTTCTCCAATGACACGGGCTCCTCTGCTGCTGTGGCCAAACTGACAGTGGAGTTTATGGGAAAGCAGATGAGATCTGAACTATCCTAAGCTCTTCCAGTTCCCTGTTAGGTCCCCAAACAAAGAGAAATTTGGTCACACTTCTGAGTGTGTCTAAACTTATTGCTTCCCTTTCAGGAGGGAAAATGTTTTCAATGTTATTGTTGTTTTAAATCTAAGCCTAGAAATATCTGGAAGAACACAGAATGCTACTCTATCCACCCCTTCTGCATCTCTAAGAGCAGGCATCCCCAAACTCGGCCCTCCAGATGTTTTGGGACTACAACTCCCATAATCCTTAGCTAACAGGACCAGTGGACAGGGATAATGGGAATTGTAGTCCCAAAACATCTGGAGGGCTGAGTTTGGGGGTGTCTGTCTAAGAGGGTGTCAAATGAGTGGTTAAAGTGCTGTTGTATCCCTCTCCTCTTTCACAAGCTATAGGATTGCACCCTTAAAATAGGAACATAAACTGCCTTATACCAAGCCAGACCATTGCGTCCATCTAGTTCAGTATTATCTACATTGACTGGCAGCAAATCAGGATTTCAGAAAGGAGTCTCTCCCAACCATATCTGGAGAGGCCAGAGATGGCAGCTAGGACCTTCTGCATGCCAACTAAATGCCCTGTCACTGAACTATGGTTTTTAATACTATATTAATAATGTTGTAATAACACATTTTTAAATAATACAGTATTAGCACGCAGCACAAAACAATACAAACTAGAATGGCTCGATCTGAAAAATTAAAACAGTTTAAAACTGAAAGGCCCAGACAGTGAAACAGAAGTTAAAGAACTGAGAAAATAGGAAGGTTCTCTTCTGATCATAAAGGCAAACATCTGTGGGAAGGCTATTCTAGAACTGGGGTGCCTCTACTGAATGAAAAGTCCCTTTCCTTAGTGGTGGCCTACCTCATTTTGTTTGGTGAGGGCACTCAGACTAGGGTTTCTGAAGAGCTTAAGAGCTGGCTAAGTACTTACAAGAAAAGGAGGCTCTTTCAGTTAATCTGTTCCCAAGTCATTAACAGCTTTAAAAGCCAAAACCAACACTTTAAACTGTGCCCAGAAATGAACTGACATTTCACAGGCATAATATGGTCAAAACACTCCATTCCAGTTATTTCCCAGACATTTTCTGATATGTGTCCTTTGGGACTCAGAAACTAGAGCTTGCTGATGTCACAAGGCAGAGGTCTACACACACAAACACACACTCTTTCCAGGCAAGTAAAAAAGCATTATCACGCTTCAAGGAGGGTGTGCGGCAAGGCCAGTAACAGGTATGGCCACGACTCTCAGCTCCCAGAGAAGAGGTTCCCCACCTGCAGCCCCACTTAATTTCTTTGGCAGCTTCGGCCATTGGGATAGCCTAGGTTTTAGTCACATTCCCAGTAAATGTCTCCTTTTGCCCATTCTGTGCCAAAGTGGCTCAGCCTTGCCATAGGGACCGTAGTGGGACAGGCTGCAACCCGATGGCGGAGCATCCACTTTGTGCACAGATACTCTTTGGTTCAATCCCCAGCAGAATCTCAAAGTAGGGAATGGGAAAAAATTCCCTGCCTGGAATCCTGGAGAGCCCCTGCCAGTCAGTGCAGTCAGCACTGAGCTAGATGAACAGACAGCCTGATTTGCTATAAGGCAGCTTCCAACGCTCCTCTAAAATGCCCAAATGCCTAACTTGCTCACTCTTGCTTTTCCCTGCCATGAATAATTCAGCCTTCCCATGTGATGGGATGCATCCATCATCTAGAGGAAGCTAAATTATTCATTCCCTGCCACTTTGTAATAAGAGGGGAAGGCGGCTGCGCCTTGGAAAACACTTCCAGGAAAGCGGTAAGAAAGAAAAAAGTGGGGAGGAAGGGGAGGAAAAAATAAAATAAAGATTAAATATGAGCAAACTCTCTAGATCTCTAGAGATGACATTTCTCACTGGCCTGCCAAGTTACCAGCTGTGCCTGGGTGGAATTGGACTGCTTTTGTGTGGGAAAGGTTTTGTGTTGCACTTTTAGCTGGTTGGAGCTAACTCGGAGACAACAAATTCCTGGCATTTTATTTAACATTGTAGAAACTTGTGTGGCATCCTTGTGATTTTGGCGTGATGATTTTGGTGATGTTGATTTATTGGAGGAGTCCTCAATCTTTCTGGGTCCTGAGGGCACATTTGGAAAGCTAAGGCTCTGTCATGGGCACATCAATATACTCATTCCACAAAAGAAGAATAAACAGTGATGTTCAGACACTCACCCCAAAGAAGAGACAAAACGTGGATCCCTGAACAAATAATGCACAGACAAAAAACAACAACAGGCACCCAACCAAACAACCCCTACCAATGAAAGCTTTTTCTTTCTTTTTTAAAGAGAAATGCAGTCTTGGCAGATGGTGAAGGCACCATTTTGGGAACCCCAGATGTATTGATAAAGGTTGTTAGCTGCCCAAGGCTCTTTCTGAGGAAGGGCAGGTTTAAATACATACATTTCTCCTCCTTTCTGGTGGCAAACGTAATTTTGGGCGCTAAACAGCACTAAGGGGCAAGGAAGAGGGTAAATAGCTTGTTACTGCTGGTCCAACTTGAAATACTTTGATGCTTGGAGTCAGAAAGTTCACAGGCCATCTACTTGCAGACCTTGCGCAATCCACGAAGTTCCACAGCACAAACCTCACTGAAATAGTTGGGTGTCGTACAATAACATTACTGTGGCCTTCTGCATCCTCCATTTGTTTCAGTGGAATTTGTGTGGGAAAACATCCCAGA